TTGTCATATATAGAGAACACAGAGTTTCTTAATCGGGCTTAAGCGACATTGTTTCCCGAATTCTCAAGCAATTTCCTGAAGATCAATTAATTAGTCACTTGCCTTGGCCATGAGCAATAGTACCGTTGATCTGTAGTAGAGGGGAAAACATTGGCAATCGGCAGCTGTTTGTTGCCTAATTAAATCGAGGTGATAGACGACGATCAACTGAAATGCGAGTTGGCCAGCCAAATTAGTAATCTCGCATCGTGACAGACGACAAATCGCCTTAAATGAACGACTTCAAAAATGTAATTTTTGTGGGATTTTATTCACTGTTTTTGGTTGTTATGGCTTATTGTGTGCTTCCTCTTCGTGTGTGGGCGTTTTGTGTTAACTGTAAAATGAGTTGGCCAAGTTATTCAGGCCTCTGACATGCATTTCATGTTGTAATCTTGAGCTTTGCTTAACCCCAACACGGAGTTCGCTGTGGAGTGTTCCTTTGTTCTGTCATCTTGAGCTTGTTTCGGTTCTGTTTTTCTCTCTTCTGTTTTTTTTTTTTTTTGTTAATTTTAAATTAAATATTCATCAATGTCAAGTGAAGTTGCCGCTGGCTTTGAGGAGTCTCGAGATTTTGGGAGAAGAGATTGCAGTTTGCTGAAAGATTCAACGACGATTGGAGGAGTTTTGAAGGCAAAAATGAAACATGAGATTGTTTGGTTGGAAGAGGGATTTATATTCGATGTTGTTTGATCAAAGATATCATTAGGTTTCAGCCAGAATATACTTTAAGCCTTTATTGAATACTGATTATTTTTTTAAAAATTTTATTTAATATTTAAAGATACATTAATGAGTAACCAAATGATCTCTCTAGATTACATAACATATTTAATTCCCATCTCATTGCCAGGTCAGCCACAACTTCCTTCCTATATCTCAGCTCAAGCTTCCTTCCCCGAGATATATATCTGTCCGATCCATATGGCATTTCCCATTCCGTTCCACTGACCAACTTATAGAACTCGCACTTTGCAAACTCGTTTGGCCGCCGATTCCGAAGTGCGACGCAATTGTTCGAGTTGGGCTGTTTGAGATACGAGTACTCGTATTTATTCATACTCACCCGTGCGGTGCGGTGACTCTAGTATATTTTTATGTGTAGTTTTATTTTTTATTTTTGCATTTAGCCAGCACTTCAAGGTTATAATGAGCAACATATGCTGCGGGTAAGCCAGCCACCAGCCACCAGCCACCAGCAAACTGCAATTGCAACTGCACTGCAAATGCAATCAACTGCAAAGGCACAACTAAAAATGCATTTCAACGTTGCCGACGACGATTTGTTCTTTTGTGTGGCAACTAAAGCGAGGCATTTTTCACGTTTTTCCGCTGCCTCCGAGAGCTGTTCTTGAGCTTTTTCTAAGGCGTTCTGCTTAGTTAAACTTTTGCCTGATTGATGTTTGTCAGCTGGTGCTAGTGCTGCTGCTGCTGCTGCCCAGCGGCCTTAGAAATGGTTGCAACATCGCCTAGAACCGACGGAGAATTAAAGTGAATTATCCACATAATTGCATTTTTTTCATTTCAAACTCCGTTCTTCTGTCCAGATGCAACTGCTTGGCACTCGTAATTCAATTAAACATTTTGCACATATTGTCGCCCCTGGAAATATAACTGAGATCGAACAAAAAACAATACTGAAGTAATCCCAACAATCGGTCACGTTTCGTCACCAACAACTACGGCAGTGCCCGCATCGAGTTGTGATCATAAAAACTGTTAAGGTGTCGTGAATGATGATTGTGCTCAACTGGCTTATAGAGGTGGTCAGAAAAGGAACTCCACTTGGAATATTTTATACTTTAAACAAGAATATAATATTTTCTGTGTGATTTTAGAGAAGAATTCTAAGTTATCAAGCTTGTTTTTATTGAATTTATAAACCAATAAACCAAGACCCTTGATTAGCACCTATTTAAAGCGTTAATAAAATAACATAAAATTTACCCTTAATTAGTATTAATGTTCGTTAATATAACCTTCTTAAATAATCAACTTTATAAGCTCACAAATAAGCACACAAAAATTCAGATAAAATCAAACCTAATCACAGGTTTTAGCATATTCGCAAATTTGTTCTGAGATTTTAGATAAAAGTTACTATTGTTAAACCAAATTACCGTTTAACTAAGGAATCTAAAACTTGCTAACTAAGTTAAAGATTAAATCTTATAGCAGATAGTTAGCCTACACATTTTCTAGATCTCGGATTAAATCACAGTTTAGTAAGTTACAGCAACTTATGCGATTTCCAATCACTTGGCTAATTTAAATTGATGATGTAGAGAAAATATAACTCATATGTAAATGGGAAAGCCAAGGAAATGTGTAGGTAAATAATTTTCCAGACAATTTGCGATTAGCAGAAGTATTTTTATCGTGCTTTGGTTGTGGATTTTATACCTCGTCAGTTCGATCATAAAGGCTGTACACAGGAAGAAAAGGGAAGAAAGTAGAACTTGTCTTAATGATCAAAAATGATACTAAAATGTTATAGAAAATACATCTGGTACTTAAAGTACCATCTTTATTAATGAATCGTATTTGATATCAACAAGATAATTCTTGAAAAAAGTGTTGGAAAACCCAAATATTAATTTTCGAAATGGAAAAAGATTTTAGAGGAAAAGTTACAGAATAATTGACCATTTAAAGAGTACTTTTTTCCAAGTGCACCAGCAGCGACATGGCTTGGCTAGTTATATAAGTTGGCCAGGCAGTAATGATCCCTGCCGTTGGCTTCGCTTCGTTTTTCTGAAGCTAAAGCTGAAGCTGAAGCTGAAGCTATAAAGCTGGCAGATTTTCAAGGTTAAAAGCGACTTGGCGATGGCGCGCGGTGAGCGCACGTGAGTTGGCTCAGCTGCTGGCATAGCAAACTAGTTTCAAATGCCTGGCACAGTATCTTACAGATACAGATGCTAAGGCTGCAGTACAAGGAGTGGCTCTTGGCTCGCTTCGCTTCGCTTTGGTTCGGTTCGGTTCGGTTCGGCTTGGATCTTGGCCTGCAATTAAATACAGATTTTTTGCGCTCTTGCAACTGCAACTGCAACTGCAATAGCAAAGGCAAAGGCAAACGCAACAGCTGTGGGCTCGTTTCGATTCGATTCGAGTTCAAGGCTATTGGGTCAAATTGCAAATTAGTCGCCTGCAGGTTGACAGTGAGTGACATTATTGTGTACGAGTATCTGCAAACGGCTGACCACCGACAAAGCCGAAAGACAGACAGATGGATGTATCGGCTAGATTGTTGGACATTCCCTGCGGTCAATTATCGTTCCTGCTGTCTGTTAATCGTAAAGATACTTCTACTTTTGCCGGCGGCTGCCTAGCTAGCTGCTGGCTGTTGGCTGTTGGCGATTTGTATAAATTTTGCATTACAATCAATCATTTGTCGCTGGCCAATGGCTTTTTAAGTAAATAAACATTAAGAAATCACACAGATGAAAATGAAAATGAAAATGTACACCCAACTAATGGGGGGAGCTCACAATTTATGCGCATATCAAGTGGCCAGCTAAGCTGGGCGCATTTACCTATCAACGCTTTTGTTGTCGATTTGCATGAAATTGCAGTTGTAGAAGAGTAGAAAAATTGAAATACAACTGCTGGCCAAACAGAAGATACAGATACGCTTCTCTTTACATGCATAAATGATGCTGAGCTGAAAGATTCCATTGTCAGATACAGATACTTTTCAAGTTGGCCCAATCAAGTAGATGCTCTTGGCAATGTTTGCCAAAGATACAAAAAAAAAAATGAAACTTTGGGGCAAGCCAGCTTCAGAATCGGCAATGATGTGTAAACAACTCAGATACAAATGTATCTTGAGGCGGCTTTTGAGATACTTAAGACTGCGAATAAGTGGATTATTATTTGCCATTGTTCGTGGATATGTATCAAAAGGGAAATAAATCGATCAAAATGTGTACTTAGGAAGTGATTATGACTATCTTTAGGGTTATAGTCCCTAAAATATTCCATTTTAACTTACTTAATACTTTTAATGTAAAGTTTTATTGTTAATTTCGCCATATTACTTAATTAAGCGACTTGAAGTGAAGGTAAAACCGAAACTGTATAACATCTTATTTGTGCATTTATCTTAAAAACACCATTTTGTGGTTTCCTGCTGCACTTCGCATATGGAGATATTCCATTTTAATGTTCACTGAGGCCTGTAACTGGCGGGGGCTACCAGATCTCGTTTTATGGATGGTTTTACGATCGGAGAGGACTTGCCATAATTACGGCGGGCTTTACAGTCAGTCGGCTAAGTGGCAGTTGGCAAGACAATGCCCCGACCTTAGACACTTCCCTACATTGTCACTGACTCAAGTCGTCTTGCTTCCAGACCCGGCCAATGCCACCTTTGTTTACCTCATCCATTGTTGGGTGCTCTTTATGGCGGGTATAAATTATAGGCACAGTAAAATATCAAAAGGGCGAACTAATTTTAATATATAATAGAATATTAGTCACTAAACTTGAATGTGATTAAATGTTACTGGAAAAATGACTCTTTATGGCGGGTATAAATTATAGGCACAGTAAAATATTAAAAGGGCGAACTAATTTTAATATATAATAGAATATTAGTCACTAAACTTGAATGTGATTAAATGTTACTGGAAAAATGACTCTTTATGGCGGGTATAAATTATAGGCACAGTAAAATATCAAAAGGGCGAACTAATTTTAATATATAATAGAATATTAGTCACTAAACTTGAATGTGATTAAATGTTACTGGAAAAATGACTGACAACCGCAAAACTGCAACTAAAAACTTGTATTTGCTTACAAAGCGAGACTTAAATTAAGATAAAAGTCTTCTAACTTTTTAATCTTCATTAATCTACAGAAAAAGCTTAACTTTAAGATATAATAAATTTACAGATTACGTCGTTAAAGTAAATATTTAAATCGAATTTAACTTATAAACTATTTCCCTTTCGTTGCAGCCCCGCAAATCTTCCAGTATCCGCCACCGCCGAGCCCCTCTTGCAATTTCACGGGCGGCGATGTGTTCTTCCCCCACGGCCATCCGAATCCGCACCCGCGCACACCCCGCACCAGCGTGAGCTTCTCCTCCGGCGAGGAGTACAACTTCTTCCGGCAGCAGCAGCCACAGCCACATCCGCCGTATCCGGCGCCATCGACACCGCAGCCAATGCCACCGCAGTCAGCGCCGGCGATGCACTGCAGCCACAGCTACCCACAGCAGTCGGCGCACATGATGCACCATCACTCCGCCCCCTTCGGGATGGGCGGTCCCTACTATGCCGCCTACACGCCGCCACCCACTCCGAATACGGCCAGTGCGGGCACATCCACCTCGTCGGCGGCCTTCGGCTGGCACGGCCACATCCATAGCCCCCTTTTGTCGACGTCCACGCCCCTGTCGGCGCCAGTGGCGCCCAAGATGCGCCTGCAACGCAGCCAGTCGGATGCGGCCAGACGGTGAGTAGCCAGCCATGCAGGGTGCCAAAAGATACAGCACTGCCTGGGGGACATCGATGCAGGTTCAGATCGATGGGCTGCTAGAAATCAGGTGGACGAACTTTGGAAATGTGATGAGAGGTTATCAGTTAGGTCAAACAAGAACTAAAGGGTAGTAGGAAGTCAGTAGAAAAGGGGCAGTTGGTTACAGATGAAGATTTGTTAACATTTTATGTCATAGAAGGGTTTCAGCTCTTCGGCTTCGCTGATTCTTTCAAGCAAATATAGTCTATAAAATATGCGCATGCTATATAATAGATTCAAAATAAATTACTCAGCTAATATCAAGACTATTCTACGCAATCTCAGCACCTTACGTCCCACCCGACCCCCATTTCCATTCCCATGACACGACGCCAAGTTTTTAATTAATGAAATCGCCAAGTTGTCGCTGGATTATGCGAACTGAACCGAACCGACTGATAATTGCTGATGACGTTCCCAAGTCACTCGTCTATATACTGTACATTCATACGGCGATATTTATAGTGCCCATTATGCGTCTCTTCCCACAGCAAGCGATTGACCTCGACGGGCGAGGATGAGCGCGAATACCAGAGCGACCATGAGACCAGTTGGGATGAGTTTGGCGATCGCTACGACAACTTTACAGCCGGACGGGAGCGGCTCCAGGAGTTCAACGGACGTATTCCACCCAGGAAGAAGAAGAGCTCCAACAGCCACTGCAATGGTACCAATAATCCAGTCTGCCAGATCAGCAACAGCCAGCCCAGCAATGCCTCGTCCGATGCGGAGGGCAATGCCACCAATAGCAATAGCAGTCAGCAGCGGCAGGTGGAGCGGGAACGACAGAAGGCGAAGGCCGAGAAGAAGGTAAGAAAGTGTTAGTTTTTATAGTAGTATTTGGTACTTTTTCTGCGATTTCAAGTATCTTTTTCTAATACTCATCAAAGTTTAGATACATTGCAAAATCCAAAATAGAACTTGAAATTCATATCCCAACATATCCAAAACTAGTTGGTATATTTAGAGAAATATTTAAAAAGTGACAGGCCCCTTCTATACGAAATTCGCTTGCAGCATTTCCCCTTGCCACACCACACCTAGCCATCCGACAATTAGAATAACAAGAGGAGATAAGTTGGGGAGTTCATTAACTTGGGGGACTGCTAAACATCTGCTAGCTGGTAGCCGTGGCACGTGGCAAACATTTTTCAAAGGCTCAACGAGAGAGGAGAATGCTAAAAATAAGCGGCAAGGAATGACAAATTGCCACACGCGAAAGGAGTCGCAGATTCAGAATCGCACTACAAAATGTATCTGCAACTAGCGAAGTAGAGTAGAGTGTGTATAGCACTTTTTGCACATGCTAAATGTGTGATAAAAATTAATTGCGCAGTGCGGAGGAAAGAGTCGCTCTTGTCACTTGTCTCCGCTGCTCTCGTCCCGGTTTACATATATATATATGTTAATCAAGGCAGGCGCCTCTATATAAGCCCATATATTTATATTTACGCGTCGCGTTTTTTAGTTTTAGTTTCTTGCGCGTTTGCCTGCGCAATTGAAAGAAATGCAAACTTGAAGAAATTCAATCGCAATCGCATGACACACACATTGACTCAGAGACCTGATACCATTTTCCCATTTCAGTCCAGTCCCAATACAATATTATTTCTATTCACTTTGATTTGTTTTTATTGTAATTGATGTTGGATCTGGTATGGGCTGGTTGGTCGGGCCAAGCTGCTGCTCCTCTTATCGCCCATCACGTTGTGGGGGCTCATCCTTGGGGAAGCTGGGAGCTGATCGGCAGCTCTCAGTCAGCTCTCTGGGATCTGACCTTATCCGAGACTCTGTCAGCTGCTAAATGAGAGCGTGAGAAATTCCGTAATCTGAAATGAAAAGGCATATATACTAGTGATTGTACTTTTGCAGATGTTAATGCATTTGGAACATTCTATAGGGTTCTTGTTCTTCTAAGGGAAGGATTTTAATGAGTATAACTAACAGTTTATTATATTATATTTTTATGACTTTTCCTCAGTTTGGTAGTTCATAGTTAAAACTTAGATAAATATTGAGAAGTCATACAATAAGTAAAAGTACAGAAATGAAAATAATATTCATTTCATACAAATCATTCAATACCCAATTACCCACCAACTCATACCAAAAATCGAATCAATATATAGCCACATGTTCGATGGCCTTTCATGCCATTAACCGCAACGACAAAGCCACAAAAGTCCTATCAAAATATAGTCCAAAATTCAAACAAATTTTCCTGCAAAACTAGCAGAAAAGCAAATTTGCATAATAAATATCCGAAGGGTCAGTTGGATTTTTGGTGGTTGCACTTGCACCACCTCACCGCTCGAACGTGCAGCCAGTGAAGCGAGGACTATTGGACAAATAAATGGTGTAAATTATATAACCATTGATGCGGGTTGTGGGTGGTGGTGGGGGAGCAGAGGAGTCAAGTGCGTTATATAGAAAAATAATTACACCAGTGACCGGAGAAAAGTTGACCGCCCATTTGGGTCAGGCCACATGAAGTTCATCTGTTCAGCTGGACAGTCAATAGTTTCGCTTGATTTACGGTTCAAATTGATTTAGGGGAGGAGGGGTGGTGATGTTTTTCAGAGGGGTGGTTAGGTCACGTGTGTGGTTTTAGATATTTTATGCCACACAGGGGAGCTATTGGTTAAAGTGAGAGAGAGACTCTTTTGAGGGGTGGGCGATGATAGATACTTCTATTGTCTCAAATATTGAATTAATGTTGCATTTAAGCAGTGTTTTTATGAAAAAATATAATATTACTATATAAAATTACTATTTTCGCTTCATTTCAGAAACCACAAAGCTTCACTTGGCCAACTGTTGTGACCGTTTTCGTTTTGGCCATGGGCTGCGGCTTCTTTGCGGCGCGATGAAACCGCGTGGACGATCGATCTATAGTGAAATCAGCTAGTGCTTAAGTTATATGCCGATCTATGTCTATATATAGATATAGCCAAACCGTAAATAAGTGCAACGAATTTATTGAGCTGCTAATTCCGGAAGCAGAAAGTCATTAATTCGTAAACGGATTGTTATATATATACGAGAATATACAGCCAGAGTTAAGATTAAGAAGGTTGACGGGACACAAGAACAATATATATATATATTCTATCTGTCTATGGTGAACTGCATTTGTATTTCTAAATCGAAACGAAACAGATCTTTCCTCAAAACTGCTCAAAGTAACGAAAACTCTTAGACTGGCAAGAGACTCAAATCACACTTATATTTTGCTGCTGCTGATGCATATTTTTGTACAACCTTTTGAGAGAGATATATACAAATTATACAAGTACAAAAACAAAAAACAGAAAACAGAATGGAAAACTGCCAACTTTTGAGATACTTTTGATAATCTTTGATTTGCATTTAATCATTTCCAAACAAACACACTTGCATTTTCTTAGAACAAACAAACAAAATTACTTTCATTTGTAGAACAAAGTAAACTGCAATTTCAATGTCTTCGCATTTGTAATTCCGAATTGCAAGCAAAACAAAAATTATATATATTTTAAATATGTTTAACTAGTAGAATTTTTTAAACGTAAGTCCACAAAAAAATCACACACCTAGCTTTAATTGTTAAAACAAAAGCAGAAAAAACGCAACAAACAAACAAACAAACAAAAAAATGAATGAAAAATCATTAAATTAATTTTGTATATAGTTTTTATGCCATTTTTGTGATGTTTTGTGTCTACGGTTTATGTCATGTTATTTTAGTTAAATTTCTTATGATTTATGTTTATGTGTAACGTTTTTTTTGTCATTGTTTGTTCATCATCATATTCAAATTGGTCTCACAATATACATATATATTAGGTAATAAGCTCCACGCCCAGGAAGTTGATGGCAAAACGATTGAAACTTGGCCAGGAGAGAGATGGTTTTCCCATTCTTACACAGTCTTTTTTGGAATGCACATAAATGATCTCTCACAATGGAAATTAATGCAAATTGATCTCCACAGCTAGCCAAAGTAAAACAAAACAAGAAATGAAAACATATTTTATAGGCAATTTTCACTATTTGCTTAGAATTTCCAGGGCGTTTCAATGCTAATCGAATACCGTGACATGAAAGCAAACATAGCGACAAATATTAAGAGAAAATCAATCAAAAAGAAAGAAAAAACAATTCCCAAAAATCGCATTGATCTCATGGATTTATACAATACAAATACATCAACCGTTTTTTACAATGAGAAATGTTATAAAAAGCAGCAAGTGAAACAGAGAAACAGAAACAAAAATTAACGAAAAGTCTAGGATAAGTTTCGCCAAGCGTTTTAGTTCTACATTCTAGAGTGTCTAAGTCGGTTTAGTGCGTTTATTGAGTTTATTTGTATATAAAGCAATATTATTTGTTTAGCCTAAGTGACGATCCCAATCAAAGACCCAATCCAGTTCCCCCCACGACAACTCCCAGCCAAGCAATAGAAAACTTGTATCAATCTTAATTTGAATTACCACAAAAACAGAAAACAAAAACAAAAACTACATCCATATACCCAAAATGAAAAATTATTTTTGTAAATTTTTTGCATCAAATGAACTGGGGAAATGTGAGCCATGGAATTTTCCTGGCTCCTTCCTCGGTTCATTGCTAATTAGTTTTCACAATGATCTCGGTAAAGTTTTGTGGCCTTGAGTCCGGAAATCTGTTTAAGATTTCTGGCTTGCCATGAATACTCGAACAAAAAGTTAAAGAAAAACGAAGCAAATGGATAAAAAATCAGAATGAAAAGCACACAAGAAATTTATATTTTTGACCCAATGCGACTTAATCCGTTTTTAAATTTAAGTATCTTTACTCGACCTTGTATATAGCGCAGTTCGAATCATAGAATCAAATGCCATTTTTTGTATAGAATTTTGTTTGGTGCCAAAACAGTGACAGCTAAATGTCTATGATCACACACACACGTGTATTTCGCATATTATACATTTACATACATACGCTATCGTAAACTTCGATCATAAGTTTTGATTCAGCACTTTTTGTCAATTCAGTTTAAGAAAACATTTTCTGTCTTAGTTTTATGTTCGAGAGCAGAAAACACTTTGTTTAATTGTACATTTTTTATTATGCTGTAATATTTTAATATACATAAATATCATTACTGATCTCATGAATATGTTCATAAGACAACAAAAATTATATATATATATATGAATACATCTATGTGTATGTGTACATGAAATAAAAACGCATAAATATTATGTAAGATTTACAGAACAAGTGAAAATAAAAGAAAAAAATGTTTGAAAACAAAAGATAGTTGTTTTAAATAAATGGCCATTTTATTTCATTTCCAAGACCACCGAAACATGAAAAAGCTGCTATTAAAATTCATAATTATGGTGGATTTTTGAATATGTAAAGTCTATCACTAACTTCGAAATTTATAAGCATTCTCTTATAATTCTTAACATTCAAAAATAAACCCTTCTCTACATTTATATCTGATTAACAAATTTTTACATGAATATTACACCGATCAATTCAACAATGAATTTTTAGAAGCATACTTTTAGGCTTATTTGGAAACCACGATCACTGAATCATTGCGTGCAGTTTTTCCTTCACCAGAAGAAAACGGACCCCTCCCCTTCTATTATTTTAAGGGTTGAGATGTGCGTGCTGGAAAACTCAGATTTAAATGCCAAATGCTGGCCACTTAAGCGGCAAATAAGCAATTTGTAGTTCGTATTTCTTTTGTAATTTGCGGATTAAGTGGTCATAATTGCTGCTTCTGCAGGAAGGCCACGCGACTTGGTAACAGGATACTAGGCCACGTTGGTCATGTCACAAAAATGATGTGTTATTAGCGGCTTAGGCAGGCGATGACGATTATAATAGAACAAGGTGGCCTTGCTGGGCAATTATGTTAACCTGGCCACCCGCAAAACCTCAGGCTCAGCGGTCATGACATCCGTTTCCGCCTTCAATCACGGACACATGCCGGTGTCAATCAAAACGGCATATTAAAATCTGTAACTGGTATGTTCATTGAATTCGTGCGCGTGTCCGTTTCGCCTGAATGGATTTCGAATAGCGAGTCTGCTAATCGCGGGAAATCTTACAAGTTTTCAATTAAATTTGAAACAAAACTAATCAATAGTGCCATTCCCTACGCTTGGTTTAGGATAATTACTTTTTGGTTCGACACCTGCCAACGGCAATAAACAAAAGGAAGCAGGACTTTGTGGCATATATTAGCAGAGTTTGAACCCTCCTTCCCCTCAAAACACTCACCGCAAAACAGTCCGTTTATTAAAATTATTTTAAGACTAATAACATTTGTGCTTTGCATTTGCCAATTTTCCGTAAATTAAACTTAATTGACTGCCTGCGGTTTTTGAAGGGTTGGCTGTGAAAAGTGTTGAAAGGGTTTTCCAATTTATTATACTTTAAAATGTTTAAGGTACTTTTTAATATAACAATACGTAAAACTGTGAATACAAACTGGTATAAGAAACAAGTTACTTAATAGTCTTACTGGCTTACACTTAAACAGTTCCCATTTGGCTTTAATCTTAATGATTTTTCTTACCCAACCCCACTTAGTTTTTCCTACCCAGGAGTAATGTTTTCATATGTTTTAATTAGATTGTACCCTGCTTAACTATTCGCCACTTGAAAGCCACTTAAAAGTAATTCAATTATAAATAAAACTCATTGAGAGTGTAAGGCATCAGCTTATTTCAGCAAAAGAAAAAGTTAATTTCATTAAAGGAGAAGCTCTCCCAGACATCGAATAGCCTAACCCTGCTGGTTGTGTGAAACACACGGGTAGCAAAAGTGCATTAAAAATGTATAGCCAAATGCACACGAAGGAAAAATCCTTCCTTCCCTTCCTCCTTGTCGAAAGGAGCCACAGGTATGGATGCAGATAAGTGGCTCATGGAACATGTACACAAATGTAAGAAACTTGTCTCGTTTGTCTGCGATGTAATTCCCATTCCTTCTGCCATCCTCCAGTTACATGTGAAATTTACCACAGATATTTTCACATGTTTTCATATTTGATTTTGAGATGCGGTATGAGCTTAAGAGAACATAAATACTTAATCGATATTTTATAAATTTTATGTTTAAATTAAGCCTAAGGGCAATTTACAATATATTTCAGTTTACAGTTGAGCCAACCTCCCATTTAACTATATTAAAGCTCTCTTTTGGAAACAGTAATAGGAAATTGTTGTTCAATTATTTAGTATAAGATATTTACTAGTTTCCTTATTCATTTTAAAGTACCAGCCTTTGATTTCTTTTCTAAAAAGGTCTGTTTACTTTGCTTGCCCTCGGCACTTTAGTATTTACTCAGCTCAAAGTTGTTCATATCGAGAAACTGATAACTGTCGCTGCAGAAATAGGAAAATAGAAAGCACAAGGACATGCCTCTCAAGGATTCCGAGAAAACAGCTAAGAAGTACGTAAGCAAACGGAAGGAAATAAACAATCTCATATCTGGAAAAAGGTTTAAGCACAACTCGTAAATTTTCCTGGCCTGCAGGCCATCAGCCGGATAGCTCATATGAGAGGCAATATATGGTGATCATAATCAACGTCTTTTGGCACTTTATTGACAAACTAATAAAAGCCCAGAGAGAGAGGGAGGATATCCAAGCTCAAAAGCATGTCCGACGACGAGAGACGAAGAGATACTCATAGATGGTAGCAAACGATTTATTAAAATCCCTGTACATGGCATACATAATAAAAAGCCACCAGAACAGGAGACCCTTGCTGACCGTTGATGTGATGAGTAATTTGCTTTTGCCTTTTAATACTGGCCAAATGCACTTAACAAAAATTGCATACTTTTCGGGATATAAGAAACGCGAAAACCTTATATACTATATTTTGTGATAATCACAACTTCTACAGCATTCAAGTGTTTTTATTACTTAAAAAATTTCTTCTTATCTCTGATAATCTGTGATTATAATTTTTCCAAGTGCATCAACCCGGCCAGACAACGAATAGTTGCAGGACACGGAAATTAGTGCGGAAACGCTTACTACGCTTAGCAATCTGTCAAAAAGCCAAAATGTAATAAATGAGACCCGCACGACGGATGGGTGGGGACATGAGGGGGCCATCAACATAATTCATACGACATATCCTGCCATGGCAGGACAAAAGGCTGACCAGCCAAGGACAAAGGCGCCAACCGAGAGGGTTGGGCTGTCTTTTATGGCAGCAGATGCACCATATTTCATTACACGTTGATAAGTGGTCATTTGTCCAGGACGAAAAACGTTAGCAAAATGGCTGGAACTCGGACTGAAGTTGGTTTCCTGCATGCCAACAGGCATTTCATAATAATTTTAACAACCTTTTTACGCAAACCTGCAGCCGGGACTCATTTTTATTAAATACGAAAAGAGTAGTTTTGGTGGTACGACATCGCATTTTAATCCCTTCTTGTGAACAGGAAATATACATTTAAGGTGATGATCACGTTCATATGTTTGTTAATTTATGTATAAAATATACTTATACAGGTCCGTACTTTTTGTAAATAATAAAATAAGCCTTCTTTTGACTATTTTGTAAAATTATAAAGACCAAGCAGCGCTGACTAGCGGTATATTTTTTGCTATTTTATAGAAAGATAAGTTCTGGATTATTATTAGTCTAAGCAAATGAACATTTCATATTTGTATCTTAATTTAGAACGTAAATGAAACTGAAGTTTCATTAATGCTTTTTAGTGCGTACCATTTCCAAGATTCCGAACACGATAAAACCATTTCTAAAACTATCAGTTGGAATTAGATGGCATCTTATCTGAATATCGATACTTTGTAACAAACCACGCAAATCGATAATTCGACCCTTTATTCACAAAATCTAAAAGTTGCAAATAAGCTGGACAAAAAATCTTCAGTTATTAATATCAAATGTTAGACTTAACAAATGTTACCTTTTTAACCAACCTAAGTATTCAAATTCTGTAAATTATTTATAGAGTATAATATCTTATTTCAATTTTAATGCAATTTTCGTTTTGTTTATTTTATGTTGTATGTTTATATGCAGAAATGTTACATTTCTGGTCTTTTCTGAAATACCAAAAATTTATTTAAATCAAACGACCAATAAATCTATAATTAATTATCTTAAAGAGACAATTATAAATTCAAAAGAAACAGTCATACCACATTATATCATAAATGTCCTAAGAATGATTTTTTCCGATAAAAGTTAAATTTATTTCAAGTGCTAATTGATAATTAACAGTCATAATTTCCATATTTTCTCGTTTTTACCAAATTTCTTAAAAACGAAACAAACAGCAACTTATTAATTTATATTTCTTAAAAGTGAAACAAGTGGAATTTGAACATGCTAACCGATTTCGATTAAATTTCAACCCTGGAAAAAGTTTTTACTCCTCTCAAACCGCGCCAGTTCCAGTATTTGCTGACTTAAGCCCTGGGCACGGAAGTTTTGGCAAATCTCTAAGTCATATCTCGTTTGATTTGCTAAAAGTATCTTACAAAATGATAATAATAATTAAAATCGTCATTCCATTGGAATTTACTGAGCGCCTTTTTGAAGGCTTGAGTCATGATCATCAGTTGCATTTGGCCCTAAGCAATCCAGTTTACGCGCACGTTTTTGCCAATTACTGTAAGCAAAAGTACACAACTCTAGACCTCGATAAATTCGAACATGAGGCTCAATATCTGTCTCATATTATACCCATTTGTGGTTCCTCCGTGGAAGAGATAACTGGCGATTCATGTCGCTACTCAAATCTGGAACTCATTCAGCAGCATTGTACCAATGTAAAATCGATTACACTAGCCGTAGGCAATTTGTCGCACTATACTTTTGTGCAAAACATGAAGAGCATCACTACTTTGAATTTGTTTCTGCACTACGATGATCCTGCCATATACGATGTCCTGCAGGAACTGCCTCTTCTGACGGCCTTGTTACTGACACCCTTTTCCGAGACATATAGTAAGTTTAATATGATTGAATGAAATATTTGTGGTTATTAATGAGGTTGTTTTTCTAATTAGTTGACAAGATTCTGCGATTGGTTGATCTGGAAATGTTGTGCCTTGGATACGGCAAGAAAGAGTGCCCTCTCAACATCATCCAGATATGCAACACATTCAAGAAACTAAGCTTTTTGGTTATCCAAACTGGTGAAATAACTGGCGGGACTTTGATTCAAACTCACTCATATTCCACTCTTCGAATGGTTTCCTTAAGTGCCGACAAGGTCGCCCATTTGCCATCCTTTCCAAAAGCTATATTCTTGAGCATCGGTGGCGACTCATTTAGGGCCAAGTATGACTGGAACAGTTGGATCATGAAGCATGCAAATACAGTCCTGGCCCTGGAAATAGGTACTACTAAAAATGCCATTGTGGCAATTGAAAGCTGCAAAGCATTGCGGGCTTTAAAGGTATTAATCTGGTCTGCTGAGGCCAGCGAGGGTTACTTAAGCAGCCTTTTAGAAGTAGCTCGTCGTAAGGGCTGCTCCTTGGAATTGGTTGTGAATTGTCTGCTGGGCTATTTAACCGTAAGCAAAGTGGTAAGCGAAGTTACAAAAAATAATACAAATTAATGTATAATAAGTAAACCATTCTATTAACAGTTGAAGGACACCCCAAATACTGATTTTGCATGGGTAACCATGACTTGCTAATGCTTTACCTTAAAATATTGATTAAAAAGCTGGAGCCCAAGTACAGTTTTCATTTGCAACTATAAATATTTTATATACTAATGTACTTTTTTTTTGTAATCACTAATTTTCACAAAAATAAACATTAACTTCAACTAACTTCCAAGTGTTTCTCTTTAACAATATCCTGTAACTTAAATGGGTTTTTCTAGTTTTAATCATTTTTGGCAATCTTTCAATGAGGTATTAAACACCCTTCAATAGTTTTATATTTCAAATTTTACCATGCTAGCTTTGGGCTTTACCCTATTGCCATATTGTACTACAAACTAAAAAACAAATCGCCGACTCATCGACGACCTTTCATGGTCGGGCAACACACCCAGATATACTCCCACAGGCGGATATAAAAATCCGGCGACTTGCCATTCATCAATCATGACCCGAAGAAGGCAGTTCGCGCTTTTTGCATAACTCAGCCGAATGTAAACAAATTGCGAGACTGCCGCAAAAACCGAAATGCGAAGCGGGTTGAATGACAGACATTGGCACAGATTTTGGACTTGGGGACTAAGTTCGGGGAACAGCCCACGATATTAGGATGATATTTGGTTTTGCTTTCGTTTGACCGCCAAATCTGTACCAATGAGAGCCCATGGATGCTGGGTTACCTCAGAGGCGATAAAAAGTGTAAATTATTATTACCAACAGTTAAGATGGGGAAAAGAAAGCCGCTTTTGGGGGGCGGAGGAGGTGAGCGACTAGAGCAGAAAATTACTCAACTCGAGTCTGTTTCGGTTTTTTTGGTATCTGTTTATGTTTCTGTTTCAGTTGGGTTCAGCTTGGCTGTTGTTGGGGCTTGTTAGTTGGTTAGCTGATTGGCCTGCTCTCTGGGGCCTCAACTTTCACTCAGACTGACTGACGACTGACAATTTGCTGGCCGCCTCGCCTGTTGGCCCATTATAATTAAGCCATTTGGCTGGCCAACTGCCTCGTTGGACAATCATTTCTCACTCGAAAAGTGTAACAAATGCGCCAATTAATCGCCGCATTGCAGATGTAATTGTAATTGATAACGTCGTGTGTAACCGAGTTGAATGGTCATCTGAAAGGAAAATGCTGGAAAATCCGATTAGTAAGTGCAATATTTTAAGTAGTTCGTTGGCAATATTTCTTAAATGCAAACTATTTTATAGTTTCAGAGTTGGTTGGAAATTTTAATTTTGATGCCTAAAAGGTAGGAATACTTTTTTTTAATGTTTCATTAAAACATATTTTTGGTCTTTTTGTTTAAAACTCTATTTTTTGTTGGTTTTCCTGTTAAATGGGATTTTTTATCAAAATTTAATCAGTAGTTGAAAAATCTGTTTTTCAAGTTTAAATTTCGTTGAAAAACCCAAAATTTTCTAGTATTATACATTGACCTTCAGAGAGGTCTCTTTCAAGTTTCTGCTCTTGTTTAGCCAAGCCAGGCAGCTCTCCGATGACGCTAATCTGAATCCACCTGGCCAAGCCAAGATTGTAGTGGAGTTGGAGCTCTCTCTGGCGGACCAGCAGACTTCGGCTGAATCTCCAGAGAAATGGCTTGGTGGCTTTTCTGTGCCGGCGTCGCGTGTCAAACGATCGCCGAACTTAAAGCCGGAAAGACGTCGTCGTCGAATCGTCTGCGTTTTGCCTTTAGTTTTAGTTTTACACCGCTTACGTCTGCGGTTGCGTCTGCGCTCGGGCTCAAAAGTTAACCAGTTTTGAATCGAATTTCGCTTTCAGTTTCGTTTGAGACACGCGGAGAAAAAGAAGCAGCGGCGTGTCCACACATAAAGTGCAGTGAGTAAGTGAGTAAGTTGGGTAAAAACCCACGGCGAAAATCGAAACTGAAAGTGTGCAAATCAAAATCAAAAGCCGGGCCCCTTAAAAAACACAAAACCTCTTCAAATGTAGCAATTCAAAAACCAAACAAAGCATGGCAATTGTGTCTAGAAACGAGCCCGGCCAATTTCCGAGTTCAGCCAGCCAGGAAGGGCGAAAAGAAAGTTGTGGAAAGAAGTGGCTCTGGCACCATCACAGAATTGCGCAAAAATGGCATTACAAAAATCGGTGCTTGCCAGTGACTCATTTGGGTGCACAGAGAAAATTGTGTAAATTTAATTTTACGGAGTTGAATTTTAAGCAAGATTGCAAAACAAACAAGATGTGCTTAATTAGTAATGATTTAAGCGGTGGAAAAATATACAAAGCTAGTACATGATAACATACGGCTGAGGAAAAGCTGAGGAAAAGTAGCTTTTTCATGTTTTTAAAGAATTCCAAACAAAGATGCCTTTTTAAATGTTTTTTTAAATGTCAAATTTAAAGAGATATATAAAATATATATATAAAAAATTGGTTAATAAAAATATATACAAAATGAGGATTTAAATTTTATGAAATCTGTTTTTAAATTTATAGTTAAAGTTACGACTAAAGTAAATCTCTTTATTTTATGAAGTTCTCTCTCTACTCTTCGAAAAAATAATAACAAAATTTAATAATACGATAAAAGTTATCAATATAAAAAAGAAACATTTTTTTGAAGTGAATAACTAAACAAATATTTAAACTGATTAAAACAAGAAACGCCTTTCCTCAGGAGTCTTAAAATAAACATCAGCAATTCCATACCCCTTAAAAATATCTTGGAAATTTGAACTTGCAAAAACTTCAACTTAAATTTCTTCCTGTGCCAGTCCAACAATAATAAGACTCAGATCGAACCTCAGCACGCCTTGGACATTAAGGCTAATTGGTGGGCGGTCGAGGACGGGGGCGTGTTGAGTGGATTATGTAATTTGACAAGCAGAGGATACTTCCCCAAAGAATTCACAACACGTACGCCACATCCACATCCGCATCCGTATCCGTGTTCGTCTTTGCCCGCACAATTTGGAACGCATCTCGAGCGTAAAGTGTCCTTTCGTGTTGCCGCCTTCTCGTTCAGTATTTCGGTGTCCTTCCCCCATTCGGCCAGCCACCCCCTCAATGTGCATTTTGTGATCTGTGCACCTGCTGCAGCTAGACTCCAACATCTCCTGCCCCTTCTAAAATTAGCTGCCATTTCTTGTTGTAAACTTCCATTGCCGTCTGCTGTCTTTCGGTTTAGTGCAGCGCCCTCTGGCGCCAGCCAATGGCAAATGCAGTTTTCTGGTACCTTCCCGAATATCCCCCCTTATATCTTCCCCCCTTCAATGGGATCATAAAATTTTTGGCTGCAATTACAGCTGGAAAAGTCTGTTGCCCGTCTCTCCTAGCAATTGCTAGGAATTTAAATTTTATATTCAACAAGACATTTGGCAGGGGAGTTGTTTTTGTTTCTTATATTGCAAAAGCAAAAATATAAATAATATATATTTTAAACTCCGCACAGATGCTGCTAGCTTTACACTGATGATTTCCAAATTCCCTGTGCGTCATCTTTAAAAAGTCTTTAATATTTTTTACACAAAACACTCAGACTGTCTCGTACTACAACCTTGACTCCATTTAAATGCAAATGCAAATCGAAGAGCGCTAAATGACGCACTAAACAAGGCGACAAACTGTGCATATTTATACCCGTTACTCGTAGAGTAAAAGGGTATACTAGATTCGTTGAAAAGTATGTAACAGATAGAACGAAGCTTTTGCGACCCTATAAAGTATATATATTCTTGATCAGGATCAATAGCGAAGTCGATTGAGCCATGTCCGTCTGTCCGTCCGTCCGTCCGTCCGTCCGTCCGTCCGTCCGTCCGTCCGTCTGTCCGTCCGTCCGTCCGTCCGTATGAACGCTGAGATCTCAGGAACTATAGCAGATACAAGGTTGAGATTAAGCATGAAGATTCTTGAGGTCCCGGGACAGCGCAAGTTTATTACAGCATCCTGCCACGCCCACTCTAACGCCCCCAAATCGCGAAAAACTAAAATTGCTGAAATCTCAGGAACTATTGCAGTTAGAAAGTTGAAATTCAGAAAGTATAATCTTTAGATGGCAGCGCATCTTATAGTAGTACTACTATCCGGCCACACCCACGCATACGCCCACAAGGCTTAAAAGACGGTTTTCGGATTTTCTAGAAAAGCTGATATCTTGGTAACTATAAGAGATAGAAAGTTCGGATCAAGCATGTATGTTTCTATGATGCTCCCACTGCGAATTGTTTTTTTCCGATCACGCCACGCCCACTCTAACGTCCACAAAACCCGAAAAACCAAAAATGCAAAAATCTCGAAAACTATAAGAGCTACACAATTTTGCTTAGGAATACGTATTAAGGAGATGCCTCTGCAACTTGTCACGAAGTTGCATCCGGCCACGCCCACTCTAACGCCCACAAACCGCGGAAAACTGTGGAGTCTATAATATTATTATGAATGCCTTCGTTTGACCTTGTGTAACTTATTTCTGTTAATATCTATCGATTTACAAAAGATTTTTGAAATCGGAACATTATTTCGCTATTTATGAAGAAATTAATGTTATAAGGCTCCACATGGGCAGTGACGTCACTATAAGCATACTCAACATACTTCCTCTGACAATAGATGGCGCCTTGTGAATTTCCACTAGCAAAATAGTATTTTAAAATGTTGTAAAACAGTAACGGGTATCTTATAGTCGCGGCACTCGACTATAGCGTTTCCTCTTGTTTATGGTGAAATTTATGGTTTGCAGAAGACGAAAAGAGTTAACAAAATTGAGACCCCGATGATTGAATGAATGAACCGAGTGTCTGTGTGCTAAAAACCACAGAAACCAATAAGCCAATGAGAGAAAGATGATGAAGGAAACAATGGTTTCGGCTAAGAACATAAAACACACTTTCACTGATACATAAAATATGATCTGTGAAAAATGCTATAGAAATGATGAGAATGAAAGTCAATAAAGTTAAGAATGTGAATGGAAAATATTTCGAAACTAGCTAAATCATTAATGTTAATACAGATTCCTTAAACCTTAAAAAAATACTAAATAGTCAGACTGGGTTTTAACGCTGTTCAGTTTAACTTGAAACCAAAACAGATTTAAAGATATCTTATAATAATATTAAACTTCGTTTGAAGGGAATATTTCTTTTCCTTAAAAAGATGTTTCAAAAGTTTCACTATCAAAAAGCTGATTAATAATAATTTGTACAACTTTTTGATAATTATTTTGATAAGTTGGTATTTTGACTCCTTGGCCACTATGGATAGTACGGGTAACTACTAGCCATGATTAAAATATTAAACCGAACAAAGAACAATCATGAAAAGAGCTTCCACAATCACAACCAGACTAGTTAATACTCAGAAATATGCACCCAGACACTTGTCCTAATAGAACTCAAACATAAAAAGAAAGTCAAATCGCTGTGGGCATTAAACTTTTAAGGCCTGTCAGCGTCCCGCCAAATAAAACTTGACAATAATCCGAATAATTTTGCATGGTTGGCCGGGACCGAAGATGATGGGATCCGATTATTTGTGGCAGTCGTGCGGTTGCATAAACACGGCGCAATCATAAAAAAGCGGAATTAAACAAATGTCGTTGTCGCTGGCATGAGGAGAGCTCCTTTTCACGGCTAGCACGTGAGAATTGCATTAATATGAATGCAAATGTGCATCCCCGGAGGATGGTGGGTGGTAAATCTATAAATTTATGTGCAAATGTAGCAAGAAAATGTCGAGCACAAGTCGTCGGGAAATTGCGCGAAATTCTTTGTGTAGTTTGAGTTTGACAGCAAGTTTTTATGATGTTTTCCACCATTCCATTTTTCCTCACTTTAGGCGACGTGCGAAGACAGTTTGGCTTGAGCTTATGAATCGCTGACGTGAGCAGCGGGATTTTCCACATTTTCCCTCCAACTCCACAGCCAAAATGCAATTGCTATGGGAGCCGCGAAGTGTGCAATGGAAAATTGCAATTCTAATTATCGCATTAGTCCTCGACGTGTCCTGCATAAGAAATGGCAACGGGTAAGTTGATTGAGCTCTGAATTATGCAAATTAGCCTGAGCCTCTGCCGCAAAATATTTCTCAAGCATGAATTAGTATAAAAAGTACTTTAACGTATTACTTATGTTTATTAACGTTTCCAGTGATGAACAGCAGATATCCGCAAAGCTGAAAAACTTCTTTCCCTCGGAGCAGATCCCAGAGGAACGGAATCCACCAGAAACTTCAGCCAGAGTGACAACGGGCGGAGGATTCCGACCCTCTCAAATGCTGGACTTTACCCCCTCGGATGTGATGCCCCAGGCGGGATTGAATCGCTATCCCCCAAGCTATTTGGAACCCAACTATAAGCATGATGTGACCAGTTCACTGAGACAGCAGGCTGCATTGGACAAACAGTTCTCCTTCCCCCAGGAATCCCATTCGGTGTTCCAGAGCACACCGCTGCCCACTACGCCGGTAGTTAGCTACCTGGATCCGTATACCCAGCAGAACTATCGGTACACACCCACTCCACCTTCCATAATTCAGTATCAAAGAGAGCAGCCAGCTCAAGATGATCAGGTGTACACCGTACAGTCTTCCTTGCTGGTGGGAAATCATCAGCAGAACCATCAGCAGCCGCATCCTGGCCACGTGGAGGATGTATATCTCAAGCGACCTGGCTACGTCTTCGATGAAAGCCCCGCCCCTTCATATCGACGACCCACAAGGCCACCGCCTTCGCTCCCGGCTCCACCTACCACCGCCTCCCACAAAATCTCCTATGATAGCCATGATTACCCACCGCCCAGCTATGCGGCTGAGCAGACTTCCAATTTCGTGCCCCAGCAGCCAAAGCAGCGACCACTGTACCAACGCCAAGACATCAATGCAAATCGAGGGGGAGTTGGTGGTGGAGCAGGAGGAGCGGGTGGTCTAGGCGGAGCAGGTGGAGTGCCACCTCCAGGCTCGTCTAATTATGCAAACAACTTTGATAATTATTCGCAGCGGCCGAAGCCACTGCAGACGCAGATACAGAACCCCAACCAGGTACACAAAGAAAAAATTTTTAAAGATTTTGAATCTTTAAATCTAAATTAAACTTAACGTTTTTAAATATAACTTAAACGAAATAATTAATATATAATTCCATTTCAAATATTAACATTTTAACTTCCTAACATTCTTTTCTGTGCAGATACAGACGCAGTTTGGTAACTATCAATTCAAGCCACAGAATGGAGGAGGAGGAGCAGGAGGAGGTGGTCCCGGATCTGGACTACCTCAGCGACCCAGACCGGGACACAATTACTACGAGTACCAAATTGGCGAGATACCGCCACCGCAGTCCCAGCACTTCCAGCAGCCACAGCAGCAGCAGTTCAACTATCGTCCTGCCACTCAGTCATCGGGTGGTGGAGGAGGTGGTTCTGGAGGCGGAGTGGGCGGTGGTTTGGCTACTCTGGCCTCGCTGTATGCACCACAATTTACGAATCTGCTCTTGGGAGGAGGTGGTTCCCCATCCGCATCCTCGCAGTCGGCCAGCCCATTAGGTAGTCTCCTCGGCGCTTTCACCGGGACACAAGGAGCAGGACAGCAAACAGGATTTCTGGGAGGAGGAGGAGGAAGACCGCCCAACACACAACTCATTAGGGCACTGGAGAACATCGCTCGCAACGACGATTTGCAGTGCGTGCCCAAGGTGCTCTGCCAGATGATTGCCGGTCAAACGTTACGTGGCCAATTGCCCGGATTCGTTACCTCCCCTGCCATAACCAAGTGAGTACTCCAAAGAGGGGGAAGGGTGGGGTGTTTTAAGGTTCATTGAGAGGAAATATAGTGGATAATTATTGGGATAATGTTTTAATCTCTTAAATTTAAGATCTTCAAATATATTTTCTAAGATGCTGGAAGGGGAGATTCTTGTCAGAATTTTTTTTATATCGCAAATATTCTGGAATATATAATAACTTTTTTTCTCAGTGTTGAGGCATGGACTGGTACCCATTTTGCAGGGGCTTTAGTTGTGAGTAAATATTATTAAATTTGCATTTTGAGGCAGATGGGGGCATCTTGTTTCTGTGGTGCAGCTTTAAATGGGATTAGACTTCATTACTGCCTTGCAGACCATATTGATTGTTCCATTAAATGAGCTACGTCTGGGAGGGGGGTTTTCTCCGGGAAATGGTGAGCTGAGATGGGGAAAAGGGGTTGCGATAGCACCCATTGTAAATTGAAATTGTTTTGGCTTTGGCAAATTCTTGGCTTCGAGTCAATTAAGTTTTATAAGCAGCCTAGAGAGAGGCCATAAGGCAGATGGAGTTGCATTACTTGTGTAACCAGATGGGAAGCTCAAGGGGTTGAAGTTCCCTGCAGGACGAACGTTTCTAAGGTAGCCATTGTCGTTGACTGGCTGCAGCTTAGATAAATCCAGCTTAACTCTTTAAAATTACGAAATATGTAGGTACGGGCTATTAATGATGAAATGGCGCTTTTACTTCCCTGTATCTTAGTATCTAAAACACATGCTATTGCTGCCCCTTAGATCAGAAAATAATATTGATAAAAGAGATTTCGATAAATGAGCTTTAATTTATTTTTAGTTTTGAAATAAATCATATTGACATTTTTCATTAATTTAATAATTAATACTATTAATCTGATTGTTATAACATAATATCTCTCAGTCTTTTCTTTTAATACATCAATTACATAAAAGTAATCATTTTCTTAAATTTTTCTTAAAGTTTCCTGGCTGGATTCCCTGTGGCCTCACCAGCTCTCATTTATGGAAGAGCTGCCCTTCTTGGGCTGAGTGGTGGGGAAAGAAGTTGCATCCAGACCTACGAGAAGTGTCCTAAAAATGATGTAAGATCTGAAACCAAATTGAAATCAATGACAAATTATGGAAAATGTGGAAATAATAAAAGCTCTTTTTAAATAGATGGAAATAATTCACTATTTGAACAATCATCGTGGTGGCTTCTTCAAGTTCTTTAGCGAGCCAGAGGAGAAGCCTGTGGCCTCGCAGCAATCAGATGGAGGCACAGGATCCTTGTTCAGCATTCTCTCAGCCTTGACTGGAGGCGGTGGTGGAGGAGGTCAAAGTTACACCACTCCGCGACCAGTGCCCAAACCCACTCAGCGACCCTCCACCGATATAGCCAGCGGCATCGGAAGCTTCTTCACCCAGGTGCTATCCGAATACCTAAATGGAGTGGAGTATCAGAGGAGGAGAAGGAGAAGGAGTATTCATATGGACGATGACTTTCACGACGAAGAGGACAACCTGGACACCCAAATGAGTCAGTTGGTGAAGTTTCAGGATGATGAGGAAGAGGAGGAAGCCAAGGCCCATACAGAACTCATAGGCGTCCTGCAATTTCCCGAAGACGAAGGTGAAGGTCGGGTGGTTAACTTCAAGGACATTCAAAGCGAGGAGCAACACGAAGAAGGATCTATTCGATTTCCAGATCCCACACCAGCTGATGCTATCAGGGAGTTTAACCGCGATGCTGCCCAACGAAAGCTGCGATTTCCTCAGGATGAGGATGAACCATCTGAAAATGTTAGAAAAGCCAAGAACTTGTCCTTCATGGATGGATGGAAGGTTGTTCTGCCAAATGGTCTTTCCCAGTCTGACATTGGCGGGGACAAGCGCAGAGGAAAACGCATTGTGTTCAGGGATACCAACGACCATCTGGATGAGCAGAGGTTGCAGGAGGAAAGGATCAGAGAGGATGAGCAGTTCAGGGAGGCTGAGTTGAGGGAAGAAAGAATCCTGCAGGATCAAATCAGGGAGCAGCAGTTAAGGGAAGAGCGATTTCGGGAAGATCAAATCAGGGAGCAGCAACTCAGAGAAGATCAAATACGGGAAGAACAACTCCGAGAAGACAGAATCCGACAGGAACAGCTCGAGATCCTTCGTATCCGTGAGGCTGACACACATAACCAACAGTCCTTCAAGGAAGAGACTCCTCCTCCAAATGCTGTCTACGATGATGCAGCTCCACCGCAACGTGGAGCCCGTGTTATCTTTCCCGATCACTACGAACAGCATATAAGGAAGGGCAAGATCCTTAATAGACCGACCTATGCTCCCACCTACGAATATAACGAGATTGGAGAGGCCAAGGAGGACCGACTGGTGGTCAGCGATAAACAGAGGCCTCATAACCACTACCGACTGGAGGGGGGATTCAATAACTTGAACTATGGTGAATACATGCCGGGAAACACGGTTCGTTTTGAGAGCCCAACGAATGAGAGACCCCACTACAACTATCCTAATGCCAACTACATCAGCGATAATCGTTATGGAAGCAGTCAAAACCAGAAGCCACATTACGAAGATGACAAAAATATTTATGTGACCAACTCGCAGGGTGTTAATGAGTACTACATTCGTCCGGATGGCAGTAAGGTCTATCTAAAAACAGGTTAGGTTTAAGTAATAATTACCTTTTGATTACAAATCTTAAAACTGTTTACCACTTTGTTTTGCAACTGTAAATATTTTAAGGCCTCAACTGACTGTTATCGTTTTTTGTAGTTTAATTAGACCAACTTGAATACTCTTCTTTAAAATATTTTCTAATTTATATTAGCCCTAAAAGCAACGTTAATCGGATCAATGGGTCTACTTTAAAGACCCGCCAAGAGGCAGGCCACCACTTAGTCGCATAAGTCTGTAAATATTAAACGCTTTAAACAAATATTTATTAATAAAACACAATTCAATCAACCGAGTGTATGCAAAAAGATAAACTTTCTTCATCTGCGGCCATTGTTTCAACAAGTGAAACGAGTTGCCAGTGGAATTGTCGCATAAATCTAGCGGCAAACGGCCTCATCCTGGGAATACGTTTGAAAAATTAAATGTGATAAACCCGGACTATAATGGAAATGGAAAATAAGAAAACAAAATGTATTACGAAGTTTTAGGTGAAATCCTGAATACCCTGTGTTATTATTTTGTTATATTTTAAATAGAGAAAGATCGAAATTTATTCCACAATTTAAATTTATTAGTACAGCTTTTATAACCTTAATAACCCTTAAATTTTAAAGGTTAAAAGATTTATGTTTGATTAAACGAGTATATATTCCGTTTTAAATATTTCGCCATTATAGTATTATTAAAAAAAAGTGAACAATTTCTTATATTTATTTAAATATTTTTTCGCTCTTTAAAATATAAGTACACTTTCTGCTTATATGGGGTACAAAAGAGACAGCAATGCTAGTTGAAACCCCTAGAAGCACCGAGAATTTTATTTATTTATTTTTTCCCGCCAGCGTTTTCCCAAATGGTTGAGCGTTTGTCAGCAGGAAAATCACACAGAAAATTCAAAAGTGAACAAAAAGTGCAGCATACTTTTGTGCGGCCCAGGCGACCAGGGCTGTCAGGGTTGCCATGGCAAAAGGCAAAGCTCGCAGCGACATTTGCTGGTGCAGTTGCTGTCGTCTTATTTTATTTACAGCACTCGGGACGACGACAGCAGCCACCGTTTGCATGCAAACCATATGCAACGAGTTAATAAATGGGAAACACGGACTTGTGGATTTGGAGTTGGGGTTCGGGTTTGGAGACAGAGACCCCGACATTTGGTTTTCCTTTGGTTTGTTTTCCTAAATGGAAAGTTGTAGGTGGAGTAAGAAAAAGAAGTGTTACGACCAAAGGTAGGAAAGGGAACGACTGGTAGTTGATGTATATTTAAAAATATTTTTAGTTGTTAAATGTTTTATTTTCGTAGAATATTTTTATAGAAGAGAAAAAGAAAATACAAATATTTTTATAAATATATCGTACTAAGCCTAATAGTTTTTGAGAATACTTTTACAGTATAAGACGTGAAAAATGATAATTTGAATTTACAGAATAAAAATCTTTCAATCTAAAGTTTTGTTTACAAAACCTTAATAGAAAACAATTAGTTTAAGTACCTTAAATAATTTTGCGTCTTAAGTAAGCTCTTTCAAAATTTTCTTATTTTGTAAGCCCTATTTTTGATGCTTACAAAATTGTTGCGGAGCCATTTCGTTGTAAAATAAAAACAAATTTATTGTTATTTATTAAATTAACTAATAAACACAAAAATAATCAACTTTTTTGGTATAATATAATATAATAAATTTATGTATATATAATAAATTTGAAGAAAAACTAATATGTATTGCTGCTAAATGTAAATTCTCACCTGTCTGAAGCTATAATTTTTCCAGGGTATTTAGAAACCCGTTCCCTTGCATCTTAATGCCTTGCGTCAACAAATTGCGAGTGGCATTGCAACGGGCCCGAATTTTTTGTTGCATGCTCTTTGGCGTATCAATTTTTCGCTTCTTCCGACGGCAAGAAAAAAAGGGAGAAGGGGAAATGCATTGTCCGAGCGGAAAATTGAGGGAGTCCAGACATGTCCCGGCATAGGAACACACAAATTTTGGTTGATTTTTTCCAGCTGGTTTGTTTATTTATTTGCTTACACATAAATCTAAGCGCCTACGTCCGTTGGCAGGGGCGCGTTCGTTTAAATTAAAACCCTTAAAAGCAACTAAAAGTACAACAATATGATGGGGTGTTCGAGGACAGCACATGGATGCTGGGTGCGAGTGCCGAAAGATGGATGATTAACAAAGATGTCCAATGTGACTGACTAAGGGGACTCCATCCGGATGCTCTCCTCCTTCTTCTTTAGTACGAAATCCCCCCCGAGAGGTGGTGGAACCGACCAGATCTTCACCGTGGTTGGGGTGGCGGCAGAGGTCCGACGCCTGGACAGGGCATCCTTTTGGCCAGATGCTTGCAGAGCGGCACATCCCGCACAGCATCGCCGATGAACAGGGATAGCAGATACCATTGTTTCATCCCACTGACGCCCGATTGCACTTTGTAGTTCCTGTTGGTCGTTGAATATCCATGTTGCAGCACGTTGCAGGTTGCAGGCGGGGAATCGGAAAGCGGATTACAGAAATAATTACTTATAAGTAAGTGGGTAATATGCACACATAACAACAGAGGCTGGAAAACAAAAGCACTTTTCAACAGCAAAAGGAAGAGTTTTCCTTCACAATGCAGAATATGTTTGATGCGGAGTGGGCTTAGCTTGGGTAATGGTTGGTACTGGGTGATGCTTATAAAGGATTGAAGCTGAAGGAATAATTAAAGTAGAACGACCGCCAATAAGTAGCAATCATTCTGGGTTTACCTTAATTAACCATTTATGTCAGTTAAGATGCAATCTTTTGTTTAAATTTGTAGGAAAAAACAAACAAAAGAAAAAGCTTGCAAAAACCAAACTGATGTCTTTAAACTAACGTAGTTATTTATTAGTTACTAAAACTCTTCAATTCCCTCACCCATTGTGTGGAAAACTACAAAAGTGTCCTTTTTGGACAGGATCCTGCTGATTACTTTGTGATAACTTTCCATTGCCTCACGAAAACCCTTTACTTCACCACCTATGGACCCATGGACAGTTCAAATTTCACACGTCTGCAGTGGCATAATTTAATCAACTCGGTAACAAACACATCTGCAGCTGCCCTCCGGAAAAATGGGAGAACGGAAAACAAAACAACTGAAAGAGACGTGGAAAACTGACCAGAGCCTGAAACCTGGAGAAAAGCCAGCTTTGGAATGCCGTTCCCCACTGTGCACTTGCATAAATTTAATCAAAAACTTTAATCATATTTTATTATTACAAAACACGTCGAGTTGCAGAAAACTTCTTCTAATGCCAATTACATTTGCAGCGCAACGAAAACTAAACAAAAACCAAAACCAAACGAAAACATCACAGCCAGACCCGTTCGGGGCTCGTAGCTGAAGGTTTGAAGGTGAGGTCTGTCCTCAGACAGACGAACATTTCAGAAATAATTTTGAATATTTGCTCTTGACACGTTGGCCAAACAACTTTTGACCATTTTTCGGGGATGGAGGTGCAGGGGTAAAGGGTGAGTGTTTTTGCACATTAAGTGTGAAAGTGTCAGATGCATGTGGAAACCTTTTTGCGATAGCACAAAATATTAAATAGAATGAATGGAGAAAATGTTACGCATACGACATGTCTGCCAAAGGGCTTTCCTAAGAAGCTTTTCTTTAAGCTGTCCTTTGTTTGTCCTGTTTGCCCGCCCTTAAATACTAGTATTTCAAAATGAAAACTGGTGGCAACAATAAAAATGTTTTACTACCAATGACCAGCCAAGCTTCCTTGCTTTTATTACACAGAAACGCCAATAAAAAAATCAAGGAAGATGCTGCCGACGAGACAAGCGCATTAATTATGAATCACAGCAGTTAGCATGGTTTAGCCGGGGACTTTTGATGGGTGAGAAGAATAACTAAATGCCAAAGACGAACATTTCCATGACAATGGGGAGCTGCGAGGGCAACCAACTCATCAGGATCCAGGAACTGGCAAGCCAAACTTCAATTTATGTAAACTTACAAATTCAAATCCAAAGGCAAACTCTTCTCAGTGGCGGTCGTGACATGCACTTTTAAACTTGGGAACCCTTAAGAAACATTAAATTATGCACAGATGAGTTAGCAATGCCAATGACAATGGGCGAACTGCGAACTCCAGGATGAGACAGCGACAACAAGGAGATATAAAAATTGATTGGAAAACATTTTGCCTTAGCTAAAAACAAGCCATTCATTTGCCAAATGACAACAGCAGCAGCGCCAAACTGCCAACGTGGCCATAAGAAATGCAATCGCAGAACAGAAATTCAACCAAAACGAAATGAACTTCAAGTTGTTACTGCCAGTTGGAGTTGAGTGAGTTCCCATAAAGTCAGCCAGGCTGCACTTGAGCTGGCAGTAGGGGAAAGCGCTCGAAAGAGATGATGATGATCCAGCACCTCCTTGAATGCCCTTAATCAGAAGGAAAAGAAAGTATGCGGATGTGGAAAGAAATCATTTGGGAAAAAGTAATTATAAATGTCGGGTAATCAGTCTTGGAAATGGCTTCACAGGTACTTTAGGGTATCAGATACAGATAGTTACATAAAATCAAGTAGACTATTAAGATTTACCATTACCCTCCGAATTGGTTACCACACCCTTACCATATATCTTGACCTACCTCAAAACCTCCGACCAGGCGGCATGTGGTTTTGACTTTCCATCGCCCGGCAATCTCCGTTCACTACTTCCCAAATGCTTGGAGGCGTGGACGCGGCATGGCTCCTCCAGGATGCAGGCCTGGGGTCCAAACTCAGCCAGAATCTGTTTCTGGGCCAGCTCAGCATCAAGAGCTAGTGGGTGAGTGGTGTCCCTTCTGCTGCGGGATCTGTACGTACCTGGAACGGAAAAAAAGTAGAATTTATTTGGTTTTTTTGATGGTCCTCAAAACGAATTCCGTATAAACGAAAATAAATTTGGGAAACTTCATTTTAGTGGAAATGTATGAAGAATATGTAAACTCTTTTTAGTCATTAAATGTTTAATAGTTAAATAGTTAATTCAAAGAGTAAAATGAAAATGAAATATAATTAAGCCCCAAAAAGATTATTATTCAAGGGGCGTAGTCTCTATAAGGTTATTGATCTTATCAATATATCTCTGTTTTCTTTCTCTAACAAAGCTTTTAATTTGGCCAAAAAGTTTCGATAATTATTTTGATTTGGGGTATTTCCCTGGTTACTCATGCCAAAAGCTTAGTCGCTCAACTGTCAACACCATCAAGCTTCCCTCTCTCTAAAAATTGAATTTCCGGCTTCGCGGAGTGGTGGCAGTTGTTATGGTTTAATAGTCGAAGCCATTGGCTTGCCGACAGCCTTGACCCCATTTTCACATTTTGTCGGCTAAGTGGACGAGCACGATAGTTGGCAGCCGCTTTTGTCATCGCACTTGCAGATCAGGTTTTTACGGTCCAACGCAATGGGTAACGAGTCACAACAATCAGCAATAGACACGCATTAACAAAATGGTTCGGTTTTACCACAATAAAGCGATACAAAATAGTACAAAGCCGGTATTGGCATTTTAAGTTTATAATTACCGAAGGGTACACGAATTATTGTTATTACTATAGAGCAGAAATATTCAATTAACTGAAAATTAATGTAAAATGTTATCTTAGCAGAAAGTAGTTTAGTTTCCCAGAAGTAGTTAGCCTCACTGTTTAGGTGTTAGAAGCGTTGTAGTGTCATTTTCTATTGAATAATTTTAAGTTCACATAATTTTTGGCATAAGGCAATAGCGCTTATATATGGTTTATTTTGATAATAAATATAATATTAAAAAGTTTCTAATTGTTAAAAATTACAGCAAGAAATGCAAAACCATAAAATAATTAGTACTTTTTTTAAGAACTGCTTTTAACTTTCTGGAAAAATAACGTACACTTTTATGAGCTTCACACATTCTCAACTCTGTTAGTTAACTTAAAAGCGAAAGGAGAACCACTTAAAAGCTGATTGGCTATAAAAATATTCATTAAATATTTGGCAATACAGCAAACCCTTAAAAGTTTCACATCCACTACCTTTTGGCTTTCCCCATTATTATTTTACTTTAAATCAGTTAATAAAGATGCATAAATTAAACTGTAAAAAAGCTCACTTGAATGGCAATAAAAATCGCCGGCCATAATTTGGACTGCTTAAATTTCGGAAATTTCCTCACCAAATTCCTGCACTGATTTAAACAATGCAAAACACTTAATTTATGCACAAAAAATATTTTAAACTTTCACTCGATGAAGAAAAGAAATTAAAGACTGATTGCGATGGGCGCCAGACATATTGTCAGACTTACTGGGACTGAGGGAGTAGGCCAGCTTCTTGGCGAACTGGGAGAGCCGGACGGAGAGCACGATCACGGGGAATCCAACAAGCTGAACGGGAAGCTCGAAAAGTGGATCGGAATTCTGGGCCAGGCCCTCCTCCACGAATTCCAGCAGGAGCAGCAGCAGCACGCAGAGCGTCGGCAGAAGAGTCACAGTGCAGATGTACCGCAGATTCATGGCCGCCGAATGTTAAGTAATATTTCGTAATATTTACTATATATGCGATCCCCGGATCGTTTCGAGTTTCTCGAGTGGAGCGGCTGGCGACTTGGTGCGCTTAAAGTCTTGGACTGACTGAAGCGACCTGCGTCGGCTTAAAGCCGCCAAAGCGCCGCTTTAAAAATAAACCGAACGTTAACTTTAAAGTTAACACAAACGTAAACAAAGAGAAGCGGAGACCGACAGTCGCTGGACGAACCTCAAGTGTAGGCCCCAAGAAATCACTTGTTGTGTAAAGCGCACACTCCCATGTGTGGGTTTACTTGATTCAGGGGCGGAGGGGAAAAAATGAAGGGAATTTTTTCTATTTTTCCAGATTTAAGGGATCATTTTTCTTGGTTTTTTTCTTGTTAATTAAATGTTTTTGTTATTTCCCATGATCCAAATATATTTATTATCTAATCAAATTAGCTTTAAAAGGCCAAATACAAACACTTGTGGAGTACAAAATAATTTTTAATTAGTTTCTAAATTTAGTTGAAAACAACAATCCCCTTTGAAGAAGCCCCTGACCGTTTCAGGTTTTTTGCGGGCCAAGTTTGTTTTGCATTTTGACCAAGTTTCGTGCGGAAGCCAAGAAAGACAAGACCAGCAAGTGAAAGTGAGGCCCACCAAGCGGAGGGCGCAGCCTGGGCACTATGCACTCTCTCTCTCTCTGTTGAGTCCCCAAAAGTCGGGGGACCATATACTCATAGAGTGGGTATATCTCTTTCTCTCTGGCATTTATGAAAAGTTATGAAATATTCCAAGCCAAATGTCTGGCCATTCGCACTTGCTTCGACGGGGTTTCCTTTCTGGCTCTTTACTTCTGCGGTTTTATTTTGGTTTTGGCGTTTGGCTTGCATATCAATTACCTCATTTCCTTTGGGTGTTACCGGCTGGCTCGTAAATGAAGTGCAAGATTTCCTATATTTGCTTAGTCAGTGATTTTAGCAATTGGTTTTAGTTGGCCTTTAGTTTGGGTTTAGTGAGGGTCAAGCGGCTGGGTTTGTCGACTCTCAACAGGTGAAACTTTCTGGTGGAACAAATTGAAAATATATTTAGGTGAAAGCTTAGTTCTGAGTGAAAAACTTTGGATAAAGTAAACAATTATAAAAAAAATAAATTTTTTTAAATGAGTATTAAAATAGCGGTTTAAAAATATATATTTTAGGAACAGTGTGGCTAAATAGTATATATTATTTTTTTATAACTTTTTAAAATTCAACTAGTCGCGTTTCAAAAGCATATTTTGCTTCATAATTAAGATAAAAATATTAAAAACAAAGTGCCTAAAATGTAAAATATTTAAAAGAAAAAAGAAACTTTAAGCCGAAGAAAATATTTAAATAATTTTTCGTAAAATTTACCCCGATTAAAATGAACCAGCAACAATTTATTGAACTAGTTCCGCAGATAATTGGGCATATCTAGTGCCGTTTGGCCAATAGCGCCATTCAACATTTACTTCGTAGGCTCAGTTAATTATCACTATTGAAGTTAACTGAATGCTTATGCTCGTGTTTGGCAAATCATTTATCAAACGACGCCATGGAGCACGTGTCTCTGGCCAGGTTGGCCATTGCAAGGAAAGTAAAGTGGCAAGGAAATCAAATTAATATCTAGGAAACCCATTTTAAATAACTGTGCAGATGCAATGAGGCCTCCGGCTATAAGAATAATTGACGACTGGAGGCAATCGACCATCAAAGAGTGGTTCAATCAGTCAGTTGGCCAAGTTGCCGGGACCCGTTTGAAAAACACCTCGACCAGATCACGTAGCCACCGCCGGAGTTATGCAATTGCAGTCCAATCCAAGCCACAGTGGAGACTCTCGAGCGGTACTCAAATTGTAAGTGCTCCCCACTACCGCTACGGGAAATTCGCTTTTCTCTCGGCGATGATTTAAAGTTCGTTTTACATTTTATGCACATCAACCGTACACTTGATTTTCTCCTCGTCTGCGACTCTTTTCTTTCTTGATGTGCAGCAGGAAAGTAGGTTGGAAAATGCAACTTTTTTAGTGGAAATTTTCGTGTTTTTCCAGTTTCCTTCATATGGTGAAGGTTTTAGATATTAACACTCTTCCTTTGGGTGTTTAAATTTGAAGATAAGTATTTTAATAATTGCGTTGTTTTTGCTAAAGCTAAGGTTTGAGTTTATATTTTCAGAAAAAATAAATAAATAAAATAATACTTGTTTTCCGTTTCAAAACAAGAATTCCTTTGTATTTCAGTGTTTTATAGTTTTAGGAATTTTGAATATTATTTTGGTTAAAGTAATAAAACAGCTTTGTTGGCTAAATGCAAGAAAAGTTGAAAAATCTAAGGCTGATTACTTACGTTATTATAGCTTTAGTAATCGAGCCTTAAAAGCCTTTTGTTTATTTGGAAGAAACCAATAAAAGAAGAGAGGAAAGAGAAACATTTATTTCAGAAATTACGTCCATTGCTAAGAGTATTTAATATTCGTTAATGCCCGGCAGTTGCCAAATTTTTGCTTTCATTTTCGGAGTAGCAAGTATGCGGAAATTATTAACAGACAGAAAGAAACCAGCGGCTGACAGAAGTCTGAGACAATGCAATTGCACCTGGTGCACCTGTCCTCCCAGTCTGCTCCCTCCCCCTTAAGTTGCATAAGCCAAACAACTTGTCAAACGTCAAGCCCAAAAAAAGCAGAAATTGAGCCGGGTTTAAGCCAAACATGAAATTTGGGCCAGGCCAAACAATGAAAGTTGCGCACTGGAACACGCAACTAGCGTAACAACAACATTGGCCAAAATGCTGAAACAGTTAAGTAAATCTGACCCAATTTCTGTTTGATATTACGAATATGTTGACTTTTATTGTTTTTTTCCCGCTGCTTTGTGCAATTTCTGGCCCAATTTGTTGCCAAATCGAACGAGTATGTAATTGGAATTTCAATTAGGGTTCGATTTTCAATTTATATTTTCACTCCTCCTACCACTAATGTATTCATTTTTTTTATTTATTGCCTCGTGTCACTGACTGATTTATGCCTTATCGAAAAACCTAAAAATATAATCGGGTTTTTGTTTACTTTCTAGCGTTTTTTTTAATGCAGCCATCAATATGTTGGTCATAATTCGACAATTTCACCCGCTTGCCCATTTGTTTTTTTTCTGCTGGCAATTGTGATCGGAATAATCGATTGGTACGAGAAGCAATTGTAAACAAAGCGAAATATATTCTTATTTTTTTTGCACAATGCCATTTGGGTAATCGAATTTGCATTTAAAGTGTGCACTAAAATGTTTGGCTTTGTTTTTGTGTTCAAGGTGTGTGGCATAGTTTTTGGCCGCGCCTGAAAGTATGCAGGGGTATTATGTTCTTGGGTTTAAGTAAAGAAATTATTTTATAAAGTATTATACCCTGATTATCCTTAGAAATAACCGATATAGAGTGTCCTGATAAGAGTTTTAGCTTTAATTTGCTTACCGTAAGAAGTACTTTATAAAATATTACAAATATTTATCCCACTCAGTAATCAGTAATCAGAATATCATATCATATCTCGCCAAGCTTCCTATCAAAATGATCATGCAATAGACCACTTTAAACCCAATTATACTAGACCAATTAAACTGCGCCCAGTCAAACGAGAAAATCTCCAATGATTCATCACAAAGTCCGTTGAATTGATTGCCGCAACCTTACATTGCATAACAATTTCTAAAAATACGATTTCATTGCCAGCAGGTCGAATGCCGCTTCCTAGCAATTACAAAAGCCACATGAACTTGGTTGCCTCAATAAAAAGTGTGTGTTTTTTATCAAAGCCATTTCTCAAATCACCCGAAGGTGACAAGGCAACTATTAAGATGGATTCAACAGATCATTAGGCAGTATGCACAAAACAGTGTAATTTATTAACAATTACAGGACTTAAATTTAAATGTAATGCTAAATCGGGTCGTGACTAGTCACACTTAGTATAAGTACTAATATTACAAACTACCTAGGACTCGTAGCGAGAAGATACAAGTGCTTATAGTTCTACAGTCACTTCAGTCAAGTCGGGACTAAGGTCTAATCTATATTTAAGGTAATTTACATTAGTTAAAGGTAATCCAACGGTGAAGACATATGGTACAAAAGTTGAGGCGGTCCTAACTAATACTTAAGATACCTAAGATCCATCGGCTTAGACCCTCACTTTGTAGCTGAGTTTCATTAGCTTCTTGGAACTGATGGGGCAGTTCGGCCAGAGATTGGCACATCCCATCGGTCCACTGAGATTGTCGCCCGTGTGGCGCATCAGCTCGCCCATGTGGGCCGCAAAGTACCATTTGCTCGGCGGCATGTTCATCATCCAGGGCATTGTTGGAGATCTGCAAATAATGGGCACATTAGACGGAAGTTTCTCCACAGACGAATACGAGTACAACTGAACAAATGTTAAATATTATAATAAGCCATTATCATTTCACGCTTCGCCTGCTTTTTCGCTGGAGTTTGTTCAAGTTTCGCTTTCAGTAGTTTTTCGTATATCTAGATTCTAGAATGCCTCAGCCATTCACCTTGCTGTTTACTGACTCGACTCTACTGTACAAATATATATATTTATATGTTGGCCGGGCTTTTACATTAGCTTCGGCTCACCTTCGTCTCAAGTGCGAGGTTACAGCTGAAGTTGAGGTAGGTTACGACTGATGATCTATGGGTCCAGCCGGATCTCAAATATTTGCCACATTTAGCTAGCCTAAACAGAGCTTTAGTTTCTCTAAGTGCTGCCCTTTGGCTGGCTGATTGAGTCATCTACCGTTTGTGTAATCGATTCTGGAAACCAACTACTTTATTAGAAATATAATGGCTTGCAATTGTGAAAACTGCACTGGAACCCTTCGAAACCTGTTTGCAAACTTTCGTAACTGTCTGGCATGCAAATGTTTGGTAGATCAACTCAGAACTGGTTCTACTTGCTGCACTTTAGCTACAAATATTTGAAACAGTATTTAATTTATTTAGTTCTAAAACCTCATTTTTAAATATTTTAATGAGGGTTCAAGCCAATGTTTAATCCCGCCTTAAATTCCAAAAAAGTGCTGTTAATCATGATAAAACCAGAAACATCTAGAGTCTTTCTAACAACTTCAGTTTTATGTCAGATGTAGATTTCTCATCGAAAACTAACATTAGTTGATGCTTTTTGTGCAAGTCAGTCACTGCAAACCAGTTCCAAGAATTTGCTTAAAACATCCATAAATTTGTATATTTGCAGTGTTTGCTGACATTTATAAACAGTTCGTTGTGTTAAGTAATTTATTTGAATTTCTAAAACAGTTTATCAACTAGTATTGAATTTACTTCGATCTCAATAAAGTTTGTTATGCAGCTTACTTTAATCTGATAAATATATACTATGATTTCTAATTTGATATCCAAATCAAATGGCTTTTAATTAACCTTTTAAAGGTAATTTCTTCCTAATTTTGATTTCTCCTTTACTTTTCTTCCAGTGTACTTGTCACTTACCTGATCAGTCTCAGCAGCTCCCGTTCTTTTTCGCTGAGCTGGTACTCTGGCTTAGAAGCCAATTCGCAGAGCATCTTCGGCAGACACGACTCCTTGATGGTGTCCGTGAGCTGAGACTTGGTCTTCAGACTTGCCCCAGTAACCAATGCCATTCCCGGCTTCAAAGCCGCTGCTGATAACTCATTGAAATCGTGCTCTGAAAAGAAAGAATAGAGTACAATTAAGCTGGGAATGTTGGCATATTAATCAGGGGGCTGGCCGCATTTAGATTTTGGCATTTGGTGGTTTTGTTTTTCCCGCTGGCGCTCATTTGCATAGCTAACTGCTTTGGAATTAAGATTTCAGATTTCGGTAACTGCGCAAATCGTTAAATAAATTTATTTATATAATATATATATTGGGGGAGAAGAGAGATGGGGGATTCCGTTCCCAAGGTTGCTAAATCTAAATGACTCAGAAAGCTTAGAACAAAAATCGTCAACAAAAGGCAACAGATTGTTAACATTTGAGCAAATATGCTGTCAGGTAAATACAGGTAGAAATTGAGAGTTTGGAAAGCGTTGAAAACAAAGGGAATTTTTGTTGATTTTTTCAGAGTGCATAGGCGGTGAGTAAGTTAAATATTTATTTGGCTAAATATGCGTCCGATCAGCTGTTGCGAATATATACGGGCATATCCAACACTCTTTCAACTCGACTCCTATGCCCCGAACAAGGCCAAGTCAATGCGTTGAACTTTTGTTTGAATATTTGTTCAGTCATTCAACGCTTAGTTTCTTATTAATTATGGTCTCTAGACGAATATTCATTATGCTGATACCAACTAAGGCAGCTGGTTTTGTAGGATTTTTAGCTTTGAATGCGGAACCGATGCAAAAACCCTATCGCGGTGTGAAAATCCAAGCTTTGACCTTTTCCTTACTGATTAATATTTTGGCTAAAAAGAAATGCAGTCGAGCATGACGCAGCTGGATTTGTTGTTAAATTTAAAGATATAAAACGAAATAAATATTTGGCTTTGTTTTTATTGGAAATTTTTATATGGGTAACTTGTTTCTATTCAAAACAAATTTGAAGACGCAATCATAAATAATTTTAGAACGTCTTTGGGAGAAAAACATATATTAATTAAGTAAATGGAAATAGTATTTCCTTTGAATCAGGTTTGAAGTGGTTTGTTGTTAATCCGACGACGTTTCATAATAAGAGTTATTTTATATCAAGATGCCGCAAAGGTATTATACAAATCTGTAAAGAATGAAAGCATTGAACTTGATTCATTAAAACTGCTTAAAATGCAATTCCCTGGGTGATACCAACGATATATAAAGTCAATTGAGGTGACTTCTTCGATGGAATCAATTTGGTTTCCAAGTGCACGTAATTGAATGGAAATAAATACAAATTGAAGTGCAAGCTCGGCATGTTTATCACGCACTGCATTTCATTTATTTTTTTGGCCAAGAGAGAGAAAAACGTGTAAAGAAACCGAAATTAAGATTCAGATAATGCCTTGACTATATGGAAAAGCACGTGCTAAAACTCTATTGAAGTGAACGGCATTTACGGCGATTAACGTGAAACACCTGAGATTACCAACTTCACTCTCGATTTCCGTTGAACTCGTTTCTAGCTCTAGACAACTTCTTCAGTTGGAACGGATTACGTCTGGAAGCGGAACCGGTTATAGTCGGACATATATGACTGAATATTTCCCAAGCCCGAAAGACCGTGTCTTGGCTTAGTTCGATAAATTAAATGTCACAAATCAAGTCAAGTTTTCATCACTTCCTGTTCGTTTCAGCCAGCTAGAATAGTGAACTTTGTTCTTCGATAGTCACCGCGGATTTGTCTAGACATCGCTTACAAATTGAGAATTTTAATTTTCCAATGAAAAACCTTATGTTTTCCCAAGCTTTGAGACCTAACCCACGCTAATGAACTGCCACTGCTTTTCCCTGGGAAAGTTGCGATGCAATTCAAGACCCTCTCTCAGCATGCAAAGCGAAAACTTGTTGTTCGCTTGGAGTTTTATTACGTCAAGTTTATTTGCCTGGCATTTTTCCACTTTCACCTCGAAAAGAGCACAAAAGAAATACCAACTTCCAATGACTTGGAGATGGTTTCAGCCATCTTAATGAACTGTGAAGTGGTCTCAGGGTATATTGCTTTCATTCACGAAACATGGACTTGAAGGGTTTTAAGGTATAAGTGGAATATAAGTTGGTTTCATGTGGAAATATTTATTTCAGCTATTTATTTTTTTATTTTCAAATATTTTTATAACTTTGCTTTTGGAAAAGCTAAACAAAAGTAAAGGAACCAGTGTCAAAAAATAAAGAAAGGTAATCTTAATATTCTACATGATGATAAGAAAAACGTTTTAAAACAAATAACAAATTATTAAAACGTCTAAAAATATATACAAAATACGTATAGATATATATATCATTTGTTTTATAATAATAAACTCAGATATTTATCTACAACATTTTTATGGCTTTGTTCGTAGAACTCTTAGAGATACAAGAATTATATGTTTTAAAGATACCAAAAATACTTATCATGCCCATTATAAACCCAAAATAAGGTCAATAAGAATTGATAAAACTACAACATTGTTGACTTAATGCCCTAAGACTGCTGTATTTTAATGCTTCCATGCGAATTCAATTTCCTAGTCGTTTAAATCAAAGCTAAAGCCACTATCCACTGAACTCTCGACTTTCCTTTGATTTGATTATAGTTTTATTGCCTCCACACACATTCGTTCGGATATCTTTTCCGGTTTGGTGTATACCTACGACTTTTGTTGTGCAATAACCCAATGTTATGTCATTCGATAGGGTTCGATATTGTGTATGCAAATCAGCGAGAAAGTGCCGACGAAGAAGTGTATTTTGAATCGCCTTTGAATGCTCTTGAACGTTCGATTTGGACATGAACTTCGATGGCGTTGAATAATAATTTGAATAATTTTATTAGTTTTTTTTGCGAATTTTTTGGAAATAAAGATAGGCTTCTTTCTTACTTTTAAGTATTGACAATAAATCTTTAAAAAATAAAAACTAAGCACTTTCCACACCTCTAGCAATTCACATAGGGAAATCAAGTAATGAAGTCACTTTCCTCAAAAGCTAGGTCATAAAAACACATAATGACTCTGTTGTTGTTAATGGAAACTTTTGCCGTCTGGCGTGTCTGCTTAATATGCCAGACAACGTTGAACTCTAGGAAATATTTGAGTACTTAAATCTCCAAAACATTTCCTTGGAAAGGTTTCAGAAGCATTAAACTCGAATGATTATTCTTAATATATGTAATTATACTCTATTCTGTTCGTAATAACCGCTTCATTAGTTCAAACACACCAAAGAACGCTTTGCGTTAAAAACATAATTAAAACAAATATTCTAAATGATAGTTGGATTCCTTAAAGTACACATTTTTTTTAGACTTAAGCCCTCTCCCTCCCTTAATGTATTTTCTAAATCGACTTCATTACCTTTCAGAAGTTAAGCTACACGTGCGTAATAAACAATCGCACATTAGTCTCCCGGGCCTCAGTTCCGGTTTTCACCTACAAAGCCGCCAACAACAAAAAACTTAATTAAACATTTAAACCCGAATTGAAGCTTACACGTGCCTCCAGCAATTTATAAGTAAGCCTCCATTTATAAATCGAAATTAACCTTGATACAGCCAAAAACAAACAAAAAGTTTATGGTAAGAAAAACTTAAACAAATTCCCCTAAATATTTGCAGTAGGCGATTGAATTAAGTAAACAGTGTTACTATATTAAAAATGTTTAATAGCTAAAACAAATATTAGGCTACTAAATTTAGAATAACAAGAAGAATTTAATACCTTTCTAGTTATATTGTGTCTAGACTTTAGACTTAACATTAAACATGTTCCCTTATTCGATGTTCTACTGTGTTTCCAAAATCCGAAATAAAAATCCCCAAAATTTTGCAACGCATGCCAAGCCAGGCGAGCAAATTATTTTGTCAATGAAAAATGGCAAAAAGTTTAAAAAAAAATAAGATGGGATGTCAAGACTAACCTTCGGTTATATCGATTTCAGCATTTTTTGGCTGGAACTTGCTAGCCGCTGCAGCCGCCGGACCCGTTGGGGCAACACCTGGCCCCGCACCGCCTGCCGATCTCACCGAGTGCGGATCGGGGTGGTTGGACTTCATGGCACCACCGCCGTAGCCAAAAAGATCGCCCACCAGAAGCAGGGAGACGACGCCGAAGATCATGAGGCGGCAACGCCAGGCGGTGTCCATGAGAGCCATTATAAAAGAAGATTGACCAATTCACACGCGTTTCACAATTTGATATTTTTTATTTTTCTAGAGGTTGAACTTAACTCTTTTTTGGTTTATTAGCACCTGGGTGTTGACACTTTTTTCAATGGCAAGTCGAGACGAAAAGAAAAAAGGAAAGTTCGGGGGAAAACGAAAGTAGTTTCTTACTCGCTTTTCGAAAACGTTTTCAAATTACTGCGCTGACGAACATGCAAAGAGCGGCAATTAAATTTGGCATTCAAGCGCACATAACTCGTTAGTAACTGTAAACCCAAAATACAGGTACAGGTAACACACGCGATATAGTAATAGATCTTTCGAGAGCCACGATACACGTCCGATTCGGCCGAAAGTTGCAATGCCACTGAACTGAAGCGGGTCCAAGATATAACACTAAAGCTATACTCAGAGGATCAGCTGATCGGGAGAGTGAGTAGTCAGAGTGAGAGAGCCAACCCAGGTACAGCTGTTCGAGAGAGGTTCTCCGAGAGATCTGGGTTTATCACAGAGAGAGAGAGAGAGAGGTAGGCTACCTGTTCGTTGCCTTTTTGCACCCACTGTACTCTGTTCACTGGTGCTAATTGTCTGTGGCCAGTCGCAACCACAACTGTCCATCATTCGGTTAAAAAAAGGTTTGATTAAGGCTAACGCAGAGCACAAGTCACTTACTCACTTACTTACCATCGTAGATTTGTATAAATTTATATATATACATAATCTCAGTTAAACTGGGCGACTTACAGGTTCGATTACCCGCACGGGCTAATGACCTGAGCTAGGGAATTATGGCCAACTTAGTTTGGCGACTATGGAAAGGAATTCCTCGGGTAACTGGAGTGAAAAGATGTGGAAAGATTTAAGTGGCCTACTCAAGTGGTGCTATATATCAAATGATTTAGATTATTTGTTGCACTTATTTTTACTGAAAATAAAATGTATTATAAATTATAACAAAATTAAACAAGTAATCCCACTCAGGTCTGCATGGGTTCAGTTTTGTATTTTCCGCCAAAAATAACATTATAAATAGGCATTTTGCCGTTGGATACTTTTAGCCATCTCTGTGAGGAACAATTAAAACAATATGCCACCAATATTTATCATTTTTTGTAAATACAATACAACATCCAAGTTATAAATGGTTCCCTAATATCAAGCATTTGTATACTCTGCACAGTCTTCAATATTTTAAAAGTCTATATTGGGTATCTTTTTGTAAAAAACACTTTTTATGACACAAACATGTGTGAAGACTTCTCAAATTCCACAGAAAATGATGTACAACATGTGTCCAAAAGGATGAGCAATAAAACAGATACAGCCTAGATCCTTTCTGTACTCGAACTACTTATGGTAATAACCATTCTTTCTCTTTTCACAATCGTTAAGTGTTTTAAGTAATAAATGGGAAATATTTGAAAGTTTAAGCAAGTTAAATATATATTTAAGCAATGACTGACTACCTGCTTCGTACTTGAACCTTTAAACTGGTCATAACTAATAAACATAACCAGCTGCAAAATACTAACAAGATGTTCCTACTTATTAATCCAGAGCATCCTGAACTAAGGTTAACCCAAAATATAAACCAAATTCTTTACTAATGCATCAGACAAGTCTGACACGTGCCTGTCACGTACACCACTTAGTGGCACTGTAAATATTTAAGCGACTTCCTCGGCTTTTATTTATTTATGATCCCTAGGACAGCTGCAAATTGAATGCTTATCGAACAGGTAGAAAGGTCATCGAATGGTCACTGACAGATTTATGATTGCGCTGACGAGGCCCACAGTGCAACGCAGTTAAAAAAGAAAAACCCGCCTGACCCTGCCAACTTGCAGTTTATGCCAGGCAGCCAAATGTTGCAATTGCCAAAAAAAAAGGAGCCAGCCAGTGGAGAGTGACTTTTTGGCCAAGAAACTTAACCAACCGGACGGCAAGTTGAATGCGATAAATGTGCAATCGGAACGTGACTTAGCCGTGGCCAACAATCACCCAAACAAAACCACGATAAAAACCAACACCGAAATGTACTCAAATTAAAGGTAACAACAAGAACAGCGACAATTTTTTCCCCTTCTTAACTTGACCAAATCGCAGTCAAGCGAAGTGCAACCGTCGAGAAGTCGAGGCAATTGCCACTGCTAACTGCAATCTTGAGGTTGACCAGCTAGCCAGTGCTTTTGGAGAAGTAAAAGGAGGGTGGCCTCTGGCTAAAAAATAAATTAAAGGTTCTTAATCTACCTTCTAATATTTTTAGAGTTCAGGAAGAAGGTTCCTGGAACAAGCTCAATATTGATTATGAAGGTATAAAAATAAAGTTAAAAAATATATAAAAGCTAAACTGAAGTATATTTTAATGAGAATCAATAACTCCCATAAATACCAACAACATTTAAAATGCATTAAATAGCTTTATAAGCTGTATTGATGATTGATGGGTTATTTCCATTACCATTATTATGTTGTAAAATCGTTCAAATAACACTTATTGTCTCTTTTTAGCAACAAGTTTACATTTAAGTTATCCGATTTTATTTCTTCATTTCAAGAGCAGCTCCAAGAAATGGAGCTAACACGTTGAGGTTGTACGAGTGACGGAGGGGCAACTGAGAGTTGACTGTGCCACTGGAAACTCAGCTCAGAACAGCTGCAAAAAGCATTCACCCCGCTCTGGCTTCGACTCCCAGAATTCATTTGCTTTGCTTGCCTTCAAATTGCAGTTGCCGCTGTCCTTCAGTTGCAACAACGCCCTGTCCAAAAAAATCACCATTAAATAAATTGCCTTTAGTCGACTAGTTAGTATACCCTAAAAACTAGTATGGTTTATGGAACTAAACTAGAAATTAATTTTTTGAAAAAATAAATAATTTTTTTAAGATTCTCTATGGTGAAATAATTTAAATACTTTATGGAAAAGAACTAAGCAATATTAAGAAAGAAAATAGAAAATACTTTCAAAGTATTTTCATTTTCTTATTTCCAAATATAAAATAAAACTCAACTAACGTACATGCTAGACCTGTATATATATATTTATACTGATATTTAACCTATACCGATGATGTCTTAACCCCTTTATCAAGAAGAGTATGTGGAGAGAAGTAAGCAAGTACTCATTTATACAAAACATTTTGCGCCTCGAAGGTTAAGCATCGAAAACCCAGCAACAACACCGCGACGTGGAAAAAGAGAAAAAAGACTTCATTACCGGCGGGGCAGCCAAGCATGAGGCTTAAAAAAAGTAATTTAAAATTATTATTTTTACTTTATTAATGCCGCCAAACACCTTTGGGTCCGATGGGCTGATTAAGTTTAAGGTTTCTTCGGCCAAATGCAACATGTTGGCACATCATTTTGATCGGGATAAAAATCATGAATGAATATTTAAAGGCTTTATTAAGTGCAAGAAAACTAAGTAGAGATTGTTCAGATTGCAGCTTCTTTTTGAATGTGCTTTTGGTTAAATCAAGCCAAACTGGTTTTAAGTTTTCGTTATTCCCCTCTGCATTACGCAGATATCATAAATGCAACTAGAAAAATCTGAAAATCTGACCAACTGACATTTGTCTTAGCTAATTTAATCTTTATTGAAAAGTAATAAAAATGTAAATATCCGAGTACATTAAGTTCAATCCAACGGGGCTTTATGAAAGGAAAATTATTGGAACAACTTCTTAGCTGAGTTAGTGGGGCACATAAACTGGTTTGCTAGCAAGTTCTCAATAAAACCATAACAATGGCTTTTTATGAAAGTCAATTGAATTGGACATCTAATGGTCTCGGACCAATAATTTTTATTTATTTATATCTATTTGTTAGCATTCATTTGTTAAATACAAAGGCCGAATGAGTTGGCAACCCAAAATTAGAGATGAAAAAATAAAGAAATAATTTCGACAAAAATAAATGTGTTTGATAAGCATATAGCTATTATTTAAAAAAAGAATTAGATTCTATAAGAGTAAGTGATATCATTTAATAAAAAATTATATTTTAAAATATTTAAAGCATAACAGAATTTCTCCAGATTTAATTCCTAATAACAGCCAAAAATGGGTATACAAAATAAAGAGATATGGATTACAAATTGTTTTAAAACAAAATCTCTTTAATACGTTTGTGATAAACCCTTCTTTTAATGAGTTTTAAGAGGCAGAATGGATCTAATTGAATCAACATTCGCTAATTAAAGACATTTAATTCCCCGAGCTTAATGAATCCTTAGATTGGGTTGTCAATTAAATTAAGTTGAAGCAATAAATAGGCACGTAACACCAACCGATTGAACTCACACCATTCTTTGGAACGGAAACGGAAGCAGCAGTCGAGTCTTTGGTGGTGTTTGAATTTTTTGAACTTCTTTGGGAAAGGGCGTTAAACAGGCTGAAATCGTCTCAAACACCTCTGGTAAAATGGACTCAAACCGCAGGAGCAGGAGCAGGAACAGGAACTGAAGTGAAAGACACCGCCCGCGGCTTCCATTTACAGCCTGCTTAATTTATGCTAAACGCGTCGCGTCTTTGCATTTAATTGTGAAATTAAATTTGATGCGATTAATGTTGACACAACATGCGATTAGTGCACGAGTTATACACTGTGAAAAATTATAGGCTATAGTTTAAAATATATTTTAAACATTTACAACTATACAAAAATGGATAGGTTATTGACTTATATTATGTCTTAAAGTATACTATCTTTCCCTTTATTAAATTGTCATGTCTTTATGTACTTTCATACACTTTCTTAGTTACGTTCTTAGAAATGAAATAATTTAAGGAAATTTATTTAAGTACCTTGAAAATATTGCAGTTTTTGTTCATTAAATTATATAATTTATTTTCAGTGCTTAAGCTTTTGTCCACTTGCGGTTTGCCCTTTGGGCTTGGCTCGGTTGGCTTTGGCTTTGGCCAAGAGATGGAGATACTGGCAGATATCTATTAGCCAATCGCCTCGCATTTGGCAAATTATCATTGTTTATAATATGACAATATTCGATGGCAGCGACAGCGACAGCGACACGGACAAGCCTTGCATAAACAATAATTAAATGTAGCCAAATTAAATTTTACACAAAAGCAGGACACAAAGTGACAGCTGGGCGGTGCTTTCCACGACCCCCTCTGACCTCTTCGATGCCATCCTCCTCCGCCTCGTCTTGGAAATGTCTGCATAATTATGTGGTACATGTGTGGGTGGGCGGAAATGCCTCAGTTGAGTGGTCGAGTGCATGTGTGAGTGCCGTGGCTGATAATATGCAGTTTAATTACAGGACACCAATGCCCACAAACAACAATAATGAGAGGACGATCGAGTTTATAGATATTCGATGACCAAATACCCTTTACGAAGTAGAAAAAACTGATACATAATTATGATCCGTTTAATATATCTTAGAAATATTTATAAAATAATTTAATTGCCAGAATTACATTAGTACAGTATAGGAAAAATGCAGAAACATCATGTAATTATTTTTGATTCTGATTTTATTGTGTCTTCTTTATGGGAATATTTTATAATAGCTCTTAATTTTAAAATCATTAACCATCTTTTATATTCGATGGAAAAAGTCCTACTCTCTGTGCAACAAAAATAAAAATGGAAAAGTAGATGATTCTTATCTTTAATGACTAAATTTTTAGCTTTAAATCTTATCTAAAAGCATAAACTAAGTATGACTATATTTATAACCTTAAAAATTTCATTACTAAAAGACCTCTGAAACCCCAAAGCCACGTAAGAGTACCCAGCGTTGTGGTCTAAATTTTGTTGCATAAATTCAAATTAGTTTGAACTGCCTTATCCACCCTTTCAAAACCGACCCAAGGAAGCCTTTCCCTGCAATCCCTCCCCAATGGAACTCCCACCTCCTTTCGTGGCTACGCATCACTTTTAATTTTGGATGTGAGACAATGTTCTTGGTCCTGTCAGGTGCATAACAGCATTATATCCTCATATACCACACAGGATGTTGGTGGCCGAGTGTGGATCGCTGTTTATTGGCATCCATTAGATAAGGGAATTTACGCGAAAGCAATTGTTGGGCTTCGCCTCGACTTCAAAGGCCCATTGTCGAGCTTTGTTCAGTTAGTTCTGATTAGTGGCATTGAATGGCATTTGCGATTAGGTGGAGGCATTGAATTGCAGTTGTGTTGCTGTTTGGTGGCTACATACAAAAATATTTAAATAATAGATTAATAATATTGCCAAAGTTACTGTAAAGGAAGATAAGCAACAAATTTGGATTTTTAATGTATAAAACCGCGTTCTTTTAGAAGGATTTTAAATCTTCAATTTTTGTATTTCTCCAGAGTAAGTATCGCCATGAAACTACATTTTTTGGTTATTATAAATAATTTTATATTACTTTCAGGCTTGCAGTTTTAGACTAAAGTTTAATAACTTAAGTCAGCTTGATATATAAATATATATAAATAATAATTTCTTAATGGTGTAAGCCAGTTCTTTGTGTTAAATTACAGCAACTATTTGTCCGATATAATAATGATTAAAATATTACACATTGTATGTAAACCCTAAGGTCTCCTTTATCTAAATATTACATAATTAATATTTTTTACATATCTCTAGCTTTAAAAAACCATTAAAAATTGAGATTATTTTAAAATATATACTTACTAGATATACAATAAGCTTTAAACTCAAACAAAAAACACTTCCCATATTCACTTTTAACAATTTTGTGTTAATGAATCTGAAATCTGAGCCAGCTTTAATTATTTTAATTAAACTCACAATAATCATCATTATGCCAATCATTTGTCCTTTCGTTTTAATAAAAATTGCCTGAAATGCCGGAAGAGAGAGGAGCTGCTATATACACCGGTTAATATTATTTTTTATGAATTGTTGACCGGCAAATATTATTTTCAGCCCAGCCCCATTCGCTTTAATTACAATTACTCTTGTTCGCTTTTTGCACTTTTTTGTCGGCCAATAACTTTTTTCGTGTTAATTAGTGTAGATGTGGGACAGGGGAACCACCTTAGTTGTTGTACTTGTCACTATGAATAAAAAATATAAATGAATTGAATGACAGTTGGTCGAGAGGAGAGCCAACAACACAAACTCCTGAAGAGTGTATTAAATGACAATCATAATAAAGTTCCTATCGCTGGTGAGCAATTTTAAATGAATGTTTATTCTATGCGTAATAAATGAAAATAAAACAGAAATTATATAATTGACACTCTGTTTATCCATCAATGTGGGGAGCCAAAGGAAGATATTTGCTTAGTTTTGTTTGTTCTCAACCGATGACTCAGGTAATTGCAAATTTATTTTAATTTCATTCAAGTTTCGTAGTCTGCTAAGTTTTCATTTATTTTGGCGTTTTATTGACACATTTTTAAGGTAACTAAAAAGAAAGAACTAAAGTTAGAAATGTAATCTTTTTGCTACTCTATTAATCTGTACTTATGGTATTTAACTTTGAACAAAAATTGTGATTTTTCTCATGGCATTCGTTTTTAGGAAATAGAAATCACAATTTCTCTCCACGTATACCCACAATTGGGTGGCCCCAGCTTAATAGCCCGTCAAGTTTTATGAGCCTTATGAAATTTGTATGCAATTGACAGAAGAACAATCCAAATTATAATTTAGCAAATAGAACAAAAAAGCAGTGGAGAGGCTTAAAGTGTATTTGTTTATGAAATTTTTGTTCGATTAATCTGGAATCTAAGATATTACCTAGTTGGATTTTGCAGTAACTAATACCATAATTTCTTACTTTAAAACCTTTTTAATGCCTACTAATTTATTGGGTTCTTAGATAAAAAATGGTGCACTCATTAGTTTTAAGTTATTTTCCTTGAAAACATGCAAATTAACCAATAAATAGGAACTATTTTCTTGAAAGTAGTTAACTCTCAGATTTAGTATGGTAATGCGTAAAAATTTCTAAAGCAAACTTATTTTTGGTTAATAAACAATATATATAATTTACACGCACATAACAAATAAGATTGAGTTAAGTATTTATTATTTTATTATAGATATTTTGTAAATATTATGAACTTAATCTAATCAAAGGATTGCCAGATGAATGGTTCAGAGCTATTAGTAGATGAAAACTTGTAAAAATATAATTTGAGAATAATGTTAAGGTATAGAAGGAAGTATGAACTAAAATTGTGAACAATATTTTTGGGTAGTTAGAAAAAAACCTAGAGCATTGCGAAACCGACTTAGAAATCGGCGATTCTGATTCATAATGTTTTGTTTACATCTCCGCTGCCTGATGCTAAGTACTTAAAGGCGCCTGGGGGCGAGCAAAAAGAGTCACTTCAATTTCGCAGCGGCATCGATTTGAATACGCTTATAATATACATATTGGGCTGTACGAATTTCGTATATAATAAATATGCGCAGTGTTAATACCGCTGTCGACCCGACAGTTGCTCTTAATCGGTGCATTGCACAATTCGAAACCAAGTTAAACTTTAAGATTGCTCCTGCACTCGGAAAAATAAATAATACTATGAATCAGTGAAACTACCTCAAAATAATCTTATGTGTAATCCTAAAAATAGAGTGTGCGAGTATGTGAAAACTATATAATAAAATATATATCAATTTTCTTACTTAGAACCATAATATTTGTAGTAGACAGGTGCCAAATAAAAAGTCATAAAGTGTGGATGGGTAATTAATTACGGTTTAGCAACTTTCAAGTCTTAATACATAATTTTTGTGACTTTAAAATATAGTTATGAAAGATATAGTAAAACAAAAATAATAAATAGTTTAACAAATACAAACATCAGCACCAAACAAGCAAATCAGAGAACAATTTTACTGTTTTTAATGAAATTGATGGGCAGTTATTGAAAAATATGTCTCACATCGGCTTATAGTTCTTTTAAATTGCCAATCGATCACCCGATTTTTTCCAAGTGTATGTCTGCTCGACAGCCAAGTTTTATGACCCCTGGGTCCGGTGACCCTTTAGTAACCGTCTGATCTCTGCGGCTGTGTTCCGCTTAAAACGCTTGATGCGACATCGTTACGAGGCAGTTGCTATCTAGAATCCACATCGCAATGTTCTGGCTCGGATTCGGTTTCCTCCTTATCGCGTTATCCTTGTATCTGCTATATGTCTTCGAGCGCCAGAACAGGATCGATCGCCTAACCCACAATTGGCCAGGTCCACCAGCCTTGCCGTTCATTGGCCATCTGCACATCCTGGCCAAGTTGATGGGTCCGCATCCAATTCGTCGCGCCAGTGAAATGATTGGCGATCATCTGAAGGATCATCGCGGGAAACTGTGGATGGGCACTAAGCTCTACCTCGTGGACTGCAATCCCAAGGATATTCAGGCGCTATGCAGTGCCCAGCAATTGTTGCAAAAGACGAATGACTACATGGTCTTTGAGAACTGGCTTTGCGAAGGTCTCTTCACCAGTAATCACGAGAAGTGGGCCCATCGGAGGAAGATCATCATGCCAGCCTTTAATTACGCCATGGTCAAACAGTTTGTGACTATCTTCGAGAAGCAGTCAAGGATTCTTTTGACCAATGTGGCCAAGTATTCCGAATCCGGCGAGGCAATGGATTTTCTTAATCTGGTCAGTTGCTTTACGTTGGATACCATTTGTGAAACTGCCCTCGGAGTCACTGTGGGTGCTCAATCGAACGCCAAGTCAGACTACCTCGAAGCTGTGAAAGAGTAAGTTAGCTAAATGAATATTGTAATAACTTTTAATAGAAATATTTCATTGGGACACAACTTAGTCTTGTTCAAATCAGCAAATATCAACGTAAGGCTTAATCATTTTCACACTTTACTAAAAGTTAGCAAACATTTGTTCAGACATAAAAGTGATAGTTTACCCTTTCATTCAACAAAATGTAAAAACCGGTAATCTATTTGAAGTGTAAATGTCTTTAATTTATTCAAACACGTTTTCCGAAACTGTCCGATTTCACATATTTGTCTAGCAACAAATATCTGCAGGGTCAAACTTTTTGGTAGTGACAATTCTGCGAAGTCCCTTAGAAGAAGTAAAAAATTTGTTATATCTTCTTAATTTCCTTTTTTAAGTTTAGCTATAAAAAGGGGAGAACTTATTCAGCTGAACGTAATCTTATAAAGTAAAAGTAAATATAATTCAGACTGCTTCTGTTTTCCTTACAGAATCCTTGTGATCATGGATACACGTCTGAAGAACATCGTCCTTCGCAGTTCGTTTATTTTCAAACTGACATCGCATTACAAACGAGAAAAGGAACTAGTGAAAATACTTCATGGATTCACGGAGGGCATTATCCAGAAGCGTTTGGATGAGATCAGTCAGGACGCGGAGAATTTCAATACCCAGAGCACTAAAAACGAAGAAATGGACGAAGTAAAGCGGACCCTCTCCTTTTTGGATAGTTTGCTCCAGGCAAAGGGCCCCGATGGTAACCCTTGGTCTGTCAAGGACATCCGCGAGGAAGTGGATACGATTATATTTGGTGGCTATGACCTTACGGCTACCACCCTTAAGTTCTTCATGTACAACATGACCCTTTATCCGGAGTACCAGAAGCGGTGCCGGGAGGAGGTGTGGTCAGTGTGTGGCAGGGACAAAAGTGAACCCATCTCCATTGAGCAAGTGCGTCAATTGCAGTTCATAGAGGCTTGCATAAAGGAGACGCTTCGAATGTATCCCTCGGGTCCACTCACTGCCAGGAAGGCCACAGCCAACTGCCAAATCAGTATGCTGAGTTTAATTGTGTTTAAGAATAATTTTATGTTTATTAAACCATTTGAAATATTTTCAGATGAATTCTTCATTCCCAAAGGCTGCGATGTGATCATTTCCCCAATCTACATGGGTCGCTGCAAGGATTTCTTCCCGGATCCCTTAGTCTTTAAGCCAGATCGCTGGGCAAGCGGAGCGAAGGCCAAGATTGAGGCCACTACTTTCATACCCTTTATGGCGGGGGCAAGGAGTTGCTTGGGTCAGCGGTATTCTATGGTGATGCTTAAGATTGTCCTAGCCCACCTGCTGAGGAACTTCCTGTTTGAGCCTCTTGGCGAGCGACAGGTGAAAATGAAGCTCAACTTCGTGATCACCTTGCACACCGTCGAACCATATCTTTGTAAGGTTAAAACTATTGATTGAGGATAGCCAAGAGTCTCTTCACCAAAATCGTTGTGAATAAAGTTAGTTGAGTTTTTAGTTTTTATTTTCTGAAAATCTTTTTGCTTTTTTTTCTCTTTTTCAGATTTATGTTCCTAATTATAATTTTGCATAATTTCGTGACTTTTTAAAATAGATTTTAATAAGTTTTTTTTCCTCAAAGATCTTTAAGTTATTCAGCTATTTCAACTGCCATCCCACCATTGAACTCTTGACTTTTGCCCTTATCAATTCGTTTCACTTGGCTCCTTTCAAAATGGTTGAGTTTCCTTGCTACGCAGAACATTTCCGCTTTTAATGATTTATAAAAAAAGAATTCTGTACAATTTGGAGTATTTTCTGCCTGCTCATTTTTATGTGATTTAAGCGGGGCGCGTTCGTCTAGAAAATAATTTCTGGCTGGCGCGGATTTTTATTGTGCCAGGCGAGCAGCGGAAAATCAACAAACATTTCCTGGCGCTGTAATAAATAAAAATGCATAAAGGCAGCCACCAAACCGTCGCCAGTCACTCACTCGGTCCGTCCTTATCCTGGGGAAAATTCAAACATACTCTCCCATATCCCATATCAACCATTATCCGCCGGCATCATCATCATCGGATTCCGGTGCAAATTATGAGCGTTGCCTGCTTATTATTGTGGCAGTGGCACGGGGCGGGGTGGAGGAGGCGGCATATAAAATGCAATTTATTTAAATAAAAATCAAGTTTAATTCGCAGTGTCGTAAATTTTTCTTTTATTTTTTATACCCTTCAGCTCGTCCCGGGCATTGAATTTCACGCTTTTGTTAACAAGCGCATAAAAGTTGCTTCTATCTGCCAACTGATAGGTTCCTGGTATTGGAAGTGGAGTTGGTTGAAGGGGTTCGAAGATTGTTGAACTCGCTGGCTGATTGGTGGTGGGTTGAGCTTTTATTTAATGGTAGAATGGTATATGAGGAAAGGAAGCCATTCCAGCCAATTCTGAAGGATTCCAAATCGATTTCAAACAATGATGGAAAAATATAACCAAAGCTGTAAATATTTAACAGAAAACAAGCTTAAATACCGGACTTTGTAAGGGTAATATTATGAAAATATTTTATATTTAGAATTGCTTTTAATAACCCTTATTGACCCAATAAAAGTCATGATTAATGGGTTCATCTTAGTACTCAATATATTATATTAACTTAAAATACAATTTAAAGGTAAAATGGATTGGTTTCTTAAGTTCAAATGCTTTTGGGTTCATCATGATAAGAATTAAATATTTTACAAGCACAATTACCTCATTTTAAATGTATTAAAAATCGATAAATAAAGTAAACCAAAGGGCAAAGCTCTGCGGTATCAATAACTGGTTCATTGAACAAATTGTTAGCATTTACATAACTTCTCTGGGCAACCGGAATTTGAGCTCGGACGTCACAACTTTCATAAATAAATTGTAATGTTTGCATAAATTCGTAACTGAATTAAAAAATATTAAAAGCTTTACAAAAAACAACCAAATTTGATAAACAAATTAAGAGGAACATTTTTTAATGTCCACTGTGGACTTTTATGAGCAACCCAACTCCTTTCTAAATCCATCTTGAAATTAAAATGTACGCCTTAGGAGCATGTTTCTAAAATTTCTGGCTCCTTGGCCAAGGTTTTACGATCGTTTTATTGGGTTTGCATTTGGGGGGAGGCTTTAACCCTTCTGTTGGCACCCGCCATAACTTAATTATCCATATGAATCCTTCCATCAGTTTATTGCGACCTAACCCCGCGGCTTTAATTATGATGAGTACTCCGGAGTGTCTCTCCTTTTTAGTGTCAGCTGTCATATTTTTATTTATCTGAATTCACAGATCTTCACGGTGGCTTTCTTGGGGTGTCCTTTGGCCATTAAAACGATATGAAATCCAGGTCCATATCCTAATCCCGGTCCAGACTTGACGCAATGTTTTATTGTCGCTGACTGGGCGCAGTTTTCATTTACACAATTTTTATGTCCAGCATCTGTAAGTTTATGATGGAGCATAATTCACGGCGTTGGTATCGTCAATGTTTAATGTCCTAACAGGCCCAAGGCGAGGGTTCTTAATTATAATAAGTTCGAGGAGTGTGAGGGTGCTTTGCATTGTAACTTTGGGAATGGGTTAGGAATGTTTGCAAAGAAACACGTAGGTTAGTGTAACAAAACTCTTTTCTGCAGTCTTAAGTCTTGTAAACTTTTTGAGAGTCAATTTCTCTGAATTAAAATTAAATTAAAGTTAAAGCACAGAATCAATTTTAACTTCAAACCCCAAGCCCCCAAGTCTCTTCAGGCTTGTTACGACCAAATGTGGTTTTCCTCACCGCATTCCGGTCAATTCACATTTCTCATTGTTTCAAGTTAAGTAAACCAGCCTCTCCCTTCCACCCACTCAAAATGTGAAAACAAATGAAAGCCGCCTACGAATTGTGGTTGTTTTTGGGTGGTGAGCTATGACCAAGTGATGTGTGATGGTGTTACTGGGGACTGGGAAATCCCTGTAAGGTGGGTGGCGACTTTGAAGTAATCGGCCCCGGTGACATTGCCCCTAAGGCTAAGCCTCATTTGTGGTTAAATTGTGTCGCCGGTCGGCAGCTGAAAGTCGATTACGTCAATATTGTCCTAGGTTTACGACGACGGCCCACGGCTAATGGCTAATGGATGGTGCCCATTTGGTTCGGGATCGGATTGGGGTTTGAGAGCACATATTTGCGATAAACTGTAAGTTTGCGGCCTCAGCCAGCCGCAGCTCATATGCTAATTAGTGTGGCATACTTTAAGGCGCCCCGAAATGCATTTAATCGGAAAACTTAACGATCTGAGGAGGGGGCGGCCTTAAACTACGCCCATATGGGAAGAATCCCGCCATAAACTTACTTTGCAAATACATAAAAATAAAAATCCGTTGGAATACATTTAGGAATCGAATTACAAGCGAGTTGCAAACAAAAAAAGGGCAGCAAATAAAAGGAGTAGCTGCTCTACACATTAAAAACGCATAAAATCGATAAAAAAAAAAAACAGTACAACAGCCAAAACAGGAGCAAAAAGCTACAAATAAAGTGGCTATGGACATAAAAATCTTGATGGGATTGCAGTTGGGTTGAAGTATGGGAGGGAGGAGGCTTTTGGCCAGAAACCAATTCAGGCAATCAATTAAAATTGATCAACGAAATTGAATCACGTGTTACAATATTCCGCATCCAGTTACATCGAGCATGTGGGGATGTAATAAAGTTACAATAAAATTCGAATCCATTAAATTGTCTCAAGTACAGAGATTTGTGGGACTTGCTTTAAAGTATTTAAGCTATAAAAAAAACTTTAAAATTTAAGTAGAAGGTTTTAATATTAAATATAACTAATTACGAATTTATTTTAAGAAGGTAAACAGGTTCTCAAATAAGCACACAGTGGCATTCTTAAGAATATAGCAAATTATATTTCGAAAATAAAGACGTGTTTTTATGTCAATGGCAAACTTTTAAACAGTCAATGAAGTTAAAGAGAACTTCTTAAAGATTTCCCTACCTTTTCCTTAATGTCAACTGCAAATTCCGGAAGGGATAACAAGCCAAAATGCAAAGCAGAAACGCAATCGTTTTGCTAATGTAATTAACCAGTCTGCAAGTAAAATGCACAAAAGCAAAGAAATTAGTAAGGAAATAGAGTTGAGGAAAAAATGGTAATGCCTTGAATAGAAAGGGGTAAGAAAATTACAAACTGTTGGTTGCTACACAAAATGTCAACTTAAACTTTTTATGCACAACAGGGAATGGAAAAAATGTACAAATACAGGAGCGAAACCAGCAGCTGTCTTGGTCAGAAGGTGGCTAATTACACTGCACAGCAAACAAAGAAATGAAGCAGAAAAAAAGTGAATGGAAGGGAAAAATTAAATGCAGTCCCTTTGGGGTCGAAATTTGTTTTGGTGAAGACATTAAACAGAAGCCAAAGCGAGGAATTCCGGGCACGTAGAAGTCGCAAAAAATAGTAATACAGAATTAATTAAAACAAAAATTGCTTAAGGAAATTGTATTTTATCTATATTATTGCAGCTCCTAAGAGAGCACAAAATTACCCAGCTTGTCAGCAGCACATGATGCAGAAACTCAAAACAGCCACAGAACAATAACAGAACACGCATATCCAGTAAAGTTTCGTGTGTTTTGCATAAAGTTCTGTCGATCTGGAAACCAAACATTTATACATGGCAGCCACTTGAATGTAACAAGCCAAAGTTCAAAGCTCAAACTTTCGGCCCACACTTCGAAACACCGAAGTGGCAACAATGTTGTGCCCCATATCAAATATCTACGGTTGCATGTGCTGCATTGAGTGTGGTCAGGGTGAAGCAAGTTGGACAAGCGAAAAGTTTGGCTTATATAAGGGCAGAGGTGGGAGGTATATTCCCCAAACTGAAAGCTGAGCCTTTAAATAACAATATCAGTCTTATATCTACTTCTATTTAAGACGAAAGTTTTATAAAATTCTTTATTATTTTGTAGCTGTTTGTTTAACTAAGTTTAAGTTTGTGTGAAGGTAAAGATATCCTGTAAAAGATTAATTTATTTAAGATTTAAATAGTTAAAAGGATTAAAATATCAAAATAGTAATACGCAGATGTTTAAAAAATGGTCCTCAAATGGTTTCAATCTGTTTAGCAGACCGAACTTAATTTTATTGAGCTTAACTCTACTCCCTGGCATAACCCTTAAGTAACCACTAAGTGTTTCAGTTTTAAGCCTATTAGACCTCGAATTAAACAGCCTTTTCAGATGAACAAGATAAGGGACTTGCACCCATCAGAAGTTTAAAAGTAAAATGTTAAAGAGTTGCCATTTTAATTACTCACAAAGAATTCAACGCAATTGGATAGAAAAGCCATTAGGCGGGGAAACAACTCGTACTCCCAACTTAAGAACAAATAATGATACAAATATAAATGCCAGACTCTGTCAGTCAGAGATTCAAGCTCAACTAATGAGTGACCATGCATAAACAAAAACGAAAAATGAGGGGGAAAATGGGAATTTGGACTTAAGTCCATTGCCATGGACGAGCACCTTGCCCTGGGAGACGCTTGAATGTCTCAAGTCAAGCGGCTCCCTCGGCCAACACTTATTTTAATGAGAAATTCTAATTTCACCAATAACACAAAAGACATCCTGGAAAAATGCGCAAACAAATAGGAAAAAATACAAAAATAAGAAATGTGGCGAAAGATATTTTTGCTTTTCCTAGCAAGGAGCTGCCGTGATTGCTTTTCGCCACTCGTCCGTGACGAAAACAAAAGAGGCCGCCGTCTTTCCCCTATCGAAAAGCAGGGAAATCTCTGAACGGAAAAAATACGAATTGCCTGCATAAAAATATCTTGAGTATTTGCTAGTCTGCAATTAAATGAGGGCTCACTTCTCCTTTTCCTACACCAGAAAGGAGGTGACTGAGCTTAGCAATAATAATTACAGTTTGGATGAGTTTTGGGGGGTTAACGTTGAAGTGTTGCTGGGGCTAAAGTTCTTTTGAGTCGGTTGGCGATGGGAGATATGGGGGAGTATTATAAAAGAGTCTTGGTAATCAGTCAACTAAGAACTTAGGATTGACAGTAGGAAGGAATTGAAAACCATACGATATTGGCAAAAACAGAAAATGATATTTAAGACCAAGCTAACAGCTTTTAAATCAATTTTTCTATTATTTAATTTTTCTATTAATAATTTGCCGGAAACCTTTTTTATCCAAACCAAAAATACACAGCAAAGGAAAGATACACCACAAAAAGACAAAGTTCAAGGATATAAATTTAACTAATACACCACCCCAGCAGGCTACGTATATCGCAATGCATTAGGCAACCCCAGCAAAGGGGAGATTCAGAAGAGAAGATACTCCCCCTTTCGGAATGTTCGGCAATAATCAAGCTGGATAAAGCCAAGTCGAATTACAGTTACAGTTAAGGTAACGGTAACGCATGGCAATGTACATAAAATGACACTGAGTGTCAGTTTCAATTAAACATGTTGACAGCTGTAAGGATACGGCCTGAACTCAATGGCCAGCCGAAATATTCACTCCTTCCCTCACATCTCTGAGATACAATTGTCCATGTCTGTGGTGGATTCCTGTCCTCTGGCTATTTCGATTTTAATACAAGAAATTCCTTGCATTGTCGCCTGGCCATAAAGAAGTCCAAGTGAAAACGTCGAAGGAGTCGAACTCATATGACAACTTTATCGGCCCAAAGGAAGAATATTTGCTGAGATTTTCAGGTTGTTTTTGGACATTGACATCTTAGGACCTTATGACACTAGGCTAAAAGGGGAGATAGAGATTTCGATGGATTAAAGTAGATTTGCTTTATTTTTCAAGCAATTTTCTTTCTTCATTATACTCAAGACCTGAAATATCTGTTAAACCTGTTTTCCGACAACACAATCTTTTTAATAAAATGATCAAAAACATAAGCAATATTTCACTGTCTGAATAACCAACATTATTTCCAGTGTTAAAAGTTCCTTTCATATTTTAGACATTTGCATATCGTGCAAGGACTTTTATTTTTTGACAGGTCCAAAAGGAATCCAGTTCAAATTTTAAGTAATTTTATGTGTATTTGTTTTAATTTACATTCGAAATGAACGATAAGATTTGCTTTGGCAATTTTCTGCCTTGTCTTTGCCATCTTGATGCATTGACAACTTGTCAAACACTCTAATATCCTGTACGGATTGTGGGCAGGATGTGGTGGGTGGGACCCATGAGGGAATTTAGTTTAATTAAACTGACAATGTTTGAATGCAAATACAACGATTTTACTGTTTGCATGTTAATTTCCTGTAAGTCTAATTGAAGGTGACAGAAATTGATAATATTTTTCAGCTAATCGTGAAAGGTTAATAAAGAAATGTATATTCTTGAATCTAGTAATAGTTGGAATTATATATAGAAATGTATATCAGACTCAATAGTTAATATCGTAGTGGCATCTTTTAGATAAAGCAGATTTTTTGCGTGTAACAGTTGCGTTTTGTTAGGTCAAATCAAAGAAACATTTTACAAATATTAAATCGAAGAGCTCATATTGAGCTCTCTCCTTTAATAACTTGAATAACTTTATTAATTATTAACTTTATTTATTATTTAAGCATTTGAATTTCTTTCCTAATAACTACTATTAAAGTCAATTGTTCCTTTTATGAAAATCCATAACCCTTGAACTGCGACCTGACCCCAAAAAGCCTTTTTGACACTTCAATAAGTCATTTAAGTCATTCTCATTTCAATATCCTTCTCGTTACCCTCCCTCCATAATCTTTTTTTTTTAATTTTCTTGAGGGTGGAAAGTAAAACCACTCGATGTCATTTTGACGCCAGCAAGCCAGTGACTTTTTCCAGTATTTGCCTAAAATATTAGCGTAATGCCTTTGACAAATCAGTCGGCAAGCGATTTAGTTGGAAGACAGAAGGCTGAGTGCCATTAACCACACCCTCAATGGGCGTTGGTCACACCTCGTGCCAAAATTATTTGCCCAGATTGCTTTCAGAATTGGTATAAAAGAGCTTGTTGACGGTTCGGATCAAACGCGAACGAAGCTGTGATAAAGAGGTCTTGAAAATCATTCTGATTGATTTGACAATCCTCAAAGTTAGAGAGCAAACAGAAAATATCCAACCACATCAACCGGTAATTTTCAAAAAGTATTATTTTTCATTCTAGATGCTAAAGCTGAAATTTAAGATCTTTAGTATTATTAAGTGAAAATGAATGTAAAATTTAGTATGATTAGGTACTAATCAATGGAAATTTTAACTTAAATATAACTTTGAACTCTACTAACTACCTTCTATGCTAGTAAATCCAAAAGTAATACTTACTAGAAGGCCTAGAACTCAATAAATTTTTGAGAAAAAAAGGAACAAAGGAAAACCTTTTTGTATGTGGGGTAACCCCTTTTATAAAGCCAATCACCATAAATATTCAATTTATTTTGCATGATGCACTAAGGAAAGTGTTTCATAGAAATTCGTATACTAGCAGATGTTGCCTCTTGGTAACACGTGCTCTTGGCAGTTGAAAGCTGAATCTTGTGGGTTGGTAGAGGGCTAAAAATATCTCTGCGATTTGATAAGTTACTTCGAAACTTTAAACAAGTTTTTTAACAACAACTCAGTTTAATAGAAATACAAATTTGTAAAATTAAAATAGTAATACAGAAATAAGTAGGGTATTCAAATCATTTATATAAGTACATAACTTTAAATATTATTGAAATACGAAATTTCGAATTTATTAAAAGTCTTATCGGAGTTGACCATTCAATGCCCTCAGTGGTTCCCAGCTGCTCCGCGGGAGAGCAGATGCATAAGTCCACATATTTCTGCTGATATTTCCGATAATGGGGGACCTTTTTAGTAATAAGTTATATTAAGTATTATTATCTGATAATGATAACTCTTATGAAAAGTACACGAAAAGCCTTCCAGTGGATTGCCTTTCTAGCTGGAATGGGCCTCCTTGGCAAAAATAATATGCTTCCGCCTTTTTTAAATCCTGATTTTCTGGGTATAGGATAATGCCTCCCTTTAGACATATTTCAAACCTTGTACATTTATTATTATTCACCAAGGTCTTGAACTAAATCAGACAACATATATATTTAAAAATACATAAATTTTAAATGTAAAAATAGCACTAATATTCCTAAGAGTATGGATTTTCTTCTAAATATTTTACTTTATGGGATAATAAACTTTTAACTATAAAGGTACCAATATTTATAGTTTTTAGTGTAAATATTTTATTTATAGTGTACAATAATACATTCATTTATAAACATATATATAATTTAAAGAAATTTATTTACAAAATTTAAACAGCAGACAAATGATTTACTTAGGTGAATTATTTTCTAATCCGAGTTACTGTCATCATCGTCCACAAATTGGAATTGTTTCCTCGCTTGGAAAGCCCGAAAGGGCGCTACTTTTGCCACTTTTGATGGAGGTTCGCCTTGAACCCTTGATACTATCTCTTTGTTCTGCGGGGAATAGTTTGCCTTGAAGATCTTAAGAAATGTCGGAACCGGAGGAACAATGCCATCCGAATGGAACTTCACAATCCCCTGAATGTGTTGTGGTCGCAGCAGGCTGCATAGCTGACGGAGATGCATCCTGGTCGGTGCCGGCGACCACTTCAGGTTTTCTATTTCCATAGGGACTACCTGCGTTGGCTGATAGATCAGTTCCAAGCCCTTCAAAGAACCGCAGACATAAACTTTTAAAACACAATCCTCTTCCTCAAAACGCTCCATATCGGAACTAAGGCATTTATAGCTTTCTGCAAACTTTTTATCCAGTCGTATATGCCCACGGAGATGCGTGTGTGCCAGCCTCCAGAGCATCTCCTCGTAACCGAATTTCGGCAGATTCAAATACACAACGCTCCTGTTCTCCTTACCGTATTCCTCGATAGTATTCGCCATCTCATCGAAATCCACATGAGCAAACGGTTTATTAACGGAGGAGAGGTTAAGATATAGGTTCTCGGTGCCCTCGGCGATCCATGAGTTAAAGGTGGCGTTGCCCAGCAGCTGACCAAGATTATCCAGCCTCATAAAGGAGTAGCAATAGAGCAGCCTTCCACCTCGCTGCCGCCTAATGAGCAGGATGAGGCTGTTGTCCAAATAACTTCCAGAGCAGAGCATCGCCTCTAATCGCTTACCGTCGCTGAGAACCAGCGGAAATGGCTGCCCCTCCTCCACCATCTTGAAATCCTGCTCATTGATATTAGCTTTTCGTGACTTCAGGTAAAGAAGCAACTGGTTGGCTAGCGGACGGGTGGTATACATCCGGCAAAACCGGCGAGGCAGCATTTTGAGCTGATTCTGCACATGGCATAGGCTGGTTATAAACACCTTACAGTGGGCCTCGTAGAGCTTAGGGATAACATCGAAATGAAGGTCCGGGTGCTCCTTGGGCCGCATATTGATTGAGGCAATTTAGGAATGATCTGCAAGCAGAATATCGAGGTGATTACTAGAGTTCTAAAATGTATATTTCTTGTATAATTTTAAAATTGAAATATTTTTATAAAAGCCATTTTGAACAATTGCAAAAACTTCGATTGCGACGTAACTTTTCTCGGAACTATCGACTTTTCTTTAGTAACGTGACTGTAGTTGACTTCTGAAAAAGGATTGTTTACTCTTCACGCGACAAGCTTTAGCTTAAAGTATTACTTTCAGGTCGTAAAATTGTTGTAATAAATTTGTAGGAAGTTTGAGATATGAAGTAGTTGTTTGACAGGCAGAGGTAACTGCACTATGAATAATTTTTGTTACCCATTCCGAGTGACGACGCTGCTCTTTTTATGGGCCAACAAATTTTCCGCATTGACTCACACGGAACGAAAACGTCATAAAACTTGTCTCGGATGGGATGATACCATTTTATCGATTGCAGTATTCAAATCCTATGCAAAATGACATTAAAAATTATATTGAAAGTGCCGAAACCACACCGACCATAAAAGTTTCCTTAGCTGCCATGTAAGAACTCCGTTTGAGGTAATTAGTTTTTTGGCCCATGTCTGAGATGAGCTCATAAAAGTTAGCTGACATCGACTGGTTGGTTGCCAGAGAACGCCATTAGAATTTTATCAAAAATAGCACAGAATTGGTTTAGTTTTTATTGCTCCATTCAAGCGAGAAAATGTCATAAAAAAGTGTTTTGGAAAAATGGAAAATGGTTTTAACAATCATGTGTGAGGGATGTCACTTTTTATTGATTAAAAGTACTTTGACTGAGTAATTGCAATTGATTTCTTTCTATATTTTTTAAAACATAATAATAAAAACTAAATCATATAAACAAAAAACTTATGACTTAACTTATACAAATTATTTATTATGATTTATATTGATCACTCCAAAAACTCTTGCTTAAACTTTGCGAATCAGCTTGTAATCAAAGTAATGATGGCTAATAAATAATTTGACACAGACAATGGACCAAAATGGCACAAAGTACTTAGTTGCACGACTAGAGACCTGCCACACCCTGCCACAAAGAATTTACATATGAATACTTGGGCGTCTGAAGGATTTAATCATATATAAGTCCATCCCTTCTGCCCCGGAATGTGAAAAATTGAGAAGAACACATGTGATTACGGGGTATCTGAGTTTGTGGGGTTGGCCAATGACTAATGATTCTTTCATTTATCTTTAGATTGTTTGCCGTGAAAGTGTTAATACCCGTAGACTCCACATAACCTATCTCAGGATGCCATGTGCGCATATAATTACTTGGATTGCTGGAAAAGCTTTTGTCATCATTTTAAAATTATTTAAATTTTACTCTGAAATGACTAACTGGCTGAATGCAATGGCTCTTCGTTGATAAATGAGCCACTGATGAGTGGCGTTGAAGAAAGGCCCAGGCTAAATGAAAAATTATCGCAATTTAGGTGTTTGCTTTTAAGCTTTTCCAAACGCAAATGGGGATGTGGTTCTGCGAGAGATGCTCGCTGATAATTATAAGGGATTTGCATATGTAATTTTCCACAGTTTTTGCTTTCCCCGACTGAAAGTGCCAAGTCATTCAATCTCAGGCAGTGTTTGCAAAGGTCGAGCCATTTAGGGAAGTATACAATTCTTTAAGACTTAAAATATATGTATTTTTAAATAAATACGATAAAGCCAAATAGGAAAGAAACTCTGGAAAATTATTTCCCGAAACTATCACAATACCCTATTATCTTTAATACGACAAACAAGTATAATGACGATTATAAACTTAACTTAACTCATTCAATTCTTTAATTTCATACATAATCTTTTTCAAGACAATAAAACTAAGCCCAGTAAATCCTTTAATGCTTCTAATTGATATCGCCAGCCATTACACGAAATAAAACGAGAAAAACCATTGGGGAGAAGGGAGAAGAATGTGAACGGAAAGGCCCAACAGAGATTTGCCAAATGAAAGATTTATGGTGTGCCAGGGAAAACATTTGTGTTTATATTCCAGTGTTGGTTCTCCACTCCTCCAGTAACTAAAAGGACATGTGGAGTTTGCGGCGGAGGATGTGCCGAAAGTTCATTAATTATGATTGGAGACAGTTGTACAATTAATAAACGAAGCGAAGCGACTATTTCCCCGGATTGTGGTAAAACTCCTTGGATTCGAACTTTTGGGGATAGAAGGAGAAAATTCTTAGCGGAAGCGAGAGTTTCGTTTTTGGCTTTTTCTCTCTATTTGTTTAGCCCGAGATTATGATCGGACTTTGATTTATGGTTGCCTGTGCAAATTTATTGCTTTTAATTGTATGCCCCTTAGGAGTCCGACTTGAACGTTCATTTCCCAAACATCAGCCAGTCGCTGAGTAGTTGGCAGCTAATTGATAAAAGTTTCTTGAGTTATTCTGGCAGGAAATGGTAGTGGATTACATAAGAAGAGGTCTAGAGGGTGTTAAATAATAGTAGATTAAAGTATTTTCGTGTTTTTTTGTTTTTTTGTAATTTCCTATGCTTTAAGAGCATTAGAAAAATATAAAATAATTATAAATATGAGAATATATATATACCAATATGCATTGACATTTTTACAATCCCTTTCTTTCTTGAATTTTGAATCTGCAAGTCTGATTCAAAAATCATCAACAACCCAGCCACTTCCTCAAACTTCTTGTTATGTCTTTGAGCATCCCCAATGGAATCTTCATTTACACATCTTTTTTCTATGCATTTTTGGTTTCGAATGCAACTTCTCTTTGGCAGACGAGCGAAGGTGGGAGTTTTGTCCTTCCAGGGCCTCAAGGCATTAATTGCATTCTGCAGCATCGCATTGCACTTTCAATTAGTTTCAAATGCCTAGCCCGAAAGTAAGAGAGAAGCCGAATCGAAACCCCCGCCCCTGGTAACAGGAAACGGAAGTTAAGTGCTGAGGCGAGGCGTTAAGTAAATGCAACCCCAGATGAAAGCAAAGGAAGCAACTTCTATCATGACACTGGAGAAATACGCATTAATTGAAAGGTGACGAAGGAGAAGGGGAATACCGGTCTTAGGGGTTGACTGTGTTGCAACTTTTGGCCACTGTCCAGCTCCAGAAAGTTGACCCCTTGTTGCAAATTCTGCAGTCACTTGGCTCGAAGCCATTTCCTTAACAATTTCAGAGAATGGGAAAATACGGCGGCAGGTTACCTGTCTCTAATGCATTTCAAAATTGATTTATGAGTTTCTTTCGGCTGGCTGGCAGCCTTAGACAGATTTCTGTTTGCATTCGGGGCTTCATGTTTGTTTTCAATGTTAATTAAGGTTTACAATTTACCCATCGGGAGTGGATACAAAGAGGTAAAAAGCAGGGGGAAATGGTAATTGACCGACAGCAGAAACGATTTGTGTAATTTCACGTGATAATATAAGATGATAAAAAGAAAATGCTATATATAATAGCTAATTTTATCTAGCTATGACAATATAACAATAGCTTTCCCGTTAAATAAATTCCTTCAAAATTTTCCAACTTTTCCCTTTCCAAATCAAACGGCTTAAGTTGACTGCTCCCGAACAATAGCAATAAATTGCTTTTTAAACACTTGAAAGACGGACAAGCGTGTTCAAAGTAACATTGGCGTCGAATGCACTTTGGCTCCCACGCTCCTCCAGGATGTTCCTCCTTGAACCTGGCTCCTGGATCCTAGTCCTATATGCTCCCCGATTCGCTTCGCTTGGTTTCAGTTCGAGTCGAGTTGGCTTACACTTGGCAGCTGACAACTTTCTAAGAATAACTGCAAAGCGATTTGCATATTTAGCTGCATGGAGTTGGGCCAAAATGGAGGTGAGAACTTTATCGCTTCTAATGCAGCCAGCCGAGGCACATGCATCACACACTCACACTCGTAAGTCTTGGCCAGAAACTTTGGCAGACAAGAAATTTATTTATAAACACAAGAAAGAGCACTTGAGCTGGTCTGTACGCTCAAAATAAAAGCAGGGATTTGTAGAAGTTGCAACAGGGTTAATGAATCAATAATATAGAAAGGAATATACAGAGGAGAATAAATAAAATTGTTTACAAAATAATTGCAATATTTAAAAAGACAGTAATATTCTGTAGCAGTAAATTTATTTTTTATATATTTCCTAGAATATAAAAATGGTTTTCATATAACAAAAAAAAAACAGTTTGTTGCGTTGAAAATACTAAAAATGGCAGACTACAAAGCATTTGAAATCTAACAAAGTGAGACGGAATATTTCCTTCTTCAAGGAGTTTCCAGAATACCCTGCTGATTAAAGTAGACCAAACTATCCTTTACCGTCTGAAGCACTCGCTTATTATCATATAATTGGCGGCGTTTCTTTAGCATGGCTACTGAATCTGTAAAGGTGCTAAGCCCGAAATCGGCGCTGACCTCAGGGGCAGCACAGCAAATGGGAAGCTCGCAGGTAACTGCATAATAGCCATAAAACAAGCAGCGCTGCATCTCATCCTTTAATAAGTCAAAAGTTGGCAACGGTCCTTTGAAGCCACAATGTTTTAAGGTCTCTTGTAGATTCTGCAAATAGTGTTTCAGAAGATCATCCTGGTGTTTCAGCAGTATTTCAAGCTTAACGCTGGTGTAAAAGAAGAAGTAAAGGTCTACGGTCGGGCTGCCCCAATAACAATTCTGGAAATCCACCTAAAAATTATTAAATGTTTAAAAAATTTAAATCGTTTAAAATAGAGTTTTTTACTCACAAATACTGCCTTCTTATTAACTGAATCAAACATTATGTTATTTATCCAGAGATCACCATGAACAACCGCATTTAAGGATGACTTATTAGGATCCACCACATTTTTCATTCTTTGCGCATATGCAACTGGTATTTGAGCCCTCATTTTCTTTGATATTTCTGGCAGTTGATCTGCATAAACATCGGCCGCATATTCAGTAGCATCTAGCATAAGAGCCTTGGAGAAAGGATCCGTTAGCCCATAGGCATAATGAGAAGGTCTCAGTTTCGCCACCAATTCTGGTTGATTTTCGAACAAAACCATAGAAGAGCCGTGAAACTGGGCCATTTTCCCTAGGCAAATCTTGGCCTCTTCGAGGCTGGCACCTTGAAAGCGGTTCAAAGATCCGTATCCTAGGGCGCCCAGGTCCTCCATTAGGTAGATCTCCTTGCCAGCTGATGCCTCGGCTAAAAGGCAACTAAAAAGGTCAAAAAAAAATCGTCTTCAATTTCCAGCTGTTTTGTATGTTATCTTCGAATCTGAGGAAATATAAACAAATGCTCTGCTCTTTTATTTATTCTACACGGCACTGATATCATGCCACTTCTTCTTTAGGGTCATTATCTTTAAAAGTATTGCAACATGCAAAAGCTTTGTTAATTTCCTTTAGAAATTTTTGGAATGGTACATTTTTAGTACTTACTCTGCACTCAGCTTGTTTTCACTGAAATCCCTTGGAGTTTTATCGAGTATGGCTGACATGGCTGGCAGGAGTTGCTCGAACATATCCTTTTCGTTTGTGCCCAATTCAGCGGCAACGGGCAGGAGATCTTTCAGGATGTATTTTCCTGATTCTAAAGCTCCATCGGGGGACCTACGAAAGTCCAACACCACCCGGTAGATGACGCTGCAAAAGTTTTCGCCTGTTTGGCTCACTGTTTCGATGTTAAAGTTCTCCACTCGCAGCATTTCGCAACCGTAAGCTTTCGCCAAAGCTCTCTCGAAATATTCAGCATTATAGTTTTCCCGTTCCATATCACGACCGTTCTGAACAAACCTCGTCAATCGACTGAAGCCATTTGCGGTGCACTACTTATGAAATTCACTCAGGGTTTCCCCTTTAAATTACAACTAGTATATCTCGGAGCTTTGTCGTTATCACGATCCACACTAAACACAAATTAGTTGCCACTTGAGATTCACATATTTATTACAGCTTTTGCATTTTAATATAACCGAAATAATGTTAAACAATTAAAGAGTTTGTCGCTATAAATTCTGTTAAGGTATTCAAATATTTAAATATTCAATTTAAAGAACATTTTTCACTACAAAGTTCGAACAAATTTGGTTTCCAACTAATATTTTATAATTTCTTGGATAATAAAAATAATTTTTATCTCAACACATATTTTCTCTGCGTGTAGATGTGGGAGAACTTTTTCTTAAAATCAAATAATACGTGTTTGTTGATCACACCCCAAATAAAGCGGAATTGTCTGTGGCTTAACTTATTAACAAGCTTAAAATATAAATCATAATAATGGGTAAGTGGTATTTGGTTAATTTCCTAAATGATGGTTCAGGTTCCACGTGTAAGAGAGTTATGTTTAAGGGTTAATTTTGTTTACCAAATTCCTTTTCAAGATATACAAGGATTATGGTTATACGAGATCTTTTCAAGCTTAATCTGTACAAGAAGTAATTACTTGTCAGATTATTAAACATGAATAGATTTTATAATGCAATCTTCTGATCTTATGCAAACGCATGTAAATACATAGTATGTTATAAAATAGCTTGCAAAATGGTAATTGTTTTTTCCTTAAGAACTTCAACAAAACTGTAAGTCAAGTACTTTCCTAGCGAACTCTTTAAATGCGGATAGGGCATTAAGTTAGCTTTCTTAAGAAAAGATATATGGAATGACTTATAAATCGTCGGTAGTTGGGTTAGTTAAGAGAATAGGAAGATCGGTGTCCGGTACTAACGGTCTGATTTTTTGAAGGGTTGAGCACTTGTTAAAAATGAGTTTAATTGATATGTCCAAGATTGCGTGAAATTAGAATTGAGGGTAGAGGAAATCTGTATAGCCAAGTCATATACATATAAATTAGAATTATTTATTATTTAATTCTTCTCAGCTTGTCGATAATATATTTTATATATGAATAAAAGGCATGCAAAATATAAAAACAGAAATTAATTTATTGAAATATTTAAAAAAAAATGTAAGCCCTTGGAGCTGTTTTAAACAGTGTTTTGAAAGACCAATCAATCGAGCGCAACAACCCAATCCTTTAGATCTTCAAGAAGTTTAGTATTTATGAATTACACTGTAAAAGTGTAGCTTTAATAATTTAATTCGTCTATTGGTCGACTAGCTAAAAATTCCTTTATGCCACCACCTGGCATATAATGTTCCTTAAACCCAAAAAATTATAAAATTATGCAAAATCTGCGAATATTCGAGGATATGCCAATATAAACCATTCTCAAATAGTGTGTATTTCTAATTGAAGATACGCCCTCGTTCACGTTACTGTTTATTGTTATATTTATAATAATTACAATAATTTATTATTATCAGAGTATATAATGTGATTGTTTATATTTACCAACCTTTTCAATTGCGATTGTCAACAAACCGGAAAGAAACAACATCGATAAGCCTTTGGGCTGAATCCCACTTCACTCTGCAAATTGCAGTTGATGCACGCAAACTTTGAAGCGAAATGCATAAGTTTAAACACGATTAACTCGCGATTTAGTTGTTAAAATAAGTAAATATGAATGGAATTTCTGAAATTGAGAAGAACATTGCGCTTAGGCTCTAGTTCAATGCGATCCGGACCGGTTCAAAAGAGCAATATCAGCTGTTTGAACTAGTTTCCGGGGAGCGATAAAGAGAATCAGCTCAATACCTTTATGCTATCGATTAATTTTTCCAAAATGAAATGCTATTTATTGGCGGGTAATTTAAACATTTAAAAATATACAATAACCAAAAAACTAAACATAAATTTGGGAGTAGTAAAAACAATAATAATATTTTGAGTTAGGTTTTTCACAAAATAGAAAAGAAATTAAGGTTTTGTCTTTAACATTAAAAAGAAAACAGCTTATATATGACACTTAAACTTTATAGCACTTTATTAACAGACTTGTTTAAACTTTACAACTTATCGAAACATTAAAATCCTATAATGAAGTAGATATAAACTTAACAGATAACATTATTAATACAACTCAAACGTGTTCTCCTTCCGTTTAAGGGCACAAAAGAAGTCGATGTCGAGAAGTGTACTAGGATTAGCTATTCCAGCTGACTTTACAGATTTTTGGGTATCGGCATTCTTCACAATGCGATTCCACTCAGAGAGGTCGTTGCCTGGATTCTTGGGATTGGCTTCTTGATGGAGAAGTTTCAGCATGAAATGGGCTTTTATCAACTGGTTTAACAAACGCACTAAAATAGTAGAACACATTAGAAATAAAGAATAAAATAAAATGGTTTTTAATATACAATGAATCGGCTGAAATCCAAGCAAATCTGCATGCTCACTCCACCAGTTGCAAATAAGGCTGAGGTAGTGTTTGGTTGTCTCCTCGCAGTCGCGGAAAAGGCAGGTGAGGTAGTACTCATGAAAGATGAGGGTCAGCAGGTGCACCGCAACGCGGGAAATTTCACCCACCTCATCAGTACCTAAAAAGGTTAGCATTGGATTTTAAGAGTTGTCTTATATTGCTAAAAGCTCAATATTATTTAAAACAAGTTAAATACTACTTCATTAAGCTGTTTATAAATTAAACTAACCTTTTTTCCTCTCGTGCAACATCCATTGGTGCATCACCTGGAAGACAATTGAGACCGCACTGAGGCAAAGCTTTACATAGCACTCGCAGCCTTTACCGCGCTGCGTTGAACTGGAAGTTGAATTGGAATTTAGGTTTGAGTTTGATACTGATGCTGATGTGGATTCGCTGGAGATTGATCCTTGCACAGCACCAGTGAATGCGCAACTTAAACTGCTGCCTGCTTTCATTAGAGTACTTTCACTAGAATCCTCCTCGCCATCTTCTGCAAAGTACGGCAGCATTTCCAGAATGAAATCCGGTGGGTTCTTGAAGCACTCGAAAGCAAAGCGTATATGATTTCCTCCGATTTTAAGTAGTAATTGAAAGTGATCGCTTTTTAGAGGAGTTTCACTAAATAAACATATCTCCAGTAAGCCCGCATAGACCTGAAGAAAACAGGAGTCGGGACCAAATCGATAAACAGATCGAACTCGATCCGACACAAAGCAGTCCTTTGGACTATTTACACATAACTTAACCAATAGTTGAGGTTGTCGAAGGCAGCTGCAAAGGCAAGAGCTCAGCTCAGCAAATACCCAGGGACTAGGACGCGTAAAAACTAGTTGCTTAAGGAGATCAAAGAGAAAATCCTCATTCTGTTGAAGCAATCCCTCTCCTTGTAGAAGACTATTCAGGAGCGATGCCAAAGCTTCCAGCAAACCAAAATGTTTGTCAACCTCGTAGGAAAATCCCAGTTTTATAACAGCTTCAACGGCTACCTCTAGTAATCCCAGATCATTTTCCTTCCACTCTAGTAGAGCTCTGGAAATATTTTCCTCTTGCCGGCAAATCAAAGCCAATGTAGCCATGTAGCGACGCAATGGCACAGCTCTTTCGTTCTCATGCATGCTACCCTGCTGCAAAAGGGAGCTGTGATGAACTTGCTCCTCGAGGTTGTAGGGATTATATGGATATAGCATGCAATTGTGTGGAAAACCCAAGCTTTGAGCATATGAAGCAAACTCCACAAAAACCTTGCTGGCGGAGGAGAGAACTTTTGGGACGAGGTTATCCAAGGTTTCCGGTTGCGCCTGCAAGTGAGCGTAATGGAGGAGCAGTTGCTTCAGCTCAAGTTCAAAAGGGTTCCTTCTCTTTTTTCCTTCATCCTCTTCCTCGTTATATTCAAACATACTACCATTATTCGGCTTCACTCTGGACACAGATCTGTGCACGTTAAGCCTATGAAGACGGAGTAAGGAACGCTTCTCAGATGGGTTTGACGCAGCCTGCACAATGCTCATGCTTAAATTCATACTTCTTTCATGGGCCCTTTGCTGCGTTTTTAACTTGGTATACTCGGCATTTGTTATCTTTAACTCGATGTCCTTGGCTGCTATTTGTTTGGCCGCCTCCGCAACTTTTTTGTTGCAATCCCGGTTCGTTTCGTCGGCCAAAGCCAGCTTTTCCATCTTGCTCGCCTGTAGCTGCTGTCGCACGTGCTTCAATTCATCGCGAAGCAATGTTACCTCTCCCGACTTGACCTCATTGCGCTGGTTGCTGTCGCCCAGATTCTTTTCCAGCTGGGCCTTATCCCGCTTAAGGGCTTCGATCCGTTCCATGAGGAACTTGATCTGGTGTTCCTGCTGGCGAGATTGAGTGGCATTGATGCTCGTTGTGGATGTGGTCGTGGTTTTTTGTTGAACACTTGTAATCCTGGAAGTCGTGATCCTACTCGTACTTGGCTTCGGTTCTGGAAGCATTTTTGGCTCGCTGTCGATGAGAGTTACGGCCAGAAAATCAAAGTCATCGTCGTCTCCAAAAATGGCATCCATGTCCAGAGCAGTGGACGGTTTAGGCGCCGGTGGTGCTGGAGGTGGAAGCATTTGCTGGGTGCTGGTGGAGCCCTGGCCCATGGGAGCGAATTCACTGAAGGTCACCTCACTACTGGCAATGTCCACCTCTGTTACAGCCTTCCTCTTACGCTCTTCGGCTTCTATTTCTGCCTCCGCCATCTGAGTGGCCATCAGGATAACATCGTCGTCATCGTCATCCCAGAAAACCCCTTCAAAATTATTTCTCGGCGGGCTGGGCCGCGTTGATCCGCGGGTCACGCTGACATCCAGGCGGGGTTTTTTGGCCCGCGCAAAGTCTTTCATGGGGCCATATCGCTTAGAGGACATGGTTCCTTTTATAAGTTATTTTCTGCCCATGGGAAAAAACTATTTTGCCGGTTTGTTTTGTTTATAAAAACACAAGAATGTTGCCAGATCATTATCGCTAGAGATGTCAAATTAGCGATGGCAGTATACGAAGAAATACTGGTTGGTATAAAATGAAAAGTATGTATGAAATGGAAGACATGCTAAACCTCTGAATTACTTATTGGGCTTGCAGTTGTATTAACAAAGTAGCATATTAGCATTGCCAATGCTTTTTTTGTTAACTCAAAAGAAATTTTGCATTCACGCAGTTCCTTTAAAAATTAATCTTGTAATTTAATTTCCGTTACCATTAAGTATTTAAGTAGTGATACTGAAATCTGCTGGTCACACTCATAACTATCGACTGCTGTGTATCGGCATGTGGACACTCGGTTACGAATTGCCCAGCACTGCATGCTTATTAACCTCAAAAATCCAAAGAATTTAACGAAAATCTCGAAAGAAAACAAGAGTTCTTTCCCAGTATTTAGAGCGTAAAACCTTCCGTTTTACAAAAAACGGGAGGCGCGAATGGGACGCCATGCCAGCGAAGCGGGTGACGACAGCCACAGCAGCAGCTTCGTCTATTAGTGGAGCCAGTGGGTCCACTACTAACAATAATGGCCCGTCTGGGGGCGGGACACGTCCCCTGGAGGCGCTCAATGGTATGACCAGGCTAACACCCGCCCGCGACTTGACTCTCGGTGGACGTGGCGCTGGAGTAGCCAGCAAGAAGGTCTTTGCCCCCAATTTAAATGCAGTCCGAAACAAAAATGCGTTAGTAAAGCGATTTCCTAACGAAAACAATCATTTCATCATCTCAATTTACCTGCAGCAATGTCAAGACCTCCAAGGACACTACCCAACCCAGGAGTGGTCGCCGGGGTGGGCGTGGAAATGGCACAGGAGCAACACGTGGTCGTGGTGGAAATTCCGGTGGCAGCAATTCCACGCTTATCCAAACAGTGGGACTTTTCTCTGAGGGAGCAGGCGATGTCCATGTGCGAAGGTCCACTGGAAATGGTACAGCCTATTCCAGAGGCGGCGAAGAAGTGTCTGTGATCAGGAAAAGGTTGGATCGCAAGGACGACAAGAACCAGGATCAGAGGATTAAAGAACTCCTGGGCGAATCGGAGGCCAGCGATGCCGAGCTCAGCGAAGAGGAAGCTAACAAGACTGAGATGGCTCTCAAGCCCATCCTGCTGAAGGAGGGTAGGTGTTGTCATTTACTATTAAGAGTTTGTTTGCAAAACTTTTTGCTTTTATTTTGTTATGGATATAATCGCAAAAAAGGATGTATATAGTACTACAAAATCTCTCAACGCAATTAATGTTAATCCCTATGTTGCTATAGGACTTTGGGTCAACCAGAGCACACCTGTTGTGAAACAGGAGGAGGATTCCAGTTCAACATTAACACAGAAGGGTAAGATTTCGCCGCTTTAATCTATAAAAGCTAATTAAACATTACCTATTAGACACATTGGCCGTGGCACAGCATCTACAGCAGCTGCATGTGGCTGCTATGTCTGCCACTTTGGAAGAACCACCTGTCCAATACGGCCGATATCCGCGCAGTATAGGCAACTTTCTTGACTCCAGTCAATCGCAGATCTTTATCATGCAGCTGCCTGATGTATTGCCATCAGTGACTGATGATTCTGAGGAAACAGAACCAGCTGCAGGGGATCCCATTGCACCCAGTGATTCGGAACCCCCAAGTCCTGCAGCGAACCCCACCAGCGGATCCAAGGAAAGTGTATTACGACAGCTGGAAGAGGGTCAGATTGGGAAGATTCTGAGGTACAAATCGGGCCGCGTCAAACTCCAGCTGGGAGACACCCTATTCGACTTGGATATGGGTCTCGATCCTGGTTTCCTGCAAGAACTAATGTCTGTGACAGCCAACCGCGAGCAACGCAGCGCTAACATGATTAATTTGGGTCCAATTCAGGCCAAACTCAAGGCTACACCTGATTGGGTGCATCTCTTTGGGCAGCAGGAGGCGGCATCCAAACGAACGAATCCCTTACCGAGCACATAGCAAAACCTGCATCCTATCACCATAGTAGATATCTTATTTTGTAAATAGGCTGCGCCTAAGCTTAAGTTATTTCTATTCTAAATGCCGTATATAAACTTTAAATATAAAAAAAATTTATATATGATTTTCTAAGGAAATTACGCTTTGAAAGATTTCCACAGAAATAATAGTCTACAAAAATTAATTATTCAATCATCTGCTAATGGTTTCCCTATAAATCTTAGGAGAGTTGAACGAATTGAGAATTACATGTTATTGGACTTTGTATTAAATTTAATTTATTTACCTAACATTTAGGTTGAACAGGCATTTAAAAAAAGTTCATTGTCTTTAACAATCCTATCATCAAAGAACAACTTTAAGAAACTTCAGTTTCCCATTATCATAGTTAGTTTATGTAATTGAAAACGTTACAAATAATGATTTTGGCTGAATATAAAACCATAATTGCGAATTTCTTAACTTTCGTTTGAATTCCTAAGAAAACGTTTCAGCTAAAAAAGCACTTTTAATGTAACAACAAACTAAGACAATCAATTAATTACTCAAGACTTGCTGGTTGGGTTCAGGACTGACATCAGGAAGCTGAGAAGTGCTTCGCCCCGGGTAAAGATTTCCGGCCAGGTCAATGGCAAAGTTGTGGTCCACGGGATTGGCCAAGGCGGTCTCGATGGCTGCGTCCAAGTTCTCTCTGGTAATGTACGTCTTGGACCGCTCAATCTCGAGCAGAACCCTCTGCTGAGCCTGCTCTCTGCGCTCCTCCTCGCGCACCTGTCGTGCCTCCAATCGCTCCTGCACATAAGCCACCTTTTCTTCTCGCTCTTTGGCTAGTCGCTGGTCACGTTCCTTGGCAATAGCTGCGTTCCAAGCGGCATTCGCTTCCAGGCACTTCTGGAATTCGGCCTCCTCCTGCTCGACAGTAAGCACGATGTGGTCTGCGGTGGAGGTCTCCTCATGATGAATTACTTCTTCCCTTAGGAATTGTCGCACTGAGCGGAGTTGAGTTCTGAAATTAAGCGTTGTTATTATTAGAAGCTCTTCTGAATAAGAAAACGCCGTAAAAAGTAACGTTTCACTCAAAAAAGTTTTTAAGAATTTGAAATCGTAAACATTAATGCAACATTTTAAAAGATACTTGTGTTAGATTTAGAGTACGGTTTTAGGGCATTTTCTGTTGTTGCAACCAGAAATAGAACTGGGAGACAAAATTTACAGCTGGTCCACCTACTTGTACTGGTTGTGTAGCCTCATGAGCTCCGTTCGCTCCTCCTCGGACTGCTTCTTGCGCTCGGGCACGCGGAACATTTTGCTCTTGGCCACCGGCAGCCAACGCGGCTTCCTCCTCCAGCGGACAAATTCCAAGGCGAAGCTATTGGCGCCCGTTTTGCCGGCGGGCAGGGCGGACTGCGTCAGTAGTTGGCATCCCGCTCGCAGCATTCTTAAAGCAGTTTAATTAAAAAATATTAATTTTTACTTTGCTGCTGAACTGTTGTGCAACTCTGTTGGTAGTGAACTGGTTCCACGAAGTACGGTTACTGATTCCGTTTAGTGATGGCCAGTTGTAGTATGAAGCTATCAGCTGATAGAAAAATCCCACAGAATTTCATGAAAAACATCGTCTTTTCACTCTAAAAGGACGTTATTGCATTGCTTGTTTAAAAACTTTATTCGGCTTAAATTTGTAAGATTAAATAGCGGTATAACTACAATATATTTTGGAGTAACTACTTTATTTGTTTCATATCAAATATCTGTTAAGTTCAATGTCTGATCTTATTTCAGCGATTGTAACCCAAATTTTAATTTTTGTGATTTAAAAATGTGTACCCTAAAAAACGTTTTAATAGATAAAGTTTTATATTTTTCGCATAAAAAGCCGCTGGTTTTGTCGAAAAATTAGCCAGATATGCAACGCGCTAGTGTTTTACTCACGCTTGCGCTGAGCTCGCGCTTAAAAGCTTCGGTCGGCCAGGTGAACTTGACGGGAAGGTACGAAAAGTAACTGCTCAATCAGTCGCCGATATATCGCCGCGCTGGCCGCATTAACATTCGAGAAACTCCGCTTTTCCGACGCTTTTCTACGTGGGCCAGCTTAAAACAAAAGTCGCCTGCGCAGCCGGCGCGCCTTTAAAGTTTGTGTGTGTGAAAAAAGAGTTAAATATTGCAAAGTGTTAAGTAATCAGAGTAAAATTAGTGTAAAAGTGCATTATTTGTTGAGAAATTCCAAGGCAAAAAGTTCTAAAAGTTAACTCCCAGAAATGCACACACGCATACCAATGTAAACGAAAAGTTAAAGCGACGATCATTCATTACTTCTTCTTCTTCTCTTTGCGACGTGTTTCGCTTACCTGTCAAAACGCGTGTGTATTTGTGTGCTCCATCGCGTCCTCTCACTCGCTCTCTCTCGATTTGCACATGCAAAAAGACAGCAGCAGCAGCAAAAACAACAACTCCTCTTAAGAGCTTTCAAGTCGAAGTTCTTAACGTCGACGTCGGCAGAGCCAGCAGGCAGCGCAGCAGCAGCGAACAACTCGTACAGGTTTGTTGGCATTTTTTTGATATTGTCGCTTTTGATTTTTGTTTACCTCCGATTGGAATGGGAATTTGCGCTGGTTGGACTGTAAATATTGTCTCATATGTGGGGTGTCGCAATCGCTTACCACGCAAAGAACCCAATAAGAACGTTTCACGGTCCGATCGCTTTAAAATCCGATCCACTTTGCCTATCAAAGTCGTCGAAAAATTTGCCTTCTGAAAAATAAATTTTCTATATAAATCTGTTAAAACAGAAATAAAATACTTTAAAAACCGTATATTTTTCTTAATTTTGAATTTCTATTTGCAAAGCAGCTCGGCAATGACTTCCTTTTTAACTTCGAAATTAAAAATCGGTTGATCTGTTTTGCGTTTGGTTAAAATTAAATTTGTTTTAAATTTGTATTAAATTGTTTATATATTGTTTATTTTTTTTAACAGAGAATTAAATATTTTCGTCTAAAGTATCAAACACATCGTTGTGGCATTTGATCTTATATTTCTTATCGAATGGATCAGTCTGTTTACTTTCACATTCCCCAGAACTGTTTGTTCAGATATTAATCATTTTATTATGGGATAAGATTTCATATCTAGCAACGTGATTCAGATGAGTTATGATACACAACGATTGTAGAGCTATTGTACGATAAAAACTCGCCTTTTTAAAAAATAAAAGAAATTTAATGAAGTAAAGTATTTATATCGACTTCTTTATCCAATTGATTAAATATTTAGAATACAACATTTGCTAAACTAACTTTGGATTGTAATGGCTTTTGGGAGCAACCTTAAAAGTTAATTAATTTGCAAAGTAATAAGTTAGTTTTATATCAATTTTTATTTATAATTAGTTTCAATATTTATTAGTACCTGTTCTGAGAATATGATTATTTTTATAAACAAGTTATATACTGAACAAATTAAAATTAAAAGTAATAGTAAAGTTTTTGCAAGACTGCTTAAAACTCACAATTTTCTCTGCCAACCACTTACAATTTTCCCAGCCACATAACCCCGTTTGGCTTATCAACAAAGCTCATTAAAAATTCCAAAAAAGATTTACAACCTAAAGTCACTGCACTACCCGACGCAAAAGTCAAAAGTCTTGGCCTGAACGCCTGGGCAAGTGAAAAATCTGCTTGCAAATTTATTTACCTTTGTAGCTTCAACTCAACTCTTTGAAAACCTAAACACAAAAAATGTATAAAAATAATTATGCCAGCAGCACAGGCAACAGCAACAATATCAGCAAAACGAGTGAAACAGTTTAAATGACTTTCAGTCACGGCAGCTCAGCAGGTGTTGGTTATGAGGGGAGAAATCTGGGGGGAAGGGCTCTGACTTCAAGTTAAATATGCAAACTTTTCCCCAGTGCTCTGAGAATATTTGCAAATTCTGATAAGAGTTCCACCAACTGTAAAACCTAATTAGCAAATGTTGCGAGGCAATTAAACCAAATTACAAGTCTCCCTTCTAGCCATGTTGTAAGTTGGAAAACAAAATAATTGTCACAAAATGTCGCAGTGCAGTTTTGCACTTAATTAACATTTTTTAGTAGGCAAACAAAAGCGAAACTTTTGGCCTGCAAATAAAAATGTTTATGATTTCATAGTACATTTAAAAGATTTTGAGTAAAGTAAATTATATTTTTTGCAATTTTATGTTGTTTTTTCAACAACTCCCAAGTGCTGACATCATTAAGTTAAAAAACAACCCGAAAAAACCGGTAATCAAGTAATAGGGTAACGACAAAGCCAAATCACATTCTAAGGTCTAGAATAGGAAACGAAGAAAATTGGTCCGAAGCACTTCAGAAAATCCCTCAACTTGAAGTTTTTTTTCCTGGTTACTGTCATGATTTTGCTGGTAACCATCTTAGCCTTCCATCAAAGCGCCCAGCCAAGCGAAAGATTGACAAACTATATTTACGACTCCCTTCTGATGATCTCAGGCAAATGATGACAATCTGACACGCAAGGGAATTTATTACATTACATTTTCGCAGATAAAAGGTTTTAGCCAAGTCGACAACAAAGCCAGGAACCTGCCACATTTAGATAGCCGTCTGAAGAACTGACCTCAAATTTAATTACCAACTTAACCTTTTTGGGCAAGCAGGAAAATGTGGGTGCAGCCAATGTGACCTAATCCCGACCGAGTTGACCTATTAAGCGCAGGAAAAGTCAAGTTGGGGCAAGGAAATGAGGACATTTGACGTGGGATATGCTTACGTAAAATTAGCCTTAGCCAAAGTAAGCGAAAGTGTTGGCCTGCTCAATGAACGTTTTATTTTTATTCTCAACCAACTGGGAACAGTTGTCAGCCAGCCGATGGAGCGTTTTACGGGCCCATAAAACGGGGATAATAAAAATGTCCTGAGACACGACATGGCTTTTTCTTTTGGGTCTATTTTCGGACCAACATTTTATAGATTGCGCCCACCAATTTGACAATGGGAATTGAATACTAAATGATTAGTTGAGGTTGCTATCTTATGAGTAAGCGTTTGCTTAAATCGAATTGATAAATAAATAAATAAATACATTTTAAGTAAATCACTGTAAAACCTTCTTACTTAAGCAGTATAGTTGTAATTAAGTTTTCTGTAGAAATTGTAATGTTCTTCTTACTTTGAAGAAACATTTTAGATTTATGTCTGCCGATTTCCATAAACTCATATTCTTTGTGGACATCGTTAAATGCCAAACATATGAATGAAGATATTTATCTAGAATAGAGTATGCTCTTGTTCCTTGCAAAATGGCATTTCGTTTTCTTCGAAAGTGTATAACAGGCTAAGAAAGTTTCTCGGAAGGTTTGAATAATATTTCTTGTTAAGATCATTCGTAAAGTAAGGTTTGCTGGGGAAGATTGATGCGATAATTTAGCAAAACAAACTTAAAGGTATATATTATGCATTTCAGCAGAGTAATAGGTAATAAAAAGTCGAGACATTGGATTCTAGAGTTTTATCTTGTTAGAGCTGCGTTGACAGAACCTTTTACCTCAACCATGATAAGGATGATGAAGCTTGTTTATGCATTTTACACAGAAGTTTTGTTTTCGGTTTATTACAAGACTTGACTTCAGTTGACCCTGGCACGCGCTTTTCACCGAAGAGTTTTTAAATGGTTTCCCTCATCTTCTTTTTACGATTCGTGATGGTCACGTTTGGGTGTCTTATCTCTCATTTCACTTATCAAGTTTCGGGGAGTGGTTCGAATATATGGCTATAATATGCAAATGATGTTTAAAAGAAACTGGTTAGAGTTGAAGTCGAAGTGAATTATCAAGTTATTGTACAGAGATTTTAAACTTTGCTTTAGGATCGAGGAAAACGTTTTATCTAAGGAATAAAAAGTAATATTAAAAAAGTAAATTTATTAATTCTCAGGTTTTAATCAAATTATTAATTTTATACATATTTAAGTTTGTTATTATCTTAAATTTGTAATTAAAATAGAGAGGAATTCTTTCTTGAAAACCATCACCCATTTTCCAACGAAATGAAAACTCGGTCAAAACTCCACGGGGCAACCTTTTCTCCTCTCATTTTCGGCTACGAACTGAATTTCAAAATAAATTTCGTTTTCAATGCCCGAAAATTTGAAGAAAAACAACAAGGAAACCGGTTTTAACGGTTCGAAGAGCAAATACGCACACACACTCATAAGAAAAGGTATTTCATCTACCAAAAAACCAAAATCCAAAATGAAAAGTAGGTGACGTTAAGCACCGTTAGGCCTTAAAAAACTGGTCGTTGTTATGGTTCTTCTTCTTATTGTTATTGCAGATGCACAGAAAACAATTTGAGATTAATAATACGATTGTATTAAAAAATTTATAAAAACGTACATACATATGTGTTATAAGTGCAAAAATATTAATCATTTAAAAAATGTGTTAAATATTTTAGTTTTGTAGTTAACTTCCTATACTGAATAAAAAACAGAAACAGCTACTCAAATATTTACTTTTTTACATACATACATTTTGATTATATGCATCGTACATTTTTTTTAAATATTTTAATAGTTCCACATTTCTGTGCTGTATGTTGCTCTTCTTCTTTCCTTTTGTATTACCTTTTTTCCTAACAAAAAAGTAAACATTTTTCACGTTGCATGCGTGTTAAAGAATTTTCGTGTGTTGTTTGGCGACCACGCCTATCGGATTTTTCAATTTTACATAATGTGGGCAGGTCGACGGCATTGCGTTGAGCCGCCTAATACGAGGCGTGGCGCGGAGGGGCAGTGGGAAATGGGGAGCTCTGGTTGAGTAGCCAAATAACATTGAAAAAGCAACAACAGCGCAGACGCAGCAGCAGCCGCAACACGAAAAAACACTGGCGACGTCACAGTTGCGTGGTCAGCTTTCTGTGCATGTGCAAGTGGGAGAAAGAGAGGAGATACGGTTAAAATGAGAGGGGCTTGATATGAGGCATGTAGACAACAAGCCATGGTTAGAGAACAGTGGAAAAGGCTGAGTAAGCATCTTAATCAAAACAAAAATCTTGAAATATTGAAAGTTATTTGCTTGACTTATAAAGTATCACATGTTTTTGAAGCTTTGATTTTATTTAAAAATATTTTTTACATATGAAATTTTAAATGTGAAATGTTTGATCATACATAAATTAATAACTTTTTTCTTTCATAAAATATATAAAAAATTCGCTATTATAAGAGAAACTCTAGGTCCTTAAGGCGTTTATATATTGTTTATTTTTCAGTTTTGTATATAAGTTTATAAAACTACATTTAAGAAATCATTAAAATGTATGTATATGAAAAATGCATCATAAACCCAAGTCTTAGTATCAACATTTTCTTTTCATTGTAGCTCCACTGCAAAATTGCATTGGCTGTGCTGTGGTCTTCATGGTCAATCCAAACTTTAGCTTGTCTTATGCAAATTGACTTATTGCATTCTCTCCTACAAGTGTTCTATGGCCCTCCCCTTCTAGAATTGCTGCTATCACATTCGCACACTTTGACTGCGTAATTAAGTGCCCTTTTAATTGAGTTTGGAATGGCTTTTCTTCATCTTCCACAGGGTCCGTTCCCTCGGAGTTAGCCCAAAGCGATTTAGTATCTGGTTGTTACTTTTCTTATTTCGCTGCATTTTAATTGAAATTTATGCAGCTATTTAAGTGCACTGCTCTCTTTTTTTGGAGGGAGGATGCGGTTCAGCGATTCTTTTGTTAAAGTTTTGCGTTAACTTTGATTACATGAATCCATTTACTGTTCTATATTATGTTTTGTGAGTGTACGAGAGGGGGTTTTCCCAGTGCATTGATTCGAAATTGAAACTGCTTTGGCCATTGTCGAACAGGAAATTAGATGAAATAGCAGCTGCCCCAGACGGAAGCTTTCGGTTGCAATTAAACGGGGTGAGGCTTTCAACGAAAGTGCAGCACTCTGCTTGGGCCAAATCATTGTTAACTTAGCTTAATGGATTGCCAAAACTATTGGCTATTGTTTGGACACATTTCAAAAAAGTTTAGATAGGAAAATGGTTGTTATACGGAAAAGAGAAAAAAGAGTTTAGCAGTGCCAAACCAAATCACTCACTACGCTGTTTTAAGAGCAAATTTACAAAAAATTAATGGGTATGTAAAGAAATGGAATGTGGACTTGTATTTATTTAACAAAATATGCATAAAGAAAAAGATATATATATTAATTTCAGTTAGTAGTTTGGTAAAAATATTCCATTAGATCTCTCCTCCTAGTCAAATTTATTTAAACTTTTTTTAAAATAAAACATAATCTTTACTTTGATATTCCGTACAAATTTAAATTTGAAAAAACACTAAAACGCGCTAAATTAATTAGAATCCCCCTTAAAAATGTTAATTCCCGTCTTCCTGCTTATAGAAGTTTGCGCCGCGGTTGTAGAACAAAATTTTATTGGGTTTCCTTCATATCTTTAAGCACGCAATGGTTAGTAAATAGGAACAATTTTCCATTAATTGCAAGTATTAGCAATAATATTTATACATTCACGACTACCTTTTGTATGCAGATGAAGAGCTAAGATTAGCTACTCAAATGAATCTATTAAGAGTTGTTAAATAATACAAGTCTAATAAATTATTCTTCAGATTTTTATGAAATTGATTGGAAATGTCCATAAATCTCTCTCTTCATCTAGAAGCCAATCAATTTTCATTTAATAAACGCTACTCCGGTTACGAAATTGAACGAAATTTTTGGAATTCTTTTTTGGGTGGTTTCCAATTGCTCAATCGACAAAAATGCTTGAAGAGGTCAAGACTAAATGCTTCGACTTGCATAACACTCGAGAGCCACACAAAGAGACCACGAAATAAGACAACAATTTGCCCGCCTAGTTTTCAGCTTTTGTTTGGGGGTCAATTATAATTCATGTGAACTGCAAGTCTCTAATTAAAGTGTTTGTTTCTGTTGTACTCGTAGTTTTTGCCCAACCTAAAGGAGGGGAACACGAGGAAATTAGAAAGCCATCAACGAAGCTGTTTCGAATCGTTTGGATGCCTGTCAACTTTCGGTTGGGTTTTTAAGTACTTTTGATTGCTTTTCACCCATTGTCACGCCGCTGACTAACGTGATTCACGCAATTTTGTGGACAGGGACGGTGGGGCAGACGATTGCGAGGGGGTTCCATTAACCATTGTCACTGCCGGCGCAACTGGCATACAAATTTTTGTTGAAATTTTCTTGCTCGACTCTCCGGGTCTCTGGGGTAATTGTCATGCAATTTTAACTTGACAATTCAAGGCACGATTGCCCAGCTCAGCCCCTTTCCCCTTTTTTGATAAGAGTTTAAGTATTTGTTGCTATATTTGATGCAATGGATGTAAGCGAAGTTGCGTTTTGAGTTTATCTTTTAATTAAGGGAAGTGATTAAGGAGCTAAGATTGTAGTCTAAAATATTATCTTAGAAGTAATTATTTTAATTTGATGGGGAAATAATTGCCAATAAATAATCTTGTACGTGTATTGCTTTTATTACTTTACATCTATGGAAATGGGAAATTCCTTAAATTGTAAGCAAAGTTAAAACCAAGTAAATTCCCAAGCCACATACTACCATATGTGAGCTAATAAACTTCCGAGAATCCGTTCTGATTCATTGATTTTAAACATTGCAAGCAACTTTATTCTAATCTCTTGTGTGTATTTGTTTTACCTTTCAGATAGGGTAATATCCCACCCATAACGAATCCCTGAGTCATGGACTGTGGCAGAAGAAAAATAAGAGTTTGCCTAATTGAAATGGATTTATAAAATTTGTTAGAAGTAAGTATCTTCCGATGACCCAAAATAATAATTAAAACGAACATTCTTAGCTTTTCTAAGAATATTAAACTTCCCCAACATATTCTTAAGGTTTACTTTACTGAGAAAACAAAATATTTGCCGAATCAGCTTGAATTCCACACCAGCCAAAGCCAAGTAAAAGAATGTTCCCCACACTCTTCTGTCAAATAAAAATTCGCGGTCAAGGTTGTTAACCTGAACCGCGCCAGCCTCTGTCTTCGTTTTTTCGATTCTCATTCCTTTTAATTTTTACGCATTTTTATGAGCAGAAAGAGAATGAAATGTAACTGGTCTTGCGACATAATTAAATTATGAAATTATGTATACGCCGCGTAGAACCCAGCCAACAAATGCTAAGATACGAAGCTTGGATTGCCTATATAATCTATCTATGGCATCTATATTTGTGTTCTTTAAGTTTATAAGTTTCGATAATGTGTAATTTTGTCTTGTTTTTATGACAATTTTTATTCCAAAATTACATAATTTAAATGATTTCATTATTGATACAATACACTCTTGAACCTTACAAGCACCGAACAAAACAATCATAAATAATTGAATGAATGGGAGGGAGGCAATGGGGAAAAGACGACGACAACCGGTTCAATAACTGCCAACTGGAATGAGGCACAAATTAAATTACATTAAAAGGGCAGCGGCCAAAAGACGATCAACAATATTCGCATGACTCAACCGAAAGATACGCTTTTTTGATATGCTCATCCAATGCCTATTTAATCGAGCTAGAAATTCTCTTAAGTTACTTTTGAAGTATTCGCGGCGCCTCATTAGAGGCTTTTCATTTCGCTAACCTTTGCCTGCCCCTTCGTGGCAGACAATGAAAACTTGTTTTTCAACAATATCTGCGAGTGATTTACATTCTGTTAATTCCTATTTGATGTGGGAGTTTATGGAGGTATATACTCGGATATATATTTATTTATCTGCATATGAGAGAAACTTGTCTGGTCGACAATTGCCGAGTGGGATGCTTGGGGAAATTTGTGAATAGTTTAGTTTTGAGGTATTGTTATTACTTTGCACTCTCAGTTATGTGTTTATCAACCTTTTTTAATTGGATTTCATTTGCTTACACCAAAAGCTTAACAACTTGAAGTTATTAAATATTATATATGGGATACAGTTTTAAAAAATCAATAAGCTTTTTTTATAACATTATTCAAGATTAGGCCTCAAATTATCAAAGAGTATCAAGAACTTTTCCATACCTTCGTATGAAAGAGTAAATCATATTTAATAAATGCTTTTAAATACCTTCAAAAGCTTTCTCTTTAGGCTACTAATAAAAGTGTTAAGCACCCCTACTTTATGGCAGCTGTTTCTCCGGAAGCACTTTCAATCTGACGTGATTTTAATTGTTAATTAGTGGGCCAGCAGAGAGGCCATAACCAAAACATTTGCCTATTTAATTAGCCAACCAAAAAGTCCGAGTCATGGCAACAGCATTTTCATTTTGCCGTTGCCACGTCGGCTGACACAATCGCAAACGCCGTTTTGAGATGAGCAGCACGTGATTTATCGACTGCATCGCTAAGCAGTTTTCCCCTGAAAGCCCAGACCCAGAGCCAAGTCCAGACACACTTGAGTGCCAGTTGGCCATTCATCCATCTGAGCAGTTTATAGAGCCTCTGGGATCCCCTGGTGCTAGGCAGTTTTGCTGGGCTATGTTTATTTACTTATTGGTGTGAAGTTGCAAGTGTCGAATAAATCTGATAAGGCTGGAAAAGGTCTAATAGGGATTGGAGGGAATAAAAAGAGATAAGATAGGATTCTCTGGTTTTTAGTAGTTAAATCAATAAATATTTATGGTTTTTATTAGTTGAGCTCTAGCAAATACATTTGTAATTAGTTCATTAAACCATACACAATCTTGGAAATTCTTTAATTAATTACAAATTATAATTATAAAGCTTATACTCGCGTGTTCAAGCTAGAAATCACTCTATTCGTTGGAATATTTGAGAGGAAAGCAAAAATTGCTTCAGTAACTTCTGCTTTTGCTTAAGAGATATTTCTAAGTTCGTAATGGCAGTTCTTTCTTATTCGCATCTAAAAAAGAGACTTAAATAAATACCTTTTAAGTACTTCTCCATCAATCACCAACTTACTGAAATGACTAAAAATCTATTTGAAGACCTTGAATGCTTGCCAGAGGCTTAAATTTAGGCAAAATTAAACTAAATAAGTGGCAATAACTTCTTGGCCAAGAACCTTTCCAAATCCATGTAAAACAGCAAGCTTCCGCATTTCTGGGCTATAAATCGCTTTTTAACCAGATAACGGACCATCTTGGGGAGTTGGTTAGCTAGCTAGTTAGTTAGTTGGCAACGCCTTGGGGCGTGGAGAGCGGCACGCAGAATTATTAACTGACAGTGGCAGCCATTAACAATGCGCACACACATGCACAAGAGTCGTTCTTGCAACATCAGCAACATGAACAGCAGCAATATGAGCAGCAGTAACATCAGCAACAGCAGCAAGGTGTACACTGGGAGAAATATGCTGCGTTGTTTGATGATTCTAAAATTGAATTTTAATATACTTCCTTTTCTGGATAAATCTTATCTTCTTTCTTATCTTATAATTGTATGCAAAATATTTCTGTCGTCGATTCCTGAGTTAGTTTTCATTTCATTTTTATTCTATAACACACCAAGTCTTGTTATTTCTCTCTGTGTAATAACAAAACATGAGCTGAGAGATTATATCTAATCTTTGACCAGATTTTTGGGAACAAAATTGTAAGACAATAATTTCGAGTGCAGGCTGCAGCATCAACGGCCGCCTCGTTGCACTTTCCATTTGCCAAGTCAGTGAGCCGCAAGCAGCTCCATTCTGCCTCAATCTTGGACCGGCGAACGTCCCCGATGCATTGGCTACTTTAGCTAATGACTTTATTGAATCGACCGAGCCATATCCCCAGCCCGATCTAAGAGCCCCTGGACCTCCTCATGCCTCAAGCCGTCCGCTTCTGTTGACTCTTCGTGTGACTTTTGCCGTAGCAAGCGGGAAATTAGCACAAGCAAATTAAATGAATAGACGACAATGGGCCATCATCATTATACAGAACGTGTTAGCATCGCCTTGGGTGGCGACTCAAGCAGATCAAATTGGGTTACTATGGGAGCAAAGACTTCAAAATGGAAATGGAATGGGGTAATTATGACTGCTATCATTCGTTTAAGCTTTGAAAGCTGTTTTTGCTATGTTTCCCTAATATTACTAAACGTTTTTTGTTCTAAGCTAATGTAAGAAATGTTATTAACATTCAACGTATACGTGATGTGAGCATAGGAAGTTAGTGAATGTTACTAAAATGTTAAAACTTGGGGTTATCTTATTCTTGATTTTACTAGAAATGCCTATAAGATACTATACTATATAATATATTAACTGAGAAGCCAATAAAATAAAGCCATAGGTGCATATTCATAAAGCTGCATGTTTTACAACCACTAAACCTAAATAGTTTGACTTGCAACTAAGTTGAGTTAATGCGTGAAACGTTTGAACACGGCTGCTTCGACTATAAACATTCAAGTTTACTTAGAACTAAGACCTAATACCTGAGACTTAACTAAACATGCCCCAAGCAATGCCTCATTTCCAGCCACCCTTTCTTCCTGCCTGGCTCATAGCAATTATGCTTAATTGTTTGACACGGCCCAAGAAGATGGTTAACCGTTTCATGTAAAATGCAGCACATGTTATGTAAATAACGGTTTTACCTATGCAACAACATAACAACCAAGTCACGGGCGGTGAGGGGGTCAGTATAATATGATTAAGGGGGTTGAGATGGTGGGAAAGATGGCAAAGTGGGGCAACAACAGCTGGCAACAGAACAAAATGTTTTCAGTGTTGCGACGGAGAGACGCTTTCCCGCTCTTCCTTCCCTCAGCTTGATGACAATGTCTGACACACATATGAAAATGGGGTTGGGAAACGGGAGGACTTTGTGGGATGTTTACACTTGCAAAAAGTATGTTTAGGATTTTCAGGGGTTTCTTATGAATAAAAAGAGAAATTAGAAACTTAAGGCGATAAAGTAAAGGTTTGTATTTCCCTGAAATATCGGGAAAACGTAGGTTTATTGACTTTATAGAAGGCTATGGAATATCATCTAATCCACTGCAATAGGTTTAAAGTGAAGCTTTGTTTACAAACTGTTTATATCTTTTCTTAAATTTCTGTTTCTAGTTTTTCAGTGTAAAGGGATGGCTAACAAGTATTTGAGGGCGTTGGCAGTTTGATTGTTGTTTGCACAACTTGTCGCACTTGCAGCATGTTGCACGCTTGTCATAACGATAGATAAATACTAACTGAAAAGTATAGGAAAAGGAGAAAAACGCTGACAGTTTACTGAACTACTTATGGCTGAGTGCGAGCGAAAGAGATCGCCACCATATAGATAGCGTCTAGGGCTTTTGTTAGACAGAAACTTTCACCCAAAAAAAAGAAAATGAAGTGTTTCAAGAAGCAGCAACAAAGTAAAAGTTTTTCACAATTCAACGAAACGTGAAAATCTTCCAAAGAAGCCAGAGTGGGATAGGGAATAGGGATCCAGGGAGAGAGAGAGACAGCAAATGGGAGCTTCCGTTGGCAGCCTGAAGTGAAATGTGTTAACCACAAATCAAACAAGAACAGCAATTATAAAGCCAGCTGGAAAGATGACAACAAAGATGAACACAGCTTGAACTAACATATTTCCATTTCTTTAAACTAGTTTGACCCATTTACTGGACCTACCAGTGTTTCTTTTCCCTCAAGTTATAAATTGTATTTGAACAGAGATTTCCATGTTGGTTCTTTGTTGGCTCTAAAGCCTGGGAATCTGCTGCTCTCCAGAAAGTGGAGCTCTCTGATCGTCTGATAGAGCGGAAGTTGTTTCTTTCATTCCCATTTCGCTTCTTTTCTCAACTGTTTTAAGTTTGCCTTGGGAATCTTCAACTAAATTTTTGCTTACATTAGAAAAAGTAAATGAACTATCAAAGTAAAGTAAAAACTTGTCCAATACTTATAAGCAGAGTATTGAGTAGTATGAAAAAACCCTTGAGTATTATCTAAATTAAGTTTTCCATTCCAACCGACCGCAATTCCAATTAAACAAAATAACAGAATAAACCCAAATTTCGTTAACTGTCTGCTCTGTCACTCAATTAAGACAAGTTCTAACCTCACTTGACTTTGGCTTGGCAAAGTGTATATTTACTACCCCCAAAAAAAGAGGAGCCTTTGGCAAAAACAAAATTTCCACTCAGTTTTACACAGAGTTCAGAGTTTTCCAAGGCAACGGCTAAGGCAGAAACGGCACAAACTTTTCCCCAGCTGTTGTGGCCTGTTTTGCACTTTGCCATGGCAACAAGTGCGGCCAAACACAAACAAAACAAAGAAAATTCAGCACGGAAAACTCTTCACTCGCGTTGCCAACTAACAACGATTTAGAACTTTACTTTTGGTTGATAGACCTTGAGATACCCCTTTAAAAAAATATGATTTCCAAGATTAAATAATATTGATATTTATTTGATTTTGAATATATAAATTTTAACAAATGCTAGGGGGATTAGGGTTTCATTCGGAATAACTTCTTAGATAAACAAAGGAAAATTCCATGCGTAGACGTTTTCCTAAGAACTAATATGATACCCTTTAATTCAACAGTATAAAAATCAAACAATAATCCAACCACGATTCGGGTGAAAATCAATAGCTGAAAGGTGGAAAATGCAGGTGAAGAAATGTGAGTCGAGGGATGGAAAGGTGAGAGCCACCATTAGAGAGTCCGCGACACGTTTTTCCATTTGATTTGCAGGCGTGCGAGTCGATCCCAGTCGAGGTTGGCCGACAAATTGAAGTAAATTTCCTGTCTGGGTTTTTTTCTGTTGTTCCTGGTCCGACTGACTCGCTCCCACTGGTGACCCAATTTCCGCGGAAAAGCGACTTTTCATTAGTCTAAGTTCCCTTTTATTTGGGTTGCGCTAGGTTGGCCCTACGTCTGGTGAAATTTGCACATTTTGTTGATTAAGTGAGTGAGGCTAATGGGTCTGGAATGGATTGGCTGGGTCTGGACAGTCCTCAGAAGGTTGTTGGCCTTTACTTTTTCCGCTGTGATCTGTGTTAAATTGCTTTATTTGGCTGGCTTTCGTTTCCCAAGTTAATTGATTTTCATTCGGCTGAAATGCTAATGGAAGTACGACGAGTTGAACTTTAAGCTGGGAGTTGTGTCGCAGATAACTCGAATCCAGGTGACTAAGCTGGTCTTAATGGGCCCCAAGCACGGCAATTGACTGTGCTGTTTTCGTGCCAAAATAAAAGTACTTTAAAGAAAGAATTTACTTTACTCTATTTGTGGATACATGCAAGACTGGGCTAAGAATATGAATTATTAATTACATAAGAAAAGTAAAAAAAGAGAGTAGAAATCAATAGAAAATATACAATAAGTGTTTGGAAAAGGAAAAGAAATCGATTTATATAGAACTGAGGTAAGTGGAGAGAAATGCAATGTCTTAAGGGTAATAAATTAAGGATATCGGCTATATGATATCTTATATCATTCTAACAGCCTTAAACCTTACAGCAGTCTTTAAATATGCAATATTAACTTTTAATTTAATCTTAAGAAATTAACATTCATGGAAAGTGTATTTGCAAATTCTAAAATATGTATTATATTTGAGCAAGATAAACTTAATCTATACCCGATCAAACTCGAACTAAGTCAAACTTAGGTTTCTTCTCTTATTGGAGGTTTGATTCATGGTTATGGCTTAAGTTGGAAGATTGAAAGACCCGGGAAACCCACACGAAGTGGCTGCCACATCATGTGGCAATGCCAAGTGTGGTTGACTTGCTGGACGGCCCGCTGACAATTACACTTGGTGGCTTGGCCAGTCGTGTTGGGCACTCAATAAGCAACAGTAGAACATACATATAGCGAACCTTTCATAAGTAGATGAAATCTAAGTCCTAGCATCTCTTCTAGATTTATCTCAATTTTAAAGCATTTACTATTGTACAACATCCTTCAAGCTTATACCAACTAAGGGTAAATAAGAATATACATTCAGTAGACACCTTTACCTTTATGGTTATACTTCATTATAAAAGCTATTTAAACCACAGGTTTAAGCAATGTTTACTGTACATTCTTTCTTGACACCAACGCACGGCGTGTAAATCATATAAACATATGCACATCACCTCTGAATCACGCTCTTAGCCGGGCAATCAAAATGGCCCAGAGCTCTGTGGCTCAGTCTCCGATCCCCAACACCGCTTTGGGCCTCTTTCCTCTGCCTTCTCGACCACCTACACACGATCACCAATGTGCTGGAATGAAAAGAGTCTGGAGGAAAACAAAAATAAAAGAAGCCACGCGACGAGTCTTAACTTTGTGGTGGTTAGGGAAGAGGGAAGAGGAAGAGGAGAGGAGGAAGAGTCTCCCAATGGAAATTTATGCAAGTTGAAAATCGTGACACAATTGAGAAAAGTTCATTCCGTTGACTTTGACTTGGCCTGGCTTTGGCTTTTGATTTGGCTCTTACTGTGGCCTGAGCTCCGACTCGTAGGTTAGCTGCCATTTGTTAGCCACACAACAAAGTTGCAGAATGAATTGGGAGGAGTAGATTGAATAGGCCATAAAGAACTTGGATTTAAAGAAATGGGTGAAAAGTCAAAACGGTGATACCTTAAAGGTTTTTAATTAAAATGATGTTAAAGATTAATAAAAGATAATGCACATGTTTGAATGTGTATTACAACGTCATGTTAAACACATTGCACTTAAATAAGAAAAATCTATCAGAAGCAGTTAGTCTTTTTGAGATAAATTTGATCATAAGAAGAAATGTAATCATATATCATAAAGGAAAATTCTTTACTATTAATGATTGATGATTGCTCTAGTTTACTCAACAGTAAAGTAAAGATACTTATGTCTGGGCATTTCCAAAATAATGTATCTGCCAAGAACTATTCTCTCGAGAATTTCGAAATCTACGTTCCACTCTGGCAAGCAAAGCCGTGCCTTCCTCTTGGCCAACTTTCGAGCCAAGATGCAGAACCATCAGCGGCATTCGTTGAGGTAATTTAAGACGGGCGGCACACATTCTCCACCCCTCCCTTAGATTCGCCTTTGCATTCACTCCACTGTCTATTTACCGCTAAGAGCAACAAACAGCGTCTGGCAAACATCGTCAAAATCGGAGTCTCCACTCCAATTCAGTTGCCAAGATGAGGCAACCTCATCTCGGATTCATTTGGATTTCTCGGGCAGAGTGTGTCTCCAGTTTCTGGTTTCTGGCATTTCAATGCTCGCTGCGATCTCTCGTTGTCATTGAGGACTCTCAACTTACTTGCATGTGATACTATTTAAGCCATTACAAGGGGAGTGGGGAGTTGAGTGGGGCTTATTGAGAAGGCTGTTAAGTTTATTAGCATGAAGGTAGAAGGCATTCACTCTTGAGGTTCTCAGTTGATGCGTGGAAAAGATTCTGCAAGACAAATGATGATTGTAAGGGCTTAGGTGATAGTAGATATTTTAGATGTTTGTTAAAGGATCTTTATGCTTCGTAATTTCGTTAAGGAGTAAGAGTAGTGTAGTATTCCTTAAGAATTTTCTAATATTTTGAATCAAAATATTCAGTTAGGTTTCGTTAAGTTAGTAAAAGAATAACCTTAATTAATATGAATACCCTATTAGCACTCAATATTTATACTGCCACATTTCAAATAAAACATCGTGGACTATTTTTAACGTTTACTTTACAAAAAATACGTATACGCCCCGTTGATATAGTTATGCCAATTACCTACTAAATGCTATTTTGCACGCGGTCTTTAATAGCTCATCAATTAGCCGAGAGCTGTCAAAAAATAACTGGCATACCTCTCGTTGAACTTGTCTTTGGGGGTAGCTATAGACAGTCTATAGATACCCGAGAAATATTTCATAAAATGGCATTTAATTACATGTAAGAGGAAATCGGTTTAAGGCTGAAATCCGCTTACGGAAAAAACGCAAACAGAGGAAAACTGAATCGAGAGCTTTTGTGTATCTTTCGGATACAGATACGTGTGCGACCTACACAAACATAGATATTTCTCTGCGTAAGCATTCTTTTTTCTTGGTCTTTTTTTATGCAATCTCAAGGTCAGCGGCAAGTAGCTCTTTATGTATGAATGGGATCTAATTGTTCGTGATGAGAGCACACGGCTCGATGCGAGGATGACAAAGTGCTCGGCTGGGTGGGTTATGAGCTGTGTGGGTGGCTCCTCCTCCATAAGTACATTTGCTAATTCATGTAAGAAGATTTTTTTGGGGAACAGCTAAGCTTCTTCGGCGTTGTGTTCGCATTTCAAATGCGCTTGACAATGGCATTTTTATGTATCTTTTGGATTGGCAAATGTGGCTCAAAGTCAATAGGCATTTGACATAATTTGGGTGGATGTGTTCTTCATTATTTAAACAAGTGTCTTAAATGTCTTATTGTGGTTTATTATTTCAGCTCGTTGGATCTCAATTGCATTGTTATCGTAATGCTGTACAGTAAAACATGGCAAAGTCGACACTTTATGCTGCTGGGGTGACCTGTCTGGGCTTTGTTTGTTTCGCCTTGGCATCTGTGGCCATTGGCATACCCATCTGGGGTTACTACGATAGTCCATCGGGTGAGTGTGTTCTGTAAAATATTTTAATTTTGTTTATCTAATTGGAATTCTTCCATAACAGGCGGCTATGACTTCGATCGAGGTTATTTCGGACCGTTTAAGGTCTGCAAGCAATTGACGTACAATCGCGAGAAATGCGGCAACGATGTATCAAAGTTTAGGTTAAACAGTAAGTATTTTATATTAAGAAGCTATGAATTATGAAAGACTTAATAAAATTAAGTGAATTAAATGGACAGGAAAGCTCTTCAAGCCCTTTAAAGTTTCTATTTGGTTCTAATTTGATTTTAAACAGCTTTTCCCTAATATCTATGTACCTATTACTTATTACCTTTAAGTGCACAATAATTAATAAATTTCCCCTTCAGATGCAGTTTTTGTCAGTGGACTCTTGGCCATTGGCAGCTCAGCCGCGCTGGGCATCTTCTGCATTCTGTCGGTCATTCAACACGCGATGATCTCATCCAGGGAGAAGGTGGTAATGCCCTACACAAGTCTAGTGATAGTGAAGTTAATGTTAGCATTGCTGGGAGGTGAGTTCGTATGGGTTTGCCCAAGAGCGATAAAGAAACGTAATTTAATTGAAATATTTCCAGGGGTTCTGGCCATCATAGCGACGGTTTTGTTTGCTCTGCAAATTGATGAGCAGGAGCGCTTTGGCTTCAAGATATCAAGGGGCATTTCCTTCTACATACAGGTGATTAATGGTTAATTACTCATCCACTTAATGGATAAGGCTTGCTCTTTATTCAGATAATAATCATTTTTATTTCATTTCTCAGATTGTGGCGATTGTGTTGACCATTGCACTTTTTGTGGCCGCCCTGTACGATGTGATCTATTCGCGCAGTCCAGGTGGAGATCCCACAATGGCGCTGGATGCCTCATCTCCGGGCAGTGCCACCACCTTTAACAACCCGGGCTTCAAGGAGCCGCGCAGTCGCAACGGCGTCTCAGTGACGGACGCCTCCGGTAAACCGTACAGCGGGATCCGGAATGGAGCGGGAACAGCGGGCAGTGTGGCCTCCATGAGCACCACGGTGACCAGCGTCTCCAATGGCTCCACCCTCGACTCGGTGACACGTTCGCCACTGCGATCGAGTCTGAAAAAGCCAAGACCCCGGCCGGATCCAACGTTGGGCATTCAAAATCCCGGCTATTCCGGTTCGGGAAGTTCGCCACCAATGAGGCGCAATGGCAGCGTTAAGAAGGTTAGGATTCAGACGCACAGCACCGAGGTGTAAGATGGTTTCAACCATTTAGATTTAAGACCTTCAACAAGCAGCAAACAAAAGAAAAACAAAAGAATAAAAATTATCAAAGACTGTGTACAGTAGCAAAAAAAAAAGACACAAAGAAAAGTTAAGATGAGTAACTTTAGTAGGTGTCTCTCATTAATTAATTGATAATTTCCCAATGCAAATTGAAAATTCATTTTCATTTGTCTTCCAAGAAGGATGCATATTGTTCATTTGGCCAAGACCAAAATTTCTGTAAGCAACGGTTTCCGTCCACGGGCAAGGCAAGAGTATTTAATTCGAAATGAATTTCCCAGAAGTATTTGATTTTCTATATACCTCCCTTAAGTGCCCTTAAGACCACGCCCCAGTCCCCAGCACTTTGGAAAGCATTATCCTCGAAAACACTGGAATACCAATCTACATATAATTAATTTGCAATATTCTTATTTAACGACAAACAAATAAACGTAAGCATTATAAAGCAACATTTGTAATATATATAAAAAATCAGAACGACACAAATTGTTATTTTTAATTAAGTTTAAGTCAAGGCGTCATGAGCGAGTTTCAAATAGATTTGATAATTGTATGTTATTGTTAGAAATACTTTAAACCGAAAGCGTTAATTAAACTAATGGAAAGAATATAGCTGTTGCGCTAAGATTTCACTATTAAAGACACTTAGATTAATTGCTAAGCTTGTTTGTTTAGTTTTTTGTAATTTAATTGGAAAATGTGTTTCATGTTTTTCTCTGTAAGCTAAGGAAATACTAAATAAAAGCAGAGAATAAACATAAATTGTCTTGTTTCTTATTTGGGGCACATAAGAATGTTTATGAACACAAAATGTTAGTTTACAATTTTTGAATTTCTGTTAGTGGTTGATTTGAACTGCTTAACGCGCGGTTTTGCTTCCAGTGAAGCAGTCGATTATATACTGCTTGCGAACAAGCAGTTAAAGCAGTTTGTAGTTCAAGTTCTGTTAACAGAAAATGTTAGGCCTAGACTCTGTTAAGCTCAGTTTAAAAGAAAACGAACTAAAACTGGAATATAGGAGAAACGTATATATTTTTAAAAATATTTTTATAATTAAACGAGTTAAATTAAAAAATATAACAGAAATAGTAAAGTTATAAAAGGTATAAATAAGACATTTGATTCGTTACTATCGTTTTATATATTTTGCAATATTCTTTAATTATTGAGGGTAATGTCTTGAGCAATCGATGACCCCTTACAAGCCGCTGCATAGGCTTTTCCTTTGTTCTCAGAGACATATTAAACCCATTATCAGCTCGCGATTCACAATCTGAGATCGATGCTATTGCGCTCAGCTTTGTTTACAAATAGATTAGGTTCATTCAAGAAATACTGATAAGTACTCCCAGTGAATCCAGGTAGATAGTGCCGGAGTGTGGAGAGAGAGCGGGAAGAACCAATAGTCCCAAGATGCTTAGACGATCGAACAGTTTGAGCTGAGACCGCTGGGAGTGCGGACGTCGTCGTCATCGAAAGATAATACAGAATTGCTGCATCTAGTATAGGAAGCCAGACAACAACAGTATTTGTTTATATTTCCCCAAAGACCGCATATAAATAAATTATGAAATCAGAGACGTTGCACAAGTTTCTAATTCTCTGCTCGTTGCTGATTGCCTGCGCGTGGAGCCAGCCATGTAAGTTGAAATCTAAAGAGAGAATTACAGGGCATGAGACATGAAATCAGAAACAACCAAGATCTGTAACATAAAGAGTTTAATATTTGAATCCCTTCCCCTTTTTAGTAAATCCATCGCAACAACAAGCAACTTATCAACAGTTGCCTGCAGATCAACGGACAATAGTCTTAGTTAAGCATAACTTAAGGCCGCAAGATGCGAAGAACTACCAGATAACCATACCCAAGGAGCCAAAAGAGGGGGAACCCTGCCTCACGATCTCTTGGAAGACCAACCCAGATGGCAGTGGCCCCGGCGTGCCTCAAATATATATGGGAAATGGATACTTTGGGATTTTACCAACAGGAGAACAAAAAAGTCAATAAACGTACCCAAAACAAAAATATTTATTTATTGGAATTTTACTAAGAGCTTTTATGATATTTATAAATGATTTTATGTGCAAAAATACAAAATTTCCTAGCTAGACCGTTAGACCAAAGTTGTATGAAAAAGTGCGATGAAAATACTCATTAAAAACTTTTGATAAAGACGAATACTTTTCATGTAACCTAATATATATACATTAAGTACATTAGTCAAAAGGCCTAAAGGTACATTAGGCCTTAAATTTGATGTAAAGTTTTCGTTTTGATCATTTTATTAAATGGATTCTGCATCTCTGTGATAAGGATCTTAAAATATATTCATAGTCATCAAAATTGTAATTGGTTTTTATAAGTTCGACAATAAATTAAATTCAATTTAACTACACCAATATTTATTACCTATAACTCCCACCACAACCTACTCTCTGCTGAGTTTTTTTATTGGACAAAATAATTGTACACTGACCCATTGCGCTTCGGGGGAGAAGTGTGATGGATTTTGCTCGTACTTTCAGTGCCGGGATTTGGCAACACACAGTCTGGACTCTGGAATATCGGTTGGTTGTCATGGCAACCCTGCGGGTGGGGTTCGGAGCGGAGTTTTTGGGCTTGGAAGCCGGGTGTTAGCCAGACAGTAGAGTCCCAAACTCCGATGCAACTCCCCAAAAACTCCCCTTGATAATCTCCTACTCCCACTGTCTGTGTCTGCAAGTGACAGAGATGGAGCACCGCACATGGAGTGAGAAGAGAGTCCTGGCTGACACACAGAAATAGAGAGAGAGAGAGAGAATGAGAGCGCCAGAATGACTCCAATTTTGCAGGGCTGCACTTTTCGGGATGACTGCAAAAAATTTCGCTTTTTTCCATGCCCCGACTTTCGCTGCAGTTTTCATTTCAGAGCGCAACTCGAGAAGCAACATCAAAATCAACAACAACAACGGACACAGCCCGAAAAAAATGTGGCGTGGGAGTGTGTTAGTAAGGCTAATTGACTTGCCATACCTCCCGGGTCCACGGGTGGTATGATGAATATTCGGTAATAAGACTTAATTATGCCCGCTGCCATTTCCAATACCATAAGGTTTGACAGACTGGTAAACTATACGCAGTTATCTTTATATTAGGAAAGGTTAGCTCGAATTACTCTCCATATATCTTATAATCTACCCGTAGAAATAAAAACCGATTATTCAAAACATACACCATTTAAATAAGATTAAAAATAATAAAGTGATATAAAAGTTATAAATTTCTTAATTTTTATAATTTTTGAAATATTACATCTTTGCTTTTTTGTTTAATAAATGAAGAGACTATTATGTAAAACAATTTCAATGCTTGTAATAATGCAAAGGGAAAATTTGAAAGGTGTTTTCAATCCGTAATACGCGTCGTTGCTACTCAGCTTATACTTTAAAAGTAATTTATAGATCTCATAAAGGCCGTAATACAGCAGGATTCTAAAACGATAACATATATTAATATATTATTAAAATCAACTAGAAAATACCTGTTTAAATTGTGCATTATGTATTTATACTTTTCTGGAATGATAAAAATAATTTATTGATGTGAAACAGTTTTCTTAGCATATGGAGACAAAAAGGCCTTTGTTTCCTTGGTATTTAAAATTTAAGAATAAATTTCTGTAACTAAGCCAAGGAAGCTCTCTTTCTTTATAATAGTTTTGAAACTTTTAATCTAACAGCCAAATTATTACGACTTAATGGTTCTCAACTGCTTAATAACGACAGTTTTTTTTGAAACTATTTGTTTTCAGTGCAGTTATCGATATCAAAAGCTATTTGTCAGACGTCATAATAAAATTAAACCAAAATTATGTCTTTGCATAAAAATCAAAATTATTAAAATTTATGAATATTTTAAATGTATAAATAATCCCTTTTTGGAGTTGCCTTAATAGAAATTACAACGTTCTAGTGAAAATGTATATTATTTTGGCCGCCTGCGTTTACATCACCTTTGGATTTTTAAGTTTATATTTAATATGCCTATGTATAGTAATAATACTTTCCATATACTTTGACTTCAATCCGACCTTCACCTAACACATCTCTGAATTTAGCGGTAAGTTAAATTGATTTTTGATTAGTGATATTTAATTTTAAGGCTTTTCAGATTGAAAACACCTTAAAAATCAGAAAGCAAGTCAAGTACGTATCCAGAAACATCATTAATTTCCCGTTTTGCCAGGACCAACCCCGAAAATCTCTCAGACAGGCGGTAAGTTCCTCGATAAACCCCCAAGGAAAAGTTGACAAAACTTTTGTGCATTACCTTTGTCTACATTTTGGTCAGTTTGAATTGGTAGGAATTATGGGGATTTCGGGTGTGTTTGAGCTTTGTGGCTCAGACAACAGGCCGAGGATTGAGTGTCCTTGTTCTGGGGTTGTTGCCAATATAAATATGTTTCTTGCTATTTTATTTAACGCTCCAATGCATTCGGCTGCGATCCCTTCCTTACTTTCCTGCTAGCCGTCTCTGTCTGTCTGGAAACTCTGCTGAATGTTGGGCAGGATAGTTCTTTTCCCCCAGCTTTTACACTTCCCCCTTACAATTTTGTTGAATTTTTAATCAGCCTTTTTGGCCCGTGGCTTCCTCGATTTGATTGAATAAAATATTCGAGCTTCACTCTCGTTCCACATTTTTCGTCCTTCCTTGTTTGCTGCTGTTCTAGAAATTTTAGAAAGTTCCATTGCGGCTGCAGCCACCCCTGTGGCGCCACCGCCTCTGACCCTTAGTCCTACAATCCCACCACCCACTTCCCTCGGCTTAACCCCCTTTTTGACCCCCTTTTGACCCCCGCTCCCTTCAAACATTCTGCACTGCGTCACGTTCGCCGCATGCTGTCTGCCATTTTGGCTTTTCCTGCAGGAAGCTTGCATATTTCACGTTCGCCATGTTGTTTTTTCCTCGCTGTGTGTCAGTGTGTGTGTCTGCCAGTGTGTATATGCACTGGCTGTATGTGTGTGTGCAGTGTCTGTGTGAGCTGGTGCCCCAACTCTTCACTTTTATCGATTGAATTGTGTCTCCGGCTGTGAAATGCAGGTCATTGATCTGTTCGTGCCAGCTAAAAACGACGAAATGCTTTTTCGGTTTTTTCGCTCTCTCTCTCTTGCGGAATCCTTTCTCCGTCTCTCTTTCCCTTTTTGAAGGAAGAGGAGTTTGGCAGAAAAGCAGCTGGGCACTGCAATTCATCGTCTGGCTTTTTCTTTTTGGCTATTTTTATGGATAGTCAGCATATGACCATGGTTCTGGGTCTCCAGAAATCATTGCCATAAATCTGAATTCGTTTTGATAAATTTTTTTGATTTTTGTGTCAGCTTATTTAGATGTATTTTACTATTGAGGATAAATTTGAATAATTTAAGGCTGGCTAAGTGGCTTCTTATTTCCATAATTTGTTGTGATATTTGATAGCAGGGATAATCACAACTTTAACTTTAATATTTGACATATGTATACGTATATTAAGGTAGGTTTTACGATTCTAGACTGTAATTTATATATATTTAATTTATATATATTTATATAAATTTAAAATACGTAGATTTTTTTAAATAGGTATAATACATTATTATAGGATATATTAGTCTTGTTTTTAAATCAAATCAAAACTTTTTGACTTCATGTTCTGTTTGTCTTGTCAGCACAAAAGTAGGCAACAAAAGTTTGTAAGCAATAGATGGCGCTGGTAGTCCTGAAAACCTGAAAAGGCTTTTCATGAAGCGCTTTTTTTGATTTTAATCTAGAAGTATTTAGCGTACAGAGCAACTCCATGCCCAATCCCTTCCATTTTCCGACCAACACCAACACAACGACTGTGAAAAATATATTTCCTTTTCGAAGCTTTGGGGTAGTGGAGCAACAGTAGAAACCGGACTTCGGAGCAGGAGTTTAGGGTTCGGAGTTGGAAATCACAGCCAGACTGCCAGCAGAAATGTGTCCGACGATGGGGCAAACTGTACCGAGGCAACGAGAGAACAGAGCACATAGCCCAGACAGCGGTAGAAAGGGAAATCTACTACGACTTATGGCACCAGGATGTGTATTTTCGGGCATTCGAGTTTTCCGCCTCCAGTTTTTTTGGGGGTTAAATAAAAAGTACTTGTCCGTTTGGCGGTTCAATGACTACCCAGCCGGCCGGCGACGATGCTATCGGAACAAAGTATATTATTGCTAGTGACCGTTGACCAACGTCCGCTCCTTCCTACATATACTAATAGGTTTTGCCTTTATCTATCGCTAAAATACAAAAACCAAAAAATAAATAAGCATAATGTGCAGAACGAGTTGCAAGGTCGACGAACGTTGAGTGCGGCTCCCAATCTCAGTTTTCAGATCTAAGTTCCCAGTTCCCGGATTCCAAGCCCAAGTCAGTTCAGTTGACTTAATGCCCAGCTCTGTGAGCCAAACACGTTTTTCGCTATCGCATAATTTGTGGGTAAGTTTTCAATCAACAAGCTTCAAGCCAATAGCTTCGGTTTTCCTTCCTTCTATTTTTGTTCCACCTTTGTCCAGTGCTCTTGGAAGGCAATGCCAACTTTCACATCAAGCTAATTGGCATAACCCTGGCTTGGGTGGGCACTGTAGTAACTCATTTTTACGGTGGGGTAATTTTCCAGATCCATCAGGAACATGTGCTCGAGGGCGTTATTGCCAAGTGATTGAGGAAAAAGTTGTTAGTATTATGGTAGAGTTTCTACTACTCTCTAGGTGATATGAAAAACTAAACTCTTTGGAAAAAATAAATATTTATTTTAGTGATCAATTTATGACTTAATGATCAAGAAATGCTTGAGTATTTAGTGAAGATGATAATAACTAATTCTAGTTTTCTATTTCTTTTATAATTTAACTCATAAGTTCACCTAAGATAGTGCATTTAGGAAACTTCGCGGTCATTGGAATTGCACAGCACCAGCCAACGCAGCCAAAGAAACGCTAAGCGCAGGCGTCGTCACTGGAGAAAAAGGCGAGACTTGGTTACGGGGGAATTGAGAGAGAGTTACCGTAGAGTTCTCTCAGGCTGGGAATCTTCTCCACGTTAACTGACAAAGCCAGGCCATGGGCCTAGCACTCGGGCTAATGGCCTCTCGAGTCGCTAGCCGATGTTATAATCGCTGGAATCGTGGCTGCAGCTTTTGTTGCATTCCACAGCGCCGTGGTGGTTTCCCTCTCTGCTCCTCTGATTCTCGGAGTCTCTTGTTCTCTAGCTCTCGGGTTGTATGGTTCTCTGGCTCCCCTCCCACACTCTCACCCAGTTTCAGGTCGGATCTGCTGGCATTGACACTGACACTGCGCCTCGATGGCATTGGCCATGGCATTCTCGGTGCTTCTTGCAGCGGCTTCCTGCACCGCCACCTTGGAACCCCTTCTGCCATATCTATTTCCCCCTGATCCGAACTGGTCTGGCATTCATCAACCTCGGCTTTGAAGAGGAATGAAGAGGTACTTAGAAGGAGGCACATGCTACAGGGGAGATTAGGAAGTGGCAATTTGGCCAGAGAAACTCGTTCAGATATTTATATATGGACTATTGAGCCTAAAAACCAAAGTAAAATATGAATTTTTAAATCATTTTTATAAGATATATATAAATAAATATTGGAGTTTATTATTAAAAGTTTATTATAAAAAATAATAAAATTAGGCAACAAATATCAATTTATTTAAATTAATTTCAGAATATCTTGAATATTCAAGTTATATTTTTCCTGTAGGCCAGCCATGAAACGCATTTGTGATTTGCTTTATGCATTGACAGGTTTCCATTGTGGCCCCAAGACCCATTGGTGTCCTTTCTGTTTGCTGACAAAAACCATCAGAATGCCCAGGTCCATGGAGTACATGATAGCTATGATGATGACGCTGCACTGGCTGAGCTTGAACTGGATTCTTAATTGGCCTAGTCCATAGAGTGCTCCATTTGCTGGCACCCCATCTGTGTACACCATCTGATATCTGCTGGCCAAGGTGCCAGTGGGGTGGAAATGGTGGACAGATGCCCAGCGATAATGGACAGCTGAGATTTGCACTCGGATAGCAGTAACTGTGGAAACAAGTTTGAATTGCAAATAAGTGAATTGCAGATGAACTGGGAATTTTCCAATTGCTATTTGAAGAACTAAATGGTATTCACGCGGCAAAGGCAGTGTGGAAATCGTCGTAAAGAAGCTCGAATAGTTTAATTTTTGAAGAATACCTGGATATCCTTGGAGGTTGGGTAACGTTCACTAATTGGAAAGAGTATGAAAGGTTAATTCCTTAAAATATAAATAAAGTCAACCGTAGAATGAATGATTTTTATAATCATTCATTCATAATAATTTTAGGTTTATTATTATGTCTTGGCATCCAATACGCTCCTTGAATTAACTATCTTCACCGCCCATTTTCCACCCAAGTTGTCCTTACTCTGTCTTCAAGCATTACCAACTCCCCAGTTTAATCACTTCAGCACTCTCACCCCAATCTGAACCATGTGACAGTTTAACAAACTGATGAGTAGAATTAAAAAAAAAGTAAATTAAAATAAAAAGGGACACCACAATTAAAATGAAAATCAACGAAAAGCGAAAACTTTTTGTCATACATACACATTGTACTTTCATATATGTATATCTGCAGATATATATGTGCGATGAGCACACACACAGCCAAATGTTAATCCTCACAGACAGAACAATAACAGACTAACCTATTGTAAAGTGGGGGAAATATAAAGCGGAACGGCAAATATATGCATGTTTACATAGAGATATATGTACATCCCTTTTGGCCATGTGCCAAATGTACGTTTATGCATTTGTATGCACTTGCGACAAATTTTCCAAAATGGCGTCGACAATGACTAACCGTCGGACCCCGTCCTTTCCCCATTTTACCACCCCCATCACCCCCACAAAGAAAAGTGGGGAAGGTTCTTTTTGTCTGCCTGCGAAACTCCAGAAACTCCAGGTCAATGATACCAAAAGTTAAACACCCAACCAGCCCACGAAAGACCCCCTTGTGCCTCCCACCATGTCTGCGTCGCACTTGAGCAATTTTCACAAAAAAGTAAAAATAATAAAAATGCAGAAAAAAAGTAATAATAGAGGAAAGAGTCGACTGAAAGGAGAGAAGGAAAACAAAAAGCGACGGGCCGCACCCTGGGGCAAAAAGAGTGGGAAAAGCGGAGCGGGCGAATGGAGTGCATGCATCGTCAGTGTCAAGTTTACGCTAGGTTCACCACCTTCCGACCCCCACCTTCTCAGATCACCCACCACCCCCTCGGTCGCCTTTTTTCCAAACACAACTCCGTTTTCAATGGCAGCACAAAAGCACTTTTATCTTTTGTACGTTTAATTTGTGCAGAGGAAAGCGAGCGGGAAAAGCGCAGATTTCGGGTTGGGGAGGTAGAGTTGTACACTACAAAGAAAATACGTCTACTTAGTTTTAGTTAAACTGAAAAAATGTATTTTTAAAGTTGAGTTTCAAATTATTTTAGTTAGAAACGTTCATTATTGACGAACTTCGGATACATTCTATCAAAGGTTCAATTTCTGAAGATGAAACACTTTAATTTACTTATCATAACTTTTTAAAATGTAAAATAATTCTATATAGTTAGTATTTGTAACCGTTAAATCTTGAGTTTATAAAATATGCATAATAAAAGATTCTATTGGTATTAAATAATTACATAAATAATCATAAAATTAATATAATTACTCATTAAAATTGCATACTTTTTTCCAGTGTCTTAATAGGGAGAATAGCGAATGCGGCACCTAGCGGGCAAAACAGCAAAACAATCGACAACCATCTGCACTCATGCATCATTCAGTGTGCCTTCCTCTCTGCCTCTCTCTCTCTCTCTGTGTGTTTCTATAGCACTCTCTTTATCTGCATCTGCTTTTTCCGTCTGTATGTGCATACATATACAAACATATATATGCGTTTGTATTGGAGCTGCAGCAGCAACAACAACCACGACAACTTGAACAACGCGGTGAAGGTCATTGCTACCAAAATTGTGTCTCCCTTTTGTCCTACTCTACTCTCGACTCGATTCGCTTCGTCTCACACATACCCACTCACACAGAGGCACACATACTCACTCAACAAACACGCACACACAGACAGGAAAAGTTCCGTATCTGTGTGAGCTATCCATCCTAGTGGTATACTCCACATCCCGAAAACATACTATAACTTGAACGGGGAGTTGGGAGCTTGCTTCTGGAATGGGCGATAGAAATGGAGACAGCACAGAACAGAGAAGGCAATGGGAGGAAGAAAGAGATGGGGTGATGGAGACAGAGGGGCAGGGAACTGGAGAATTGCAATGCTCGTTTGGGGAGTTTTTCTTTTTCGCTTGGCATTTTTGTTTCCGACGTGCACGCTTTTCGCCAGTCTTCCCCTTCGTCAATTTTTTATAATACAAAATATTGCCAGATGGAACGAAATTCAACGAAATCAAAAGCAATCTTTAGTCTGGAAGAGAATAGCATTTAACTTTTATAAAAATGTGTTTTGAAAGAATTATTTTCAAGGGAATGCCCAAGCTGGGAAATTACGCCACAAATACCACCCATGGATGCCTCAAACTAAACTCGATATTAATTAGCGGTTTCATCAAAGCTTATGTTATATAACATGTACCGTTAAAAGTATTTCTTTTCGTTTCACCAAAGCTAATGTAATATTACATGTACCGTAAAAAAGTATTTCGGCTTGGAATTTCGCTCATCTGGCAACCCTGACAGACACTGACACTTGGCTTGCGATTTTGTAATCGCAACAGTGCCTGCAACTCCGCAACTGAAAACTTGTTCGTTTCCCGCACTCCTTTTCCTCTCCTTCTTCATCATCATCTCCCTTTCACTCCTTCACCCGTTTTGCTCTGGCCGCAAACTGTGTCTGTGTCACTCAACCCACTAAACTAGCGCACAATGCGAATTGCGAATTGCGAAATGCGACGATGTCGATGACGACGACGCTAGGCAACGACGATGTTGTTGAGTTCTTCCAGTTTTTCGTATACCCTTTCAAGAGCTATTCAAATTTGGCCATGCAGGTTGGACAATATTGTTGTACTTTGAATTTGAAATCAAACGGCATTAAAAGTTGCAAAGTACATAAAGCTCTATTCAATGACTGGTTTATAGACGCTGGAAATGATATTTTTGCAGACCCGAACAACGTCCTTAGTTAAAGTGCTTTTTCAGTGACAAAGGCCCTTTAATGCTAGTAGGAATACAACCGGCCAACTTTTAAGTGAGTTAAAATTGAAGATTAATAAAAAATGAAATATGTTTGATTCATAAAATCATAGTTCACTGAATTTATATACTCAAATCCCACAACAAATATAGAAATGTGTGTTTCTTGTAACGAAACTCCAGCGACTGCCTGGGTAAAGTTTTACTCAATTTGGTGCATAGTTCTTGGTTTATTTTGCATTATCCATGGAATTTTTGCAATAATTGTAAATTTACCCTATAATGATGAAAATTTGTGGTTAGCCATCTACTTATCGGGCTATATATCTTCCTCCGTATCCTATATTGTTGCTGGGTCTTTTTTGTTGATATCACTAAACACGGTAAAATAAAACAATTTCAAATTAGAAAAGCATTTAGTTATACTTCCTTTGGTTTCTCCACAGCACTCAAGATTTCACTTTAGATGCGGTAAAATCACAAGCTATTGTTTTCCGATTATAAATTGGTATTATGTATTTCCATTGAGTAAGTATTAAGTATGTACTCAGAAGAATATATAATAATATCACATCATAATTTTCTTATTTTAGTTGTGCATTTCGTGTGCGTTCCCAAATTGTGCAGATACATGAATGAATAAATTAGCAGAGGGAGAAGCATATACACCGTGTCAAGGAATCAGTGGTAAAAAATAAGGAAGTACAAAAAATAAATATTTAACCGTGTACTGTGTGGGCCGTAAAGCCTCGTATATATTTTATATTATAAATAATTAAATATTCCTTCATTTCTGTTTCAGGGTATTCGCGGAATCGGTCTCCTCTCAGTTTCCTTTCTTGCGTTCTCTTTCGCCCATAAAGACAGACATTGCCCTGCTTATTCGCTCTTTCTGTCTCCCTCTGCAGAGCATGTTGCCCCATTCACGTGCTGCACGCTTTTCCCGTGAGTTCCTCCTCCAACCCGTGCGATCCCCATCCCAATGGAACAACGCTCTCGTCTCTCGCTCTTTTTCTCTTGGCTTAGCTCTCAACGGAAGTTGGCGCGCGCAAGTGTGTGTGAGGGAGTGCTGGGTTCAATGTCTGGTGGTTGACCTACCCACACCACTTGGTTTTCCCAGAGTAGACTCGGTTCCCAGCTCCTGCTGCAGTCTGCTCCTCCAACCTCCTCCTTCACTTCTTTTTGCAAGTTGACTCATTTGAACTGCTTGTTCAGCCAATGCTTGGGTATTAGAAAGTGCCGCACCCAGAAAGAAAATAGAAAAAAAGCAGCAGGACTCCCACCTCGTCTCTGTGTCTCTGTGTGACAAGTGAAAACTAGAAAATTCTGCTGCACACCGCTCACTAAAGTAAAAGTTGTCTTATCAATGCGCCGAGTGGGTGGCGCTTCGGTGCCGACAGCTCATTTGGCGTCATTGCGACGAGACAACGATATGGCCATAAAGATATCATCAACCAGATATTGCATGGTTTAATAGATACTTCGAAACTCTCGTCTGGCATCAATAGGTTTGGACTTGACCAAGGGCATGGTTATAATCGTCGAGTGAAAATTGTACTTATCTAAACCTGTGGTTGTTGTATGTTGTATTTTTATTCATATATTATTAGTTATTGTATCCACATGGTGAAACAGAGTCAAACAAATGTCCCGTCAAAAGACTTAGGGCAGCGCTGGAGACTAACCGAGAATAGAAAAACGAGGCGTTTGGTTTTTTGATCTTTGTTCATAAACTCTCAGCTTAAAACTCAATTTATGAGTTGAAAATCTTAATTCTACTGTCATTTGTTCACATAAGTTTGGGAGCGAGATCGCTTGGAATATTGTTGTTGACATTTGAGAGTAGTGCTGCAACGCAGAGACAGCCACTTATTGATTTTAAGAATTGTTTGTTATTTAATAGCGGGATTGCTTGCTCCGGGTGTCGATTGTTTACATTGATTTGAGAGTGGAATCGCCCACACTGCATATTCTTATATCTCAGAACATATATAAATATATATAATATATTAAGGTTCGTATTTAAACTTTTTAAGTTTTTGAAGGCCAACTAAAACTTATGTTAATCTTCAATTTCACCGAATTAATAGTTTCTTCGGTCTTGCTTTCTAATTTGAGACGAAATTCTCTTATAGTTCATATTATTAATACCTGACTTAAAAGTTTTATTTACCAATATATATTTAGTGATCTTTTGACAATTTCTTTCTTAAATATCTGATCAAAAATGGTATTAAAGCCTTAACAAAAAAAAAACAACAATATTTTGGGATGAACTTTGTTATATATTATCATTTCTCTACTTACGAGGGTTACTCATATTTGTCAATAACAATTTATAACAAAGGAGCGTATTTTTGCTGCATGCCATTTCTCTATTAGTTAGGGGAAAACGTGCAAGTAGTTAGACTTGTGATGCCTCCAACTGGTTTTCCACTTGCAACAGATTCAAGGCTAAGTCAGTTGGGTCATTGCCATTGCGAGTTTTTCCCCAGTGCTGGAAAAACTAGTTGCATTCACCTGGGCGCTCAATATTTGCTTAGACAGATTACCCAACAAGAACACGAACCGGCTGGGCTGGTTTTCTTCAGCCCAACTTCGTCATAGGAAAAGTTCTGGAGGAGGTAGATAGAGAGAGTGCGCTAGTACCGGAGAAATGGAGAAAGTTGCAAGTGGCAAAAGACACTTCAGCCAGCCTATTGTGCAACTTCCCGCACTTCCACTCCATTTCCAGAGTGGAAACTAGGTGAGGTGAGTCACAGTTGCCAGTTGGATGTTTCCAGTTGCCACTTGCAATATGCGATATGTAACTACCCCTTTCAGCTTATTGCAATTCCTCTGAAATAATGGTGGGTTGTTCGGTTGCCTTTGCCCTCGAATGAAGAACTTTCCTAAAGGCCAAAAAACCCAGATGGTACAAAAAACAACTGCGAAAAGATGTAGCTTTTCCCTTTTGGGGCACATTTTTCCTATGCTGACTTCTTCCAATAAAAGCTATCAGAAGCTAGCTCTACCCTTTTTATGCTTACGTTTCTATATTTTTTTATAAACCCAAAATTTTCCAAACTTGTGACTTTCTTCAAGTTTTTAAGTATTCTCCATATATTGAGAAAGATATAAAGATAAAAAAAATGTGATATTTATTAAATAACCAAAATCTTTTTGGAGTTAAACTGGTCAAAAACATAAATTTTTTAAGATAATAAGAATTTTATCATATCATTGGAGAAATTTAAGTTCTTTTAGCTTTTAGTTAATTTTATGCAATTTTATAACTCATTTACTTTAGATTTATATGTATTATATTATAAAATTCACCCCTTTAAGGTTGAATACTTAAGTACTATCCCCTGTAAAAGCTTACAACCCCTTTTTTACGTTGTTTCGGGAACATTGAGCTTGGTTTATTGACCTCCATGCTGCACTGCATTGCGTCACCGGCTCATCTGGTTACCTCTTATCACGCAACTGGCATCAAAAGTGTCAGCCATAGCACTACACAGCTAAAAAAGTTCTTATAAACATTAGTCAATTATAATTAAATATTTACCATATTATATTAATGTGATCGTCTTTTTAATTTAAAGTGGTGCAAGTCTATTTTTTTTAGAAATCCTTACATAAGTAAGGAAAGTGTTTTTCTTGTGTACCCTAACATTTGTCCCCTGCCTTACCACGCTGCATTTTTTGTTTGGTCTCTTCTGCAACATTACAAATTAGCGAAAGTTTTGGTTAGAGAAGGAGGCCAACTGTCTGGGCCCAGACATCGTTGTTCTGAGAGTATGGGAGCTTAAGCTAAGGGGTGGAGGTCGTCACAAGGGGTTGATACATTACGCTGGCATAATTACAGTAATCTATATCATATTCCATAGTTTGCTTAATGTTTGGGTTAAGTAAGTGGCCATTAAAAGCAGTCAACTTCGAGGATAGACCACAGTTGGTCTTTGCTTTAAATATGTGTTAGAGTAGGGTTATCAATAAGTAAGTGTATATATTTTAATATTAGAAGATGGTTCTTTTTGTTGGAAATTTTAAAGATTACGAGAAATATTATCCATTGGTTAAACAGTTACAGAGTTGCCATAAAGATTGGTTATCTGGATATAATTTATGAATTCATAAATCAATTTCAAAGTAATGACCTTTTCAATTTTTTTTTTTTTTTAAAGAAAAATCTAAAAACTATGTCATTCTTATAATTTTGAACTTAACCGAATTTTAACAGTTAAAAATAAAAACCACAGGGCAATGAACTGAGAGTGGGGCAATCTCTCGTTAGTTTACTCTCTTTTTGTTTGGCTTCCCTCGGCAAAAAAAGCTTTTTTGGCATCAGTTTGCAGTGCACTCTCCGGGTAAAAGTGCAGCCAAAGAATATCACGGGAATGTTACCGATTTTTGCGGATGTGCTAAATAACTTTCTTGAATATTGAAGAACGCTTCGTTCTTTTATCAAACTTCTAAAGGGATTCTATAATTAGTTGCATTATAAATAATTGGAATCGTGCTAATTCTGATTTGCATTTTTAAGTGGATAAGGCTAACATATTTCGCGTGAAGAGAAACCAACAGTTATTCCGATTTCTCTCTTAGAGTTGGACAATTGCAATCTGCTCTTCCCACTCAGTGTATTCTTCCAGTTCTCAGTTCGCGTTTCGCTCTTGACAGAAAAGCTTGCAATGGAAAATCCACGGACATTAATCGATTTGCCGTTCGAAGTGCTCGATCTGATATTCAAAGAACTTAGATGTTTGAGAGAAAAAGTGAGACTAGCCCAGACTCACGAAAAACTGGGAAAAGCTTTTGCCTTTCATTCTCGCAATAAGTACAGAATATTTGAGCCGAGTAATTGGTTAACTGACGAATCGTGGGCTTTTCTTATACAAGAATGCGGCACATCAATCGAGGAATTAATTTTCAGTTACGAGTGCAGCTCCTGGAACGACTCGATAGCCAAGTCCGTGGTGGTGCACTGTCCAAATGTGAAATCGTTATCGGCGTATTTATTCACGCGTAATCGTGATAGCATTCAGCTTTTTTTAGAGAAGATGAAGAATTCTCTGATATCACTTACTTTGAATCAAAGAGATGATTTCCCTTTAGAATTCTTAAGAGTGGTCGGTGAAATGACCCAATTAAAACAACTATCAATAACAGTATATTTTGATGAAAATGGTAAGTATTTTGAATAAAGTGTGTATCAAATGCAATCCCGTAATCAACTCGAGAAATACTCTTACATTCGCGATCTGAAATAAAGTTTTAGTTCTTAAGGTTTTGGCGACCTCGACAGATAGACAGACTGGCGGACATGACTAGGGTTTAAGAATTACATATATTCTAATACAGATGTAATCTAAAATCTAAGCAATATTTAAATTACTATTTTATTCTTAGTTTACCATTTAGAGAAAATAATAGCCCTGGAAAAGTTGACAATCAAAATTCGTAATAATTCATCGAGAGTTCGTGTCGACTTATTACGGATTACATTATATGTATATAATGTAGAAATAATACCGTATAAAAAGCCATTTGTAGCAACATGGGCCAGACTAGAAACACTAAATTTGGGTCGTTGCAAATTGCCAATTGAACTGCCAGACTGTCCTGAGCTCAAACACTTAAATATATATATTCCCATATGTTACGAAGATTACGGCTACAAATTCATTCTCAAAAACGGTAGAAATCTCGAAACATTGTATGAAGAATTCGAACCACCAATCAATGCCGATAGCTTCCTCGAACTACTTCGGGGCTGCCCAAAATTGCGAAGTTTTTATACAAAGATGGAATTTATAAAACTCTATTCGGGCTATGTGTCTACTATTTTGGAGATTCTTAAGGATAATGGAGTTACCCAAGAGAATCCATCCGAATTGGTTATATGTAGACGGATTAAGTGGAAATGGTTCCGGGGATTAGTAAGTGCCGAAGATGAAAATATTTCATATTTTTAAAATCCTTATTTGCAGCTTCTTCGGGCCCCTAATGCCGGGTTGATCGATCTGTATGAGGGTACTGACTAGCATATAAAAATAAATACTGTAAGCCCAATTGAAGTGCAACGATATAAATAAGTACAGATATTTTAATCATTCAACGGACACTTTTTCGGCAAAGAACGAGAAGGAAAAGACACGAAAAAAATAAGGTACTTTTACATTGTTTTAATGGAATTTAGAAGATAATAAATAATATGCTTAGCTGCAACAAGTCGCCAGCAGAAATAGTAACGTCAGTGAACTCTAAGCAGATAAACCAAAAGCTTTCTTAAATTCTCTCTCCCTGAAATTGCGAATGTATTCCTCTCTTTATAGGATGGATTTCATCGCAGCTCTCAGTTCGCATTTCGCTCTCGAGGGAAAAGCTTGGAATGGAAGACGAACGGACGATAACTGATTTGCCGGTCGAAGTCCTCGATCTGATTTTCGCTTACTTATATCTACCAAATAAAGTAGGCTTGGCCGCAGCTCATGAAAAGCTGGGAAAAGCTTTTGCGTTTCACAGCCGGAATCAGTTCAAAAAACTAACCTATGACTATAGGTTAAGAACTGAGTCTTGGTTGGTTGTTATACGGGAATGTGGACCGAAAATTGAAGAATTTGATTGCTGTGGAGGTGGATTGTGTTGGAACGACTCTATAGCTCAGGCCATTACAGAATATTGTTGCAATCTTGAATCAGTAAAAATCTTGGTAACTACGAGAAACAGAGAAAGTGTTAACGATTTCCTACTTAAAATGAAAAACTCCCTGATGTCTGTCAAATTAAAACAGCATGAAAGTAGCTCTGTAATAACTTTAAACTCTGTAATGGAACTGCCCAACTTAAAGAAATTAGCAATTAACGGCGATCTTCATGAAAACGGTAAGTCCATTAAACATTATAAAATTTGTAACCCCTTTAATAGGAACGTTGTCATAGAGTTGTACTTAAAAAGAAGGCTTTGATTTTAATAGGATATTTTTTCCTGAAATAATAGATCTAAGAATTTTTCATAACACTTCATTTAATTCTTTTAAAGCAGATTGTAGTTCGTTTGAACTCTGGTTAGTTAGCTCTGTCCGTCCATCTGTCCATATAAATGAGATCTCGAAAAGACTAGAGGTAAGATAGATAGATAGGTTAAGCTAGCATATTCTGGAGAAGCCTTCCTGATGCAGATTCTACCATCTGATGATTTGATAAAAACTGTAAGATGGTACAACACATTCATTTATTATTAACTAGTTGTAATGGTTACCTGATTTACCTGACTGAGTATCTAAAAGATGTCTGTTATTTCAGTTTACAACATAGGGAAACTGAGTGGCCTAGAGAGGCTGACAATAGAATACAAGTATTATTATACATACCCTACAATTAACATCATCACTCTTTGTGACTCACTATGCAATCTTCGCGCCTTGAAATTGAAGAGAATAACATTAACTCTACCAGAAGAGGCCCCTACTAGAATCTGGTACAACTTGGAATCCCTTAAGCTGTTTCAGTGTGTTTTCCCCACTGAATTGCCCGACTGTCCTAAACTAAAATATTTGGACTTATACTACAACAAATGCACAGATAAAGACCAAATTCTGAAATTTATTGTCAAAAATGGAAAAAATATTGACACGATGTACGAAAAGTGCAGTCCAACAACATTTGACGCCGATGGACTTCTGCAACTGTTACGGAACTGCCCAAAATTGCGGTTTTTATTTACCCGGTTGGAAGATATAAAACTATATCTGGGCTATGTTTCTTCAATGGTGGAAATTCTAAGGGAAAATGGGGTAACGCGGGAGGATCCATTACAACTGGTTGTTTGTAGGCGTATTAAGTGGAAATGGATTCGACGACTAGTAAGTTCAAAATAAATAGATCTTCCCCAAAAGATTTACATATTATTTTTAGATTCCTCGAACTTCTTATCCTGAGTTGATCGATTTAAGATATTTCAATGACGGTGCTGACGGTTCTTAATCAAAGTTAAAAAATAGATATTTACAGTGAATTTTTAAAAATTGAGATTGCAAATATGAAAGTAAGTCATAATACTTTTTTGAAATTTAACCTTATTTAATTTGTATTTTGTAAGTAAATAAATTGATCTATAAATCTGATAAAGAACATGTTGTTTTTGGAAATGCTTTCGTGAATTATAGAAGCAAGAAATCTTATAATTATTTGAATATTTATGATGAAATACATTGTAAATTGTTTTGAGAAGTGCGGAATGTCAATAAATTGCAAGCGAGCAAACGAAAGCTTTTTCAGGTTCTCTCTTCGTTTGCGGATGCATTTTCTCTCTGCACAATGTATGAGTATTTTCCCACAGCTCTCAGTTCGCATTTCGCTCTCGTTGGAAAAGCTTGGTATGGGGAACCCGCGGACGATTACCGATTTGCCGTTCGAAGTCCTCGATCTGATATTCAAAAAACTTAATTGTTTGAAAAATAAGGTGGACCTGGCCCAGTCTCATGAAAAGCTGGGAAAAGCTTTTGCCTTTCACAGTCGCAATGAGTTTAGGATACTTAGGCCATATAATATATTAAGTGATGAGTCGTTTTCGTTTCTTATTCAAGAGTGTGGTGCTTCGATTGAACAAATCATTTTCCTTCAAGGGCGGTGCTGTTGGAACGACCTGATAGTCGAGTCGTTAGTCAAGCACTGTCCCAATCTGAAATCGGTAACAACGTATTTGCACGAGAGCTATTGTAACATCTTCCAGTCCTTTTTAATAAAAAAGAAAAATTCTCTAACATCGATTAAATTTATTCAACAAAATCGATTTCCTTTAGAAATCTTGAAAGTGGTGGGTGAAATTTCCCAATTGAAACAGCTTTCATTAGAAGTCTATGCTGACGAAAATGGTAAGTATTCGAAAGCACCTTTACATGCTAATTAAATATCTTGTTGTTGCTAGAAGTAACGCTTGTAAAAAGTAATAAGGTTTTTTTTAGTGTACCACATACAGAAGTGTGTCTCCCTGGAGAAGCTAGAACTCAATAGTGGTTCATACGGAACTATATATACTATCAACCTACAACAGATTTGTGCTCCCCTTACGAATCTCCGGAACCTAAGTTTGAATAACTTTAAAATTTCGCCCTTTGAAGACTTACATTCAACTGAGTGGGTTAGGCTGGAAAGACTGACATTGATTCAATGCGAATATCCCGAACTACCTTATTGTCCAGAACTTAAATATTTGAGATTTGATTACCCCACAAGTCTCATCGAAAATTATGGGTTGAAATTCATTCTCAAAAACGGAGCAAATCTCAAAACATTGTACGAAGACTGCCTACCACCAATCAGTCCCGATGGTTTCCTTGAAGTACTTAGGGCCTGCCCTAAACTGCGATTCTTTCATACTCGAATGGAATATATAAAACTCTATGCAGGCTATGTGTCTGCTATTTTGGAGATTCTTAAGGTGAATGGAGTGACGCGGGAGGATCCATTAGAACTGATTATATATAGGCGTATTAAATGGAAATGGTTTCGAAGACTAGTAAGTGCTGAAATAGAAATCGGAATATTTAAAAAATCATTACTTTTAGCTTCTACGAGCGCCTAATGCTGAGCTGATCGACCTGTACGAGGGTGCTTAATGAAAAAATACAATATTATAATGTGTAATATAATTATAAAGTAACTTAGGTAATATAAAAATAAAATATTTTATAATAACAGCTTTATTTTAATTGGGTAATAGGCAACTAATTGGGTAATAGGCAACTCTGTACGACTCTATCGCTCATGCCATTACAGAATATTGTTGCATTCTTGAGTCATTAAAAAGGTTGGTTGCTGAGCATAAGAGAGAAAGCGTTCACGACTTCCTACTTACAATGAAGAACTCCTTGACATCGGTCAAATTAAAACAGGATAACAATTTCCTTCTTACAATTTTAAAAACGGTTATGGAACTGACTATTCCACATATGAATATATTTTAAACAAGTTTTAACTTAAATACTATATAATTTCCTTAATAACACAAAAAAGTCATTTTTTACGCACAAAAATTATTCGTACTTTATAAATGTCGAATAAAAACCACAATTCTAAAGATTTAAGGATTTTAATCTTTAGTGGGTGCTTTGTTGGCCTTAATGGAAGCTTGTAAACATGCTTTTTATAAAGTTGCTCGTCTCGTCAGCATTAATTGAATCCCATTCAGGTATTAATGCGGTTGTTAAGGATTCCTTCGAGGATATGTTGTCCTTTCTGGACGATATCTCATAAGTGTTCTATGGGATTAAAATCTGGTGATTGTAGTGTCGTTTTGTTTGCTCCTTGCAGTGATATTAAAGCCACTCTTGGACTTAATACGACAAATATTTCGGGTCGTTATCTCTATGAAATACGAAAGACGCTGGATTCTGTCCAAGCTAAAGGGCACTTGGAATTAAATTTTGGCCTAAAATGTCTTTATACATAAATTTATTAATTTTTCCATAAAGACCATTCGATTCACTCCACCTGCACCTATACACCCATAAACCATCCTATTCTTGCCAACGTGCTTAAAAGTTGGAATCATGTTTTTTCCTTCATGGCTTCATTTGCCTTTTGACCTACTTTGAAAGGACCGCCGTGTCCAAAATTTTTAATTTTTGATTTGTCAATAAATATAACGTTTTCCCAAAACAATTCCGGCTTGCTTACATGCACTTTTGCGATCTCTAAACGCCAGCATTGTGCAGGGAGTTCCGGATGGTTTGGGAACAAAATATTTTATTTTTTAAGGCTTCTCTAGGGTTTAAAGAATTGTTGTAGATGTTGTTCTGGGATTTAGTAATGGTGTATTTACAACTTTATGCTACTCCCGCGGTGTCAATATGTGGTTCCTTCCAGATTTTCTATGTTCTACTGCAAATTCTCAAGTGATTACGTAGTTTTTTTTATGAAACTTCGCATTGTGGAAGGTGACTTGACAATATTTCTACCAATTTCGGGTTAATTGCGTTTCGCTTAATATAATTATACCCGTTACTCGTAGAGTAAAAGGGTATACTAGATTCGTTGAAAAGTATGTAACAGATAGAAGGAAGCTTTTGCGACCCTATAAAGTATATATATTCTTGATCAGGATCAATAGCGAAGTCGATTGAGCCATGTCCGTCTGTCCGTCCGTCCGTCCGTCCGTCCGTCCGTCCGTCCGTCCGTCCGTCCGTCCGTCCGTCCGTCCGTCCGCTGGGATCTCAGGAACTATAGCAGATACAAAGTTGAGATTAAGCATGCAGATTCTTGAGATCCCGGGACAGCGCAAGTTTATTACAGCATCCTGCCACGCCCACTCTAACGCCCACAAATCGCAAAAAACAAAAATTGCTGAAATCTCAGGAACTATTGCAGATAGAAAGTTGAAATTCAGAAAGTGTAATCTTTAGATGACAGCGCATCTTATAGTGGTACTACTATCCGGCCACACCTACCCATACGCCCACAAGGCTCAAAAGACACAAAACCCGAAAAACCAAAAATGCAAAAATCTCGAAAACTATACAATTTTGCTTAGGAACACGTATTTAGGAGATGCCTCTGCAACTTGCCACGAAGTTGCATCCGGCCACGCCCACTCTAACGCCCACAAACCGCGGAAAACTGTGGAGTCTATAATATTATTATGAATGCCTTCGTTTGACCTTGTGTAACTTATTTCTGTTAATATCTATCGATTTACCAAAGGTTTTTCAAATCGGAACATTATTTCGATATTTATGAAGAAATTAAGGTTATAAGGCTCCACATGGGCAGTGACGTCACTATAAGCATACTCAACATACTTCCTCTGACAATAGGTGGCGCCTTGTGAATTTCCACTAGCAAAATTAATATTTTAAAATTGTGTAAAACAGTAACGGGTATCTTATAGTCGCGGCACTCGACTATAGCGTTTCCTCTTGTTTTATTATAGTTTTTCGAAAATTTAAGGGTAAGTCTTGAACGCGACATATTTCGTAACTAACTAACTAACTAAACAACTTTGAGAACAGTACACCGAAGTTTGCTCCGAATTCCGTTTGTTGGATTCAGAAATAGAAGTCAAGAATGAGAAGTGTATGAATAATTTTTGTGCGTAAAAAATTACTTTTATGTGTTAATAATAAAATTAGTAATTAAGTTAAACTAGTTAATTTTATGTTTTAAATACATATCTTTCGTTTGAAATATTACATTTCAATTTCCGTTATATATTTCTCGAGATATTAAAGAATAAACTTGCAACTCATGGGTGTACGAATAAATTATGTGCCGACTGTAGATTAGGTAACCATATTATAGAGATGCCTTTGCAGTTACTTTAGGTGTTTAAAGTTAGACAATGATTTTTTAAGAAATGAAGGCTATATTCCACCATTAGATGACTTTATAAAAACAGTAAGATGGTGTATGGGATAATAACATCCTACAACATAGGGAATTGGTCGCCCTAGAGAAACTGACAATTAAATACATGTATTATTATAAAGATCTTGTACTGAACTTGGAATCCGTCAAGCTATTCCAGCATGTTTTCACCGCGGAATTGCGCGACTGTCGTTACAACTGTTACGAAGCTGAAAATAAAACTTTATCTGGGCTATGTTTCTGCTATGATACTTCAATGACGGTGCTGACAATTCTGATTCAAAGATCAAAGGTAGAAACTTCCAGTGAATTTTCAACAATTATGTTTATGTTTATGGAATTAAATAAGATAAATTATATTTTTTAAGAAAATAAATGTATCAATAAAATATATAAAAGAACTATGGTGTATTATTGCTTTCGTGAATTATGAAAACAAGTCACCTTATAATTACTTTACTAGTTATGGTGAAATAATGGTTTTGAGGAGCGCGAAAATTCAACGAATTGCAAGCGGCGAGAAAACGAAAGCTTTTTCGGATTCTCTTTTCGTGCGGATATGCATTTTTCTCTTTGCACGATGTTGAGTATTGTGCCACAGCTCTCAGTTCGCATTTCGCTCTCGAGGGAAAAGCTTGGAATGGACAATCCACGGACCATAACTGATTTGCCGTTCGAGGTCCTCGATCTGATATTCACAGAACTTTTGTATTTGAGATATAAAGTGGACCTGGCTTTAACTCATGAAAAGCTGGGGAAAGCTTTTGCTTTTCACAGTCGCAATGAGTTCCGCACACTTAAGCCGAGTACTGCGTTAACTGGGGAATCGTGGGCCTTTATCGTAAAAGAATGCGGCACTTCAATTGAAGAATTATTCTACGATGTACGGGGCATTTACTGGAATGATCTTATAGCCCAGACGGTTGTGAAGCACTGTCCCAATCTAAAATCGGTATCAACTCGCTTATACAGGGGCCAGGATATCAGCTTCCAGTCTTTTTTAAAACAGATGAAAAATTCTTTGATTTCGGTTACAGTTAAACAAGAAAACAGTTTCCCTTTAGAAATCTTGAAAGTGGTGGGTGAAATGACCCAACTAAAACATTTATCATTGAAAATATTTGCTGACGAAAATGGTGAGTCTTGAAACTAACCTTTCCTAATTTAAAACGAGAAGAAAATTGCAGTTATGTAATTTTGAAGTAATCATTATCCTGCCTTTAGTCAGCAAAAAGCATGTTTAATAACTGATGGTGACGTCACTGGCCATGTGAGTCCTCATACCTGCATTCCCTTAAAAATTGTTGAATAGCGTTCCGAAAAATCTTATACGAGGTCAAACGAAAACATAAATTTAATAGTTTAGCAGTTTTTGATAGGTTGTTTTGCGTGGTCGCTGTTGAATAAAAAACCATCTCGAGCTTCGGTGGTATCTTTCTAGCTCTTGTAGTTTCCGAGATCTTAGGCATCATTGAAAACTACTACTAAGATAAGACCAGAGTTCGGTGGGCATGACCGGGTAATTGTAGTACCTTAATATACGCTGCTTTATCACGATTAAACATACCCTATCCCAACTCTCTAACTCTTCTAGTTCCTGAGATCTAAGCGATTTTAATTTTTCGTGTTTTGTGGGCGTTCCAGTTGGCAACTCAAGAAGCATTCTTATAGTTCCTGAGATCTAAGAGTTTATATGGTCATACGTCATACGTACGAACAGACGGACTGATCAGGAAAATATGTACACTTCAACGACTACATTATATTCGTGAACGTAGTGAATAATTGGAAATGTGTTTATATTATTAATCTTTTTGACAAAACCAATGAATTTTGTTATTTTTGGAAAGATAGAAAAAGGATTCTGTACCAATAGTTTTAAGTTTAAATATTAAAATTATAGAAAATAAAAATAATATCGAAATTTCTTAAAGTTAACCAGATACATAATTGTGTCGGACTAGAGACGTTGGAGCTCGAGCATCATTATTATATGAGGAAACATTCAGTCAACCTTCTAAGGATTTGTGCTCCCCTTAAGAATCTCCGTGACTTAAGTGTGACTAATATAAAAATACCTCCACTGGAAGATTCAAATTCAAATATATGGGTCAGCATGGAAACCCTGGCATTGATTCTATGCGAATTCTCCGAACTTCCTGATTGTCCACAACTCAAATGGTTGAGGATTTATAACCCAATTTGTCACATAGAAAATTACGGGCTGAAATTCATTCTCAAAAACGGAAGAAATCTAAAAACATTGCACGAGGATTGCAATCCACCAATCGGTCCCGACGGTTTCCTTCAAGTTCTCCGAAGCTGTCCAAAATTGCGAGGATTTTATACTCCAATGGAATATATAAAACTCTATTCGGGCTATGTGTCTGCTATTTTGGAGATTCTTAAGGAAAATGGAGTGACGCGGGAGGATCCATTAGAACTGGTTATATGTAGGCGCATCAAGTGGAAATGGTTCCGGAGATTGGTAGGTGCCGAAGATAAACATGTTTAATATTTTAAAAATCTTTTCTTTTAGCTTCTTAGGGCCCCTAATGCTGAGCTAATCGACCTGTATGAGAGTGCTGACTAAAAACCTTTGAGATTTAAATCTAAAAACAAATAAAGCAACAAAATTATTAGTTTTAATATTTGATAAGTTTTGGAGGGCGTCTACTAGATTTTCATTTTCAGAGCAAGGAACACGGGGCCTTCATTCTTGTTGTTTTTGGGATTCATAGGATTTATGGTTCAATGACTTGCATTTTTAAAGGTAATCAAAAGGAGTTCAAAATTGAGTGGAAAGCAGGGCAGAGCAAGATAGCAATAGATTTCTGCCGAATAAGGCAGGTACGTAGAGCGGTGGAAAACTTGTTAGAGAGAGTTGACAAATGATGCACAAGAATTGAGTGGAAAGTAAAAGGTCAGAAACTGACTTTTGGAAATAAGTTAGAAAAGCGCCAGAGAGACGAGCGGAAGGTGCAATGTGGAACATTTAATTGGTGTAACATAGAAAATTCAAAGAAGCCTCATATATGTATTAAAAAAATTAAAGACAAAAAAGTATATATTATATATACATATATATTAATTATATTTTTTAAATAATTTAGAAGACAATAAATGATGCGCTGAAATGCAACAAACTGTGGGCAGATATGTAACGCCACTCTACGCAGAGAAACCAAAAGCTACCTTACGTGTCCACTCCCCCTCTCTTTTAGACTACACTCTCTTAACAGGATGGAATTCATTGCAGCTCTCAGTTCGCATTTCGCTCTCGAGGGAAAAGCTTGGTATGGAAAATTCACGGACCATAACTGACTTGCCGTTCGAAGTCCTCGATCTGATATTCAAAGAACTTAATTGCTTGAGATATAAGGTGGACCTGGGCCAGACTCATGAAAAGCTGGGAAAAGCTTTTGCCTTTCACAGTCGCAATGAGTTCAGGATACTTAGGTCATATAATATTTTAAGTGATGAGTCGTTTTCGTTTATAATACAAGAGTGTGGTACTTCGATTGAAGAAGTCAATTTCCTTCAAGGGGGTTTCTCCTGGAGCGAATTGATAGCCGAGTCGTTAGTCAAGTACTGTCCCAATCTGAGATCGGTAACAACGTATTTGCACGAGAGCTATTGTAACATCTTCCAGTCCTTTTTAATAAAAAAGAAAAATTCTCTAACATCGGTTAAATTTACTCAACAAAATCGATTCCCTTTAGAAATCTTGAAAGTGTTTGGTGAAATTTCCCAATTAAAAAATCTATCATTAAATGTTTATGCTGACGAAAATGGTGAGTCTTAAAAAACAACTTTACATACTAATTCAATTACGAAACGAAATTAACTTTACGTACACTTTCCATTTGATTGGCCAAACTTGATATAAAATTAATTAAAATAGTTACCACGATAATATAATAATAAGCAAAAACATGCATAGCGTACACAAACTCAAAAAATGTCAGCTTATAAATAAAAATATTTTGTTTAGTGTACCACATAGAGAAATGTTTGGTCCTGGAGAAACTGGAACTTGATAACCATTATTACGTACATAGACGTACGGTCAAGCTACAACAGATTTGTGCTCCCCTTAAGAACCTCCGTGATTTAAGTTTGACTAATTTGAACATCCTGCCGTTGGATGAGCCCTGTTCAACGATATGGGCCAGGTTGGAAACGCTGGCATTGATTCAATGCGAATTCTCCGAACTACCTAATTGCCCTCAACTCAGCTGGCTTAAAATTTATAACCCCACATTCCTCATCGAGGATTATGGGTTGAAATTTATTCTCAAAAACGGAGGAAATCTCAAAAGATTGGGCGAGGATTGCGTACCACCAATCAGTCCCGATGGTTTCCTTCAAGTTCTTCGGGGCTGTCCAAAATTGCGAAGCTTTTATACTCGGATGGAATATATAAAACTCTATTCGGGCTATGTGTCTGCTATATTGGATATTCTTAAGGATAATGGAGTGACGCGGGAGGATCCATTAGAACTGGTTATATGTAGGCGCATCAAGTGGAAATGGTTCCAGAGATTAGTAAGTGCTGAATCTTATCTTGCTTTATATTTTAAAAACATTACTTTTAGCTTCGTCGGGCCCCTAATGCTGAGCTGATCGATCTGTATCAGGGTTGGTGATGAATTAAAACGTTCAGTTTCCAAGTTTGAGTGGACTTTATTAATTTATTTTTAACCAGACGTTCCGACATATTTGGCTGCAGTCTTATCACTAAAAAATCTTACGAAATTCTTGAGAGTGTGGCGCAGCCTAAATGGTATATAAAACTTAAAAATTCCGAAATTAAAGTTAAATACAAAATATAGAAAAAAGATTGGATTGCAATATAACGGCTACAAGGTGTTCACCAACACGGATATAGAAATAAATTGACCAAATAACAATATTGTTGTTTTATAAAGTAATATTGATAAAATAATATAAATAACGTCAGCGTTCCTTTAATTGGATTATAAGAAATAACTTCTAAGCAAACATTTAAATGCTGTGGGAACTCGGAATAGACAAGGGCGATACTTTATAATATACCTTCCTTAAGAGTTTGAGTATCTTACAGTTTATTATCGTTCGTTGTTCGCTGGAAATAGTTAGGTTAGGTAAGGTTAAGAAGGGAATCGCGACTGACTCTTATTTTATACTTTATTTTTGGTTTTAAAGAGATCTTATATCCTTATGAAACTTCCATGAATTATGACGGTACCGATTTAGCGTTGGAAATCCTCGATCTGATATTCAAAGAACTTATGTTCTGGACCTGGCTTTAACTCATAAAGGGCTAGGGAAAGCTTTTGCTTTTAAAAGTCGCAATGAATTTCGGACACTTAAGCCGTGTACTGCTTTAACACAGAAATCGTGGGCCTTTCTTATAAAGGAATGTGGCACTTCAATTGAGGAAATATTCCACGATGGGAAGGGCTTTTAGTGGAATGATCTTATAGCCCAGACGGTTGTGAAGAACTGTCACGATCTAAAATCGGTAGCACCTTGTTTATGCAGGGGCGATTATGACAGCTTCATTTCTGGAAAAAATGAAAAATACACTGACTTCGGTTAAGTTTAAACAAGAGACAGTTTCCAGTTAGAATTATTGAAAGTGGTGGGTGAAATATCCCAACTAAAGCAGCTATAATATGCTGACGAAAATGGTGAGTCTATGAAAGCAGCCTTACATCCTTTAATACGAATCATCTAAGCAGAATAAATATTATTTAATATACGCAGATCTTAAAGAATTTGACAGAAGCATATTATGATGAGTAGGTTTTTTTTTCGACTTTGGGCATTAAAAGGGGTGTCGCAGGATGATGAAACCACCTTGCCATCTTAAGAATAGATATAAATTCTTATTCCTTACATGCTGCCTAGGTCTTATTTTTGTAGACGTTAGAGTGGGAGAGGCGAATGCAGAAACAACTTGCACTGCCTAGGTATTTCAAATCCTTAGATCTCTTATAACCAGATGTCGAAAGATCAAAGTTCATTCGAACGGACAGACGGACTCAACAGAAATATACATATGTATATGTATTTATTTATCTAAGGGTACCCATTAGTTAAAACTAAGAGCTTACAAAAGGCTAGGAGCAATATCAGCTAAGGCCTTCCGCTCGCGGATTGATTAAACATAACCTATGTTTAACATGTGAATATATATAAACAAAATATTACAAGGGTTTACTAATTACATTTTATTTAAATTCGAATACTTTACGAATAAGGGATACAGAAATTATATACATAATTCATAATATATATTTTATTTGAACGTAACGGCCGTTGTGTGCCTCTCAGGTCTAGTTGAATGTCCCGTTTATAAGATTTATCGTTTCTAGTTGGTAATTCGTTATTCGGTACTTTCTCATGTTATGCTAGCACGAGTACAAACGGATAGTTGTAACGAGTAAGGAGTAAGTGGGACAAAGCTATATATTGCTGTGGCGTCGTGCTTGGTAAGTGATAGTAAGTAGGATGGCGATAGTAATACAGGCGAATTGCGTACCTGAATTACTCGTCACAGAATTATAAAAGGAATAGAAGAAAAAGTCACCGTCAGACAGAAAGAATTTGGCAGCCTTTCAGAAAGCAAGCCACCAGGAGTAACCTCAAGCGTCGTTGTTTTGTGCATAAATCTATTTCTTGAAAAGGTACAGTAAGCCCCGACCCGACATATGTATGTCAATTCTTATTCCTTTCTACAATAATGATGTATTTGTGAATACATTTCAAAAATTTCCATACCAATATTTTATATTGAAATATCGACACATTAAAAAATAAATATAATAGTGAAATTATAGATCTCGAGGTTGGATCTCGAGCCTCATTGTTATATGGAGAAACATTCAGTCAACCTTCTAAGGATTTGTGCTCCCCTAAAGAATCTCCGTGAATTATTTGTGAATAATATAAAAATATCGCCGTTTAAAGATTCAAACTCAACTAAATTCTCCGAACTACTTGGTTGCTCAGAACTCAAATGTTTGTGATTAGTTTACCCCAAATGTCACGTCGAAGGTTATGGATTGTAATTTATTCTTAAAAACGGAAGAAGTCTCAAAACATTGTAGGAGCAATGCTACCCACCAATCGGTAGCGACGTTTTCCTTTAGGTTCTTCGAAGTTGTCCAAAACTGCGATTTTTTTATACTCTAATGGAATATACAAAATATAAATACATATATAAAACTTTATTCGGGCTACGTGTTTGCTATTTTGACGCGGGATGATCCACTCGAACTCTTTATGTATGTAGGCTTATAAGGGGTTCCGAAGATTAGTAAGTATCGAGGATGAAGATGTTTCGTAATTTAAAAATATTTATTCTAGCTTCTTTGGGGTCCTAACGCCGAGCTGACCGACCTGTAATTTAAATATAAATATAAATATACCAACCAAAATATAACTAATTTTAATATTTTGAAGGGTGTGGAAAGAATTATTTCTATTTTCAGGGGAAATGATACGGGCCTGCCTTATTCTCCTCATTGTTTCTGGCATTCCTTAGTCTGAAAGTAGCAATGAGTTGCATTTCTAGAAGAACTCAAAAAGCGTTCGAAAATAAGTGGAGAGCACTTCAGAACAAAATAGCAATGGATTCCTGCCGACTGAAGTTAGATTCC